CCCCTACACCCATGGCAGTCTCATGTGCCCCAGCATCATCATAGATACAGATACATGATGCATGCATACATGCATACATGCAAACATAATACATTACATACATGGCATGACATGACATGACATGACATTACATTACATTATGCATACATACATACCTACATACATACATACCTACATACATACATACATACATACATACCTACATACCTACATACCTACATACATACATACATACATACCTACATGCATAGATAGGTAGATAGATAAATAGGTAGACAGATAGATAGATAGATAGATAGGTAGATAGATAGATAGATAGACAGACAGATAGACATACATACAGTCTCGACATTTTAACAGCATTGCATTGAAATTTGACATTAAAAAACAGAGACACCACCAGAAATCAACGAACAAAACAACAAACCAAGCCACGCAAACCTAGAACGTGCAAAAGAAAAAGCAACTACAACCATGGAAAAATGAAGATACCCAACGACTAGTAGTTATGCAAATCCAAACAACAAAATAAGAGAAATATGCACAAATAAAAAAAAAACATTGCACATAAAAATACCAGAAAGCAACACAAAATATAGCAAAGAACACAGGAGCAAAGAACATAATTTATCATAGCAGTAAGCCTAAGGATGAGAGAAAACAATCCAGAATACAAACAACATATATAGTGTGTTTTTATGTATATATATATATAATTAATATTATATATATAAACATAATATACACTCAACCCTAGAAAAAATCAGAATGAAACAGAATGAGGTAAGAGAAGAAATGAAAAATACAACAGATTCGAAACCAAGAAATAAAGAGGAGATACAGATAGGGCAAAATAATGCTGAAAACAAGTAAACCAAAGATAAAGAAACAAATAGAACAAAACCATAGCATACCACTAAGTCAAATATCCCCAAATTGAAATCCCATTTTTTTTGGAACCTTTGCATTAACAGAAGCCCCCTATACAAAAAAATCTTCTTCCAGGTATGCCAGGAGCGCTTCCCCGGGGAGGAGTGCGCGGTGGGTTTCCTGTAGGGCCGGCGCCACTGCGACCGCATACAGGCCTGGCATGAGGGGGTCCCCCTGTTCGCCGCCTTCGTGCTGGTGGATGGGGTGACATGTGCCAGCCGCATCATACCAGAGGTACTCGGAAGGGGACGCGTAGAATTGCCTCACAAATGGGAGTGGGGGGCGGAGGCCCGGGTCACCGTGGATGCCTTGAAGGATGGCCTGGCGCGCAACATGGTCATACGCGCCGACGCCATCGACGGACAGGACGGTGAGGTTTGGTTGCAACTCTGTGGCAACCCGTACGGACCGTGCAAGTGCTTCGCCTCCAGCCCGTGTGGCAAGCGCATACTGGTGGGGGGCAGTAGCGGTTTGGAACTGGGGGCTGAACTGCTGTGCGAGCGTTCGGGCGACAAGGCGGCGGAACACATCTCCCATGACGAGCCCACGGACCCGGCCATTGGGTTTTTGGAGGGCGACCATGCGTCCGAGGCGGAGGGCGAGGAGGATGTTGGGTGGGAGGGCCGCTGTGGCAAGGCGGGTGGCTGCAGCGGTAAGTTTGAGGGTGGTTTCGTCCGAGTCTAGAACCACTCGCAAGTGTTCGGTGGTCATCCCGGAGGGGCCTGGTGCAGCGCCGCGGCGGCCTGTGCGCAAGTTGGTGAGGAGGCGAGCAGTGTCAAGGTGCAGGGGGTCCGAGGGCGAGCCCATTCGCAAGTAGGGGTCGATGGGGACTTGGGGTTGTTGGGGGCGGCGGTCAGGGTGGCGAAGTTCGGCCAGGGTGGCTGGCGTGAGGGGAGCCAGCGGGGACGCGGTGAGGGCGGCACTGGCGGCAGACAGCTCGCCTTGTTGGACCAGGGTCATGGCCCGTTGGGCTCGCGCGCTGTCCGTGGGTGAGTTGGGAGAGGGGGTCGGGTGTGTGCGGCGTGGGGCGGGTGAGGACTCGTGGAGGAGTTGGAGCCACTCGCCGGTTCGGAAGAGGGCCGCCCGCCGGTCAAGTTCCTCAGGGGTGGCAAGGGTTTGGTGGGTGGGGCGGTGCAGGAGGAGGCGTGAAGCGAGTAGGAACAGTTTCCACCCGCGTTCGGTGTCGACAGGGTTGGATGTGGGGGAGTTGATGGCGTCAAGCGCCATGCGAAGGGCGTGTTTATAAGTTGGCAGGAGCCGCCGGGGGACTGATTGGAAGGTGGGGGTGCGGATGCGGAGCGTGGCGCACAGATCAACAGCGTCAAGACAAGATAGGCCTGTGGGTGGTGCAGGTCTGGGGGCCTGGGTAGGTGCGTCGATCTCAGTATCGGTCATGGGGAGGGGTGGGGGGGAAGCAGGGCGATTGCCACGGCCGCGTCCGCGGCCGCGGGTGCTTCGGCAGGTCGGTGGGGGTGGGGGGGATGGAAGGTGAGGGGATGGCGGTGGTGAAGGCGGGTGCGGGTGCGGGGTCGGGGGTGGGCGGCGCGCGGAAGAGGTTGGCTTGGCGGTCGAGTGCAGCGGCGAAGGGTAGCCCGCCATAAAGTTGCAAGCAGGTTTCTTGGGAAGCCGCCGGGATGTACCCGTCCGCGTCCGCCAGGATTTGGAGAAGCCACCGCAGGTAAGCATGGGCTCCGGCGGGAAAGGGTCCGGCGGCGGTGAGCCGGGCAAGTTGTTCGGCGGCTCCGGCGGACGGGGTAAGGTTGAGTGCCGTGCGGAAAGCTTCCAAATCGACTGGGGGGGCGTCGGCGAGGGTGTCACGGGCTAGGGTCCACCACTCGCCGCACTGGGTTTGCCAGGCTTGTGCGGCAGCTTGGGTTTGGAGGCCGGCCGCGGCCCAGAGGAGGGGGACGTAGAGCCAGGAGTTTGTGCTGGCGGTGATTGGCGCGGTGGGTGGCGCGCGGTCGCGCCAAGCGGGGCGGGTGGGTGGTGGGGTGGGGCCGGGGGTCTCCGCTTCGGAGTCGCGGAACGGGTTCACACCAACAGTGCCGCACAAGCGTGACAGTGTGTCGTCATGTTCCGGGCCCTCAGGCCACGGGGACCTGCATTGAGCACAGCGGGGGGGCTGTACTTGTGCTCTGAGCCTTGCTAAGCATGAGAAATGGTAGCAGTGGCCGCAGGTGGGCCAGGCGATGGGTCGCCGGCGTCGGGGGCAAGCAGGGGCAAAAGGCTCTAAGCAAACTGCGCAGGGGCCTGGGGGAGGTGCGGGGGCCTCGTCGGAATCGCTAAGCAGGATGGTGTCTGCGAACGTGTGTTGGGTGGGGTGGGGTTCGGGGGCAGGGGGTGGTGGGGAAGGGGGGCCGGGGTTGGCAGCTTCGCCGACCCGGTGTGCGCGAAGCGGCCACCCGGACCATCGTGGGCTGGCGCAGTTGCTGCCTGGGAGCTGGCGGGTAAGTTGGGGGGGGCGGTGGCCGTGGCGGTGGGGGCGGCAGGGGCGGGGCGGCAGAGGGGGGCAGCGGGCTTGGTGAGGGATGACGAGGGTAGGGGGGAGGGACTAGGGGCCCAGACGTCATTGGGATGAGGTGAAGCGCGCGGCGCGCGTGAGGTTGAGGGGACGAGGAACCTCAATGGCCGAATAGTCGAGGGGTGGACCGCTCGGGGTTAAAGCGGAGGGGTGCCACAGGAAAGGGTGGCCTGCCACAGGCAGGGTGACTGAGCGGCCCCGCGATACGCAAAAGAAAACGGGTGAAACAAACTGCGGTGGGACAGGGGGGCGCGGAAATGTGCCTGCAGTGGCGCCAGTGCGGATCCCGTGGGGGGGCGGTTAGGGGGGGGGAAGGTAAAGGGTTTCAGCCGCCAAGGGGGGCAGGTGGGAATGGGGCTTCCGGGGGCGACGAAAGGGTACGGGGCGGGCGCGCCTTTTAAGGGGGGCGGAGGCGCCTCGCTGGGATTGGGCCGAGGCAGCCTTGAAAGTGATGGCGGCACTGGGGCCGCGCCGGGGGGGGGGAGGCACAGCAGGGGGTTGGGGGTGAAGGGGGCCCGGGTGGGGGGGGTCAGGCAGGGGTGGGAAACGGGGCTTCCGAGGGGCAACGAAAAAGGGTACGGGGCGGCGCCTTAAAGGGAGGCGGCGGCCTCGCTTGGGATGGGGCCCACCGAGGCACCTTGAACGTGATGGCGCACTCGGGGCCGCGAAGAGGGGGGGGGTACGCAGGGGGTTGTGGGTGAAGGGGCACGGGGGGGTGGTGGGGGGTTGGAAAGGGTTTCAGCCGGGTGGGAATGGGGATTCGGGGGGGACAACGAAAGGGTACGGGGCGGGCTCGCCGTAGAAGGGGGGGGCGGCGCGCCTCGCTTGGGATTGGGGCCCGAGGCAGCCTTGAAAGTGATGGCGCACTCGGGGCCGCGAGCCGGGGGGGGTCACCGCAGGGGGTTGTGGGTGAAGGGGGCAGGGGAGGGGTTGGCTTGAGCCCCCTGAGCCAGAATGGCTTGAGCCTTTTAGCTGCCGCCTTGAGCCAAAATGGCTTGAGCCAAAATGGCGGTTAATGATGGTTAATAATAATATTCTGGTTGGTGGTTTTTCGCCACCCCTCTGAAAAATATGAGTTAGTGAACGTCAGTTGGGATGATGACATTCTATTCCCAACTGAATGGAAACATAACATTCATGTTCCAAACCACCAACCAGTTATGGTGTATATAGTTAATGAATGTTCATGAGTGTTATCAAATCCTATACCAACTCATAATTGCGGGGGGCCACCTCGTACTGATGGAAATATCCATAAATTCCGATGGGCCCAATCATATCCGGGCCAAAACGTAAGATATTCAAGTACTGGAGGACCAAGTACCTCCATCCACAATTTCATGCGAACACGCCATATCATTCGAAAATGTTTGGAGAATCGCCGTCACATTGCAACATGGGATAACATGGGTATGGACAGATGTTTTCTGGCGGCTTGTTTACATTAATATTGTCAATGTTCTATTGAAAATAGTTTTATAAGATAATTTATAAGGATTCACATTGCCAATCAAATAATGAACCAACTCATAATATTTTACCTACCCATTCTATAGCGATGTTGTGAAAATCCAGCCATTTCCACATCTGCCCACCCAGGGTCCCAGGGTCCCTAGCCTTCATGAGGGCCATTTGCATGGGAGAATAGACCAGCCCTAGGTCCACACCAGGAACGAAAAAGTATCCTTAGGGCGGATGCAACTTCTAGACCCCCGATGGGATCCCAGGAATTTCATACTACCCGGCCTGGTAAACATACAAAAAGCTATTGAAAATGGCCATTTATAGTGGATTTTCCCAGTAAAAATTGTGATTTTCCATAGCAAACTGTTAAATTACCAGAGGGTACTCCCATAACGAGGAATGGGTAGCTTGATTCAGAGTCAGTCGACACAACTTGACCAAGACAACTTGAGGAAAGCAGAAATGCTTAGCGTGCTCTACAGACAGAAACATTTTTAAGGAGGCGTTCAAATTTGGAACAAAGGGCGTGTGATTGCCTAATCTGATTGGTGGTTTTAACCATCACAAAGATATGCTCGTCATCTCAAGCAATTATCCCTTTTTTTGTATGGTTGAACAAACAGACATATTCTGTTTTAGCCACCAAGCAGCAATGTTCTGGCAACACTGTGGAGGATCGTCTCTCGAACCGTAAGTGGTGACGAAAACCCTGGTTGGAAAGTCATGGGGGTACCCACAAGCTCGCTGGCTGGTTTCCCAAATGGAAAATCCATCTATAAATGGATGAGAACTGGGGGTACCCTCATTTCAGGAAACCTCTATGTCTAAATGATTAAATGGGTGATAACTATAGTTGCTAACCAGTTCCTACAGAATGATTCCCCAGGAACTGCTAAAACTAGTTGCATTTTTTTGCATGTTTGGGAGCGATCTGAATCGATCTGACATGGCTTTGCCTAAGATGAACATTTTGGCAGAGACATTAGGCATGATGATGTTTATGAAGAATTGGCACCAACAAGTTAATTACTGCAAAATATTGCAAACACAAAAAAAAAAACGCGTTCCCACAGGCCCCCGCTCTCAAAATAAGACATCGTGTAGGATGATACTACCGACCAAACAATTTTGTTTGAGATACTGAAACATGGAGATAAGTATGGAAATGTGCAACAAGTCAGTTTCCCATTTGCCGCCAGGAAAGGCGAAACAACAATGAACCAAAGGTTATGCTCCACTTAGTGAAGTTGGTTCAAAAAAGCCCCTAAAATGCGATTGTTGATCAGCAAACTGCCCAAAAATGGGGGTATCCCCCATAGAAGAAACCCACCATGATCCCACAAGATGCCAAAACCATCCAAAACCTACAGCCCAGCGCAAGATGAAAATGCCATGATCATCGCGTTTTCACCGAGATGCTCCATGAACCATTGGGGCACTGTGGTAAATGAATGTAAATGAGAGGGAAAAAAAACAACTGGATTTTCACATCCTGAACATTTCGGACATTTCAAGCATTTTCTTCCACTGGATTTGGGGCTAGCTAGCCAACCCCATCTGTTTTGGAAAATCCAACCGCAAATGATGCGAAAACTTCGAAAAACACCTGGAGTTTGGCCAGGGATCCACTATCACTGGCCATGACCCTGAAATCAAAAGCCAAGCCCATCATGCCACCAGCTGCGCACCAGTGGCCCTTGAAGGCTGCCACCGTTGGTAGAGGGAAGCAACAAACCCCGCGCAGGGGCTTTGAGCCGGGAACTAAGGAGGCCAAAGCCCAAGCTCCTTGATTTACCAAAGGGTCAACATTTGTGAAGATGTTGAAACCACCCACAAGCCTTGGGAGCCTTGCTTGGGAACTCCAGTAAATGGATCACTAACCAACCAAACAGCTATATGACCCGCCGGAAGTCAGACTTCTACCGGAATCATTGGAACATGTGACCCCAAATTCTTACCGACCATCGATGGCCAATGCTCCCTTCATAACCTCCACCACCAGCCCGGCCTGGCCATCAGTTGATTGGTGTCCCTCTGCAGTTTGGAATGCTCCTCATTGGAGCAATTGTCCAAATAGCGGAGATCCATGCCGTTGGACCAATAGCGACCTGGCACTCCGAAGTAACTGATGGCTGGGAAGGGAAGCCTGGGGAGAATATCATGAGTTTATGGACTGACAAACAATCGAATGTTTAGATGGTTAGCACATTTCACCACTGATAGTAAATCAATGGCCATTCCAGGATCCTAAATTGGAGGACTACCATATATAAGGCCTATTTTTCAGGCCTAAATTTCAGGGAATATCCCCACAATTCATATGGCCAAACATATGGTACGTTTACGTACCTCCAATTTAGGATCCTGAAGATCTCCCATTGAGTAAAAGATTAAAGCATTAAAGTATGGAACCAAGGGAAACCCAGTGGAGAAGACCTTGCATAAAATTCTTTGATACTACCTTGATGGCAGAAAAACCAGGCTGCGGGGCCCATCTAGGCTGATAGGCCCATCTATTCTTGGATCCGCTTAACAAAAGCCAGAAGGCTCTTGGAAGACCACTGAAAGACTTGGGACGAGATTCATCTTGAAATGTTCCACCAAGCGTGGTCATCTTTCAGCTTTCCAAAGCTTTCTAAAGCTACTGTGGATGGGCCAGCGAAATCCTGCACCTCCTTGGATGGTTGAAACCCTATAAATACTAGGATAAACCATCTATCAACTGGTGCAGGATTTCGCTGGCCCATCCACAGTATGTAGACCATCTTTTGCCTCAATGTGTTGCACCCAGCAGCGCCTTCATTGCTGACTACCAGAGCCTGAAAAGGTCAGGAGCTTGAACCCCCCTGCGCTTCTCATCTTCCCCGGGTGCAGAAGTTCCGTGTTATGTTTCCAAATGATGATCTGCTGACCCAATATCTTACCTAGGCCTTAGTATATAACGGAACTGCTAAGTTGAAAATTTCGCATTTCCTCAAATGCGAAAGTTCAACTTTGACATTGGAAGGTCGGGGTGATATGCAAAACATGGTCAAGTTACATAGAATGTTTGGATGGGCCATCCAACCCAGTTACCCAGTTTTTGTTTGGATTGACCACCCCCCAATACAATCTACCCTCTGGTAAATTAACAGTTTGACCCCGAAAATGACCAATTTATAGTGGAAACTAGTCTTCCAACCCTGATGACTGCCAGGGTCTATGTTAATATACCAGAGGGTAATACAAGTATATATTCCAGGGTTTGACCGCACGGCACATGTAAAACATGACCGCACGACATGCTTGCAACACCTTAGCCTTCCACATCCATGGCATTCATGCACCAAATTTTCTGATTTCACCCCTAGTATACCAAGTAAAGAGGTCTGGACACAAAATCTGTGTAAACTAAACATGTCACAAAACAAGAAGCCTGAATCTAGTTGAGGAAATTAGGAAAGATCTCCAGGAAACTAGGATTGTCCAAAATTCTATGATCATGCAAACATTGGGTTTCTTGTTGATTTTCTATATGTAAGGGTTGTAGATTTGGCAAATTCAGATGCTCACTATTCATCGATATTGATCGATAAATTGCACATTTACATACAATTACCAATTTCCTGACAAAAAATGACTATTGCATACAAAATAATTACCACATTCCTGACTAATTATCTAAAACTATCGAACATCTAATGACTATTACATACTATTACCAATAGATATTACCAATCAAATTGCCACATTCCTGATTAATTATTGAACATTTCATGACTATTACCCATAGATTCATAGAATGTGAGGCCCCCAAGATAGCTAAGTTGGTGAACATAACTCCAATAACTATGGTTTATGGCACGCAAATAACTAGATATTACCCATTGCCCCGTTTCTTTTGTGCCTATCCTTTCTCTGTCATGGTGAATTCGGCCCAAACCTGGGACACCAACGTCTGCCGGCCCAGCAACTTCAGCCGTGGAATCCGCTTCCACCGCATCCAATGCGCTGGAAAGATCTGAGACCAAGACCTCGAGGAGAAATCTATGGGAATTCATGGGAAAATGGAATGCCAATACTATGGGAAAATGGAATTCATGGGAAATCTATGGGAAAATCTATGGGAATTCATGGGTAGTTTATAGGATATATAACCCATAGGATCCATGTATGCTGTATATGGTAACATGGATCCCATCAATATACCCCAGTCATGTTAGCATATATATATATACCAGCACCATGGATCCTATAGGATATAGACATGAGAAATTCAATTGAAGACATATTGAAGTTAAACATATCTGGTTGGTGGTATACCTACCCCTCTGAAAAATATGAGTTCGTCACTTGGGATGATGACATTCGCAACTAAATGGAAAGTCATAAAATTCCATGGTTCCAGTCACCACCAACCAGATATTCAATGTAGTTCACTGGCTTGGTTTCGGGCAAAAAAAAGCCATGAACATCGACTGGAAACCAGTGGCTTGACTCCCCGGAACATCGAATTTTTTTGAGTTTTTGTTCTATTGCACATGTCTCTTGGATTAACATTTAAGTTAACAAGGGTGAACCACCACTTAGTTGGTGAATAAAATTATTGATGCGTCAAAAAATATATTATAGGGGGAACATATGGTTTTTGAATGTTTTTGATACATTAAAAGAAGGCTGATGGGATTGCCAACTGCAAAACATTTTTTTGGGCACTGCAGGACCGCAATGCCAAATGCATCCAACAAATTGGGACCGTGCTGTAAGAAGAAAGGATGATTTGGATAAGAGGCTTCCAAATCAACAGCGAACCATAGGCTTCCACTACAGCCGGAAACTCAGGTGGAAAGACACATGAAACCACCCAACGATGATTTCGGGCGCCAATGATTACCCTCCGGTAAACGTTTACAAAAAGCTATTGAAAATATGGTGATTTAGTTACAGTTCGTGGATTTACCCATTAATAGCATGGTGATTTACCCATTAAAAATGGTGATTTTCCATAGTTTTCCCATTAAAAATGGTGATTTTCCATCGTTTTTTGTGTGTTTACCATGCAGAGGGTAGTTCCCAGTTTGCGAACTGGAAGTGGCCCATGTAGTTTGATGATAAAACCCGTTGAAATGATATGACCAGACCAGTTCGCGAGTTGTGTCAGATTACTGGAGGATGTATAATTATATATGATATATATGATAGATATATATATATATATATGATATATATGATATATAATATTACTGTCAGATTACTGATTATTTTATATATATATATGATATATTATACGTTGGCTGCATTTAAGACTGTCAAATTTTTGAATGCACCTCAGTATATATATATATATATGTATAATTATGTATACATTCCAATAATTCATTGGAAAATCATCCATTAGAATTCAGACATATTCTTAATGGGAATTTCAGGATCCTAAAATGGAGGTACTGTACCATACTGTATAAGGCCACATTTTGTGGGGATATTCCCTTACATAGCCCTTACATTGGCCTTATATTTGGTAGGTACCTCCAATAAATCGGTTCCTGAAATGGCCATTGATATTATATAAAACCCAATCTAATTCGTGGATTTCCCCCATTAGATGTCCATTTTTTGTTGGTGATAGTTGAAACCTTTTTTTTGGATCCAAATGCTACAGTTATGGTCCGAAATACCTGTTATAAGTACGAACAAAACCCCAGGTATGGAATGTTGAATCCCATTTATAACATGTTTATAACCAGTTATAATCAGTTATAACCACTTATAACCACTTACAACCACTATGCAAACATCTATTAAACGGCCATAACTGTAGTTCCTACAGTATGACAACCATTCGGCTTCGGCACGACGACGAAACCGAGGACCGAGGCTCAGGGTTCCAACGATGTTCCGCGCGGAGAGTTCCCCAGGACCAGCTGCCTTCCAATGCTTTGAGGGTCAGCAGTGCCACTCCATTTCCTTAGAACTGGGGACATTGGGTTACCCTCTGGTAATTTAACATAGCTATTGAACATGGCCATTTATAGTGGATTTACCCATTTCCTTAGATCAATGGGAATTCCAGGATCCTAAATTGGCGGTACTGTGCCTTATATAAATATAGGCCTTATATATGGTAGGTACCTCCAATTTAGGATCCTGGAATGGCCATTGATTAGAACTGTGCCCATTCGGTTGGTGAAAAAACCGCCATTTCCTCAGCTGCTTTTGGAGGCTGGTCAACAAGCCGTTCAACACAGTGTTTGGAAAAAACATGCGGAAGCTGGTTCTTGTTGTTTTTGGGGGGCTTACCGACCATATTCGATCCTCTATATAATATATTAATATTATATATATATGTCATTTATATATATATGTCATTTATATATATATGCCGTCCTGTAATCAGACACGACAATGGACAAGTCCATCTAGCTCGAGGATTTTCCATTGCCAAATATGTTTGATGACACCAGAGGGTAGTAGCCTCCAGCAAACCGATGTGTGGACAAATATGGACAACTTACCATGAATCTAGAATATCTAGATCACTTTCCGAGTTTCCACCTGGATTTTCCACCTGGATTTTTGTGAGGCCATAAAATAACCAGGAAAAACCCTCAGATGTCACTTGGGCTGCCTCACTAATCTCGAGGTGCACGTCCCCAAAGTCCGTGCCGGACATCGAACAGAAGCAACGCCCGACTTTAGGAAACGGCCTGGAAGATTTGTGAAAAAAAATCACACCATATCACACCCCAAAATATGGATAATTTAGATCGGTAGATATTGATCTTGTCCGATATTGTCATATTTTGGAGATGGATATTGATGATTCAAACTGAGACTTTTGTAATTGATGGATATTCAAACATTGACAAATCATCCAAATGTTATATTTTGGAGATGGATATTGATGATGGAAAGTAATATCTATTTATTGATGATTTGAACATTTGTTCCATGAGACTTTTGATACAGTGATTTTCTTCAGCCCCAACTGGGGATGCTCAAAAAAAACCGACAGATTCCAAACCTACCCTCTGGTAATGACTACCCTCTGGTAATGACTAGCAGTTTGCTATTGAAAATTGCCATTTATTTATAGTTGATTTATCCATGAAACATGATGATTTTCCATAGTTTTTTGATGTTTTTTGTAGGTTTACCAGAGGGTAACCTTTTTCGAACCACCTCTGTGTAGAAATTTTGATAGCACGGTGACTTGAGCCGATTGGAACCGATTGGAGCAAGCTGGACGTGGCAAGATCTCATGATCTGGACATGGCAAGCACTGTGAGTTTCACGCATCTCTTGTTTTTTTTTTTGCGATTAATAATCACAATGGATTGTAAAATGATAAATATATGATTGTATGGTATTTTAATGGAATTTAATGGGATATATGATGGTTACCCTCTGGTAAACGTTTACATGTTGCTATGGGAAATCACCATGCTATTAATGGGTAAATCCACGAACGAAATGACCATGTTCAATAGCTTTTTGTTTGTTTACCAGAGGGTAAATCAAACAGATTCCCTATAAATTCCAAGTATTGTGGTAAAGCCAGTAATAAACCATCCCCTACGTCACCATTTTTATGGGTGGTATTTTTAACCATCCCCAAATGCAGAGGTTTATGGCACTGGGTTGCCATCATTCGCGGATGTTCCATTGTGAAAACTACACATTATCGACTGATCGACTCAACAAAGCAGGTTCTTTGGAATTCAGAAACTGTGCATGAGGCATCAGGCAGCCAATCTTCTTCCGGAGCTTCAACGCACTCAACGCCATCCCGGGTCAGTGTTGTTACTGTCGTCCTTAGGTGTGACATCCACCAGGGCGGGTGATTCTATGGATCCACGCGTTGCGGCGTTGCCTAAGGATCTGACCCAGTCATAAACGTTTTGGCACACGATGCATCCATATCCTGGACATTCTGAGTTGCTGTGCAACAACCGCAAATCAAAGAAATCAAGCCTTCCCAACATACCACATCAAAATGTGTGTGTGTGGTAATTATCCTCGAGTAGATACAATATGAAAATGTGAAAACAAAACTCATTAAAATGGAAACATGTTATATATATGTAATTGAGAACCGCATCTTCATCCACAGTCTATCAGGATGAAAATATATGAAATTCCTCCAGCTTTGCTAAAAGCTGCTAACATGTGCCCAAAAAACGTTTTGGAACCTCATAATAATGATTACTAATGAACATATCACAGTATATCACTAAATCCATCAGGGAAATCTCCATGAACATCCAATAAATCTCATGAAACCACAACAAAAACCCATCCAACATTTACCCTCTGGTAAACTAACATAGCTATGGAAAATCACCATTTTTAATAGGTAAATCAACTATATATGGGCCATTGTCTATAGCTTTTTGTATGTTTACCAGAGGGTAAAACATCAAAAGTTTCCCAGTAGTTCCACGCCCAGAAGTTCCTGGCCGACCAACAACGACCAGGCGCCCCCGGAGCCCCCCGGCTTTGGTGCAGTCGCTGCAGAAGAATGTCTTGCATCTCCTGTTCGAAGCGAAGGTCCTGGACCGCGGCGGACTTGGACTGGAGGACCTAAAGGGAGACCCGAGGGAGGAAACACATTGGAGACGCACCATGGGAAAACCATGGATCAAACGGGAAAAAACCATGGGAACCATTGCCAAACTGAAAAATTGGAAAAAAAACACGGAACAAATTGGGAGAAAAAAAACATCGCCGCAAGCTTGCTCTGTTTTGAAGAAGAACACTGGGATGTGCCCAAAATATCCCGGTCTCAACCTGTCCTTGAACCAGTTGTGTCTCACCACCAAGCCCAGGGGAGCTGTGAAGAGCTGGCTGCTGGCCTAATTTTGCGATTCAAACCGATGGTCTTTTTTCCAGACCTTATCCCTGAAATCAGCGTGAATGTGTGAATTTCAGAACCCTAAAATGGAGGTAATGGACTATGTAAGGCAATATTTGTTTGGGGATATTCCCTGAAATTTAGCCCTTACATATAGGCCTTATATATGGTAGAAACATCCAAAAAATCGGTTTCTGAAAAGGGATCCCCTTATATCAACCAAGGTATGAGGGTGATCATTTACTATGATAGCTTTTGGGGATCAGCCAAAGTGAGGCTTCAGCACATGAAACTATGGTTCTTAGTTGTTCTTAGTCTTGGTTGATCTGTTGATATAATGATGGCTCCTGCAAGATTGTTCCCTTTATCAGTCTTTATCTGATTCTGGAACCAAGCTGAATAGCAACAACCACTGGTAATTTAACATAGCTATTGAACATGGCTATTTGTAGTATAGTTGATTTATATAGATATACATAATATACATAATATACATATATATATATATTTATTTATTTATTTATTTATTTATTTATTTGTTTGTTTCATTTACGGATATCAAAATTCTATTTATAGTTGGTTTACCTATTAAATCATAGTGATTTTTCCATAGTTATGTTAGTTTACCAACGGGTAGATGGTATGACTCGCACCTACTCCTGGCTGATCCCTGCTTCGTCCAAGGCCCCGGGCCAACACTGTGACCTGAAACCGATGGCATCCCATGGCCTTTTTCTATGGCCGTTTAGCAATTATAAGTGGTTACAACTGGCTACAAATGAGATTATATACATTCCATAAATCGGATTATAAATACTTATACTTAGTCTGAAGGTTAAATTAACTAGTTTCAGATTATGGTGAGACATGAAGGTGGTGTTGATAGTTATAACATGTTATAACTGGTATTTTGGGCCTTAACTGGTTTTTCTCGTGGAAACTAAGACATCCAATACCCTACAGTGCCCTACAGCGTCAAAAATGGCAATGGAAAATACCCACCACATTTGGATTATTATCATTGATTATCCCTCTAATTCTCCCTCTAAATGCCGATTTACAGGACAATTCCCTGCCACGTTTGATTGCCAGAGGGTAAATCAAAGAAAGTACCCTCTGGTTATTTAACATAGCTATGGAATATGGTCCATTTATAGTTGATTTACCCATTAAAAATGGTGATTTTCAATAGCTATGTTAAATAACCAAAGGGTATCCCAAGAAAGCTTCTTCCCCGCCAGGCTTCCCCCCATCCAGAAATTCCTCGGACAATCCCGCGCTGCTTTTTGACTGGTCCAGGGCTGTAACTGACTTCACAGCAGGGGTATAGATGGGTATCGTGAAAATTCCACCGGCAGCAAATCAGTAAATTTCAAGATGAGTCTGAAAAGAGGGTTGCAATAGGTTGCCCCAAAGCCCAGACTTCAGTGAATAAAGACCCTGCAGTTCATTGGTAGAGGTGATGCAAAATTAACTCGGTTAACTCCAAAAATGAATGGCCGGGGGCTATTGATCCAGGGTTGATATCAATGGTCATTTCAGGAACCGATTGATTGGAGGTACCTACCATATTTTTGGCCTATTTTTCAGGCCATTGATGATATGGCTCATAATTTTCCCTAAGATATTGATGTTTGGGAGCTCCACCTCATTGTCAGACCCATGTCATTGCTGTCAATGGATCACCCACTCTGCTTGAAGGATCCAAATCGTAACTGGTCAACAACCCTGGCGATCGTATGTTCTCGATTCGTGGGCTATCCATGGTTATCCCATGTAGAAATAGTTGAACTGACTATATTGACTATGGTGATCCAATTTTAACCAGTTGACTTTCTTGGATCCTCCAAGTGCATCCAAGTACTCTCGGAATCTTTGTCCGAGTTTTTTCACAAGATCCCCGCCGCATGCCCTTCGCGGCAGCGTTTGGGAATCTGCAGGGTGTTCCAAGAGACGACCTATGGATCACATAGAGAAACTCATCATCTGATGAGTACCAAGATGGAGACAGCCAAACCACAAAAAACATGTCGGACATACCCAGAAATACCAGATAATACCAGCTCTTCTATGGGGTTTTTGCATAGTGATTTCCATGGAAGTTCATGGCTGACCCAGATTGGCAACATTTTTTCACCCTTCAAGCCTTCTTCAAGCCTTCTGGAAGCCTCTGAAAAGAGTTCAGAGCTGAGATCCCCTGACTTTCTTTGAGCCAGGTCGAAGCCAGGAAAATTTCCTCTCCCTTCCCAACATCCAGGATCAACAAGCCTCGCTTGTTAAGGAAACTGAGGAATTCAATATTCAATTCAAATGCAAATGAACTATATCAAATCCATTTATGCTCATTTCAAATCTATTGAGTCATATTGAACAATACAACTGCTGTACCATGGATTCAGGAAAGAGTAGCAATGATTGCTAGAACTTTTCATGGCACCTCGGGTTTTTTCCCCAAGCTTTTGGGCTGCGGTGCCGCCCGTCCCAACAAATGCGGAGGCTGTGAAGGTGCCCCGGGTGGCTGCCAGCTGTGCAACGGTGCAGCTGGCTGCGCGCAGTCGCCAGGGCGCGGTGCCGGCCGCAAGGGGTCGCTGCGGATGGCGAAACCCCTCACGGTGCAGTGCCAGCAGACCTGCAGCCATGACACCAATGGATTGCAGAGAAAGATGACAAGAAAACCATGATTTTTTCCCATGAAATAAGGGGATTTCTTGTAATGTTTCCCTTCAACTAAGCCTTAAACCAACCCAATGAAGCAAGAACAAAAGTCCGAAAACGGGTAAAAACGTCAATGACTATCAAGGTTTTTTAGGGCTAGGCTTTAGTAGGTTTTTTTTTACGATGTCTATCTTTTCATGGGGGGTGCTATTGAGGAAACATCTTAGCTTTAAACAATGGTGTTCCTCCCGGAGATTTTCCCTCAAACAATTTCTGGGAAGGTTTGGGAAAGAATGACTTTGAGAAACATGGTTTATACACCAACTATCATTGATTCTAATCAAAAAAAATAACGATACTAGTGAACATGGCCATAGCACACATGTGAGTACTGTCAACCCTTGATAAATCTGGGGTTGTTTCATTGAGTGATCAATATTATAACCAATTAGTAACAAATTACATACAATCAACACCATCAACATCAATATAATTTGACGACTGGAATTGATATAATTGATTGTAGCCTGGCTAACAGGGATTCCACAAAGGATTAGGACTACGGGATCCCATTGGGACAATTCCATCATCAACCAACAGGGGGTTTTGACCACTGCTCAATTGGGGGGGGGTGCCATTGTACTATTACTAGCAAATTATCACATTTTGATACATTTTGGGGGCGGCCCCTAATCAAGTAGCCAGGGTTAATGTATCCAGGGCTGACATTAGGTCCAACATGGTCCAACACTTAGGAACTCATGCGGTAAAAAGGCAACAGCGACCACATGACAGCAACTCAGGAATTCAAGAAACAAATCAAGCAAACCAATGGAAACAAATGGTGGTGACTGTAGTTCCCCAAGATCAATTCCATCTTGCCAAATAGGAAAAGAAGTGCCTTTCTAACAGCGGGCCAGGAACAAACACGATGAGCAACAGCAACAAGAAACCCACCAGAAACGCAACGATCGCTGCCCATAGATCCCCTTGGCTGTTTCCCTTGGGACAGGCGGGATAAGGATCGAAACCACACCAGCGGCACTGCAGATGTCTCCCATCGGCATAGCATCCGAGGCCACCGGAACTTCTACAACTTTCGTCCCAAACCTTGAACTTCTACAAGGGGCGCCAACAAAAATCACAGAGATTCCCTATACCCTCCAGTAAATTAACATAGCTATAGAAAATCACCATGCTATTAATGGGTAAATCCACTATTTCAATGGCCATTTTCAATAGCTATGTTAGTTTACCAGAGAGTAGATTCCCTATAGATTCCCTATAGATTCTCCAGTTCTGGTGGATTTCCACGGGAAAAAATGCCCAAAATCACCAAACAACCCCAGGCAACGTAGGGAGTGCTGGTTGGTGGCGCAGTGGAAAAATCGCATTGGCCCACCTGCCCTGAAGGGCTCGCAGGGCTGTTCTCCTTCGAAAATGTTGGCTGACCATACGGGGCTCCAATCGATAAGGTGCCCTCCAGTAAGCTAACAGTTTGCTATGGAAAATGGACCATTTAGTTCGGCTATAGATGATTTACCTATTCAAAATTTTAGTTCGATGATTTACCTATATATTTAAAATGGTGATTTTCTATGGCTATGTTAGTTTACCAGAGGGTGGTTGTAATTAAACATATCTAGACACCACTGGACCACGATGCAATATCACCTCAATGACATCCAAAAATATCAGCAACATACCCATAGGATCCATGGTGCTGGTATATGCCAACATAAAGGGGGTATATTGATGGGATCCATGTTACCATATATAGCAGCACCATGGATCCTATATCCCATAGTCCAAGACCAAAATAGTGGACCACCCAAAAATTGCCACTCCATGACTTTTGGTCTCCCAAAATCACTCTGATTATCCCCCGTAATGTCAAGCCAGGGACTTCTTCATCATCATCATCTAGACTGATTCATCCCTACAACTGGTGATTCTCAACACCAGCCATAAACCATCTTAATATATCTCAATCATCAACTATGGGGGGCTACAACAAAAACATCCCAAATAGTGGCATACCTAATTCATAAGCCCGAAGTGTGGATAAATTTATAGATTTATAGATTTATAATTATCCCAACAATTTCCCAGAATGCCATAGGTGTTCCCCTCAGTTTAACATATGGGAAATATATGGGAATTGTATTGGTGATTTATTGGAAAAATATGGGAAATATATGGTGATTTATGGTGATTTATTGGAAAAATATAGGAAATATATGGTGATTTCTGGTGATTTATTGGAAAAATATGAGAAATATATGATGATTTATAGATGTACATATCTAAATGCTTTCAAAATGGATATGAATGGCCCATGATTCTTGATGATTTATCATGATTTATCATGATTTATCCAGTAAGAATGGATAAAACACGATGATTTTCTCATGATTTTTATATATTAAATTATCGGAGGATATGCCATAAATGGGTGAACTGTCTATACTGAACTAACCAGTTACTTTCTTCGCGGGATCCTCCTCCTAGCGGAAGTTTCAGAAGGGATAAATCCAAAAAATATCAGAATTCTTAGGATGATTCCACCTATCCTAAGCATCATCTATGGTGAGAGCCGAGGGTCCCAGGGTCACTCTCTTTTTTGCTTCGGAAATTCATAGGTGCTCCGTGGTTATCCACGTGGTATGCTCATCCCGTTTCCATGAATTTCCTGGAATCCCGTCATGATTTTTTGGATTCATGAACTGATGACATACGATCAATTCCTCTTCCACGGGAAAAAAATCATCCAACTCCTATAAAAGAGTTTTTATAAGATATTAAACTATAATTATAATGGTCATTATATAATTAAGAGTTATAGTTATTATAATCATCCAACTCTTGATTAAACTATAATGATCATTATATATCCTATAAACTACCCTCCGGTAATTCTAAATAGCTATGGAAAAAGACCCATATGACCCATGGTGATCGTCCATAGCAAACTGTTAGTTTAACATAAACATCAACATACATCAACTATCCCTAGGTTTTTCCATGTTTTCCAAGTGGTAAAATTTCTAACTTCTCATTGCCAATCTTAAATACCCTGCAAAAAAATAAATACGTACTGACGTACTGTAGCTGGTTAGAAAATAATTTATACCAAAAGATTAAAGGATTAAACTACCCAACTAACCAACTACCCATCCAAGATTGACCTACAGTAGTAAGTATCGTTCGATCATATGGAGGTTTCCTGAAATGGGGGTACCCCCAGTTCTCATCTATGTTCATCCATTTTTGTTTGGAATTTTCCAGTATACACCATCCAACGAGCTTGGGGTACCCCCATGACTATGGAAACCCAAATATGGCACTTAAAGATCCATTCAACAAGGATATGGAGAAATCATTAGTAGATATATCTCTCATAATATCAATGTTTTATGGTGATATACACCCATGGCCCATGACTATGGAAACCCCATGCCCTGGTCCTTTGCAAGAATTTCGCGCATCGTTCTTCACCTCGGATGCGCTGCATGCCGTCCATGGCCTCCTTGGCCGGCGCGATGATGGTGGGAATGGTATCACCAAGGCCATCCGCGAAGTACAGGTAGGAGCCGTTGATGTAGGGCGAAGCCCAGGCTATACATTGGAAGTTGGCCAAATGAGCTTGGAAACCTTAGAAAAAGGCAAAGGCATGGGATGATATCTTCAAAAGCAACATCATCTTTGGAAAAAAAGTGCGTTGTATGAACTACAATAAAATATTCTCTATGTTTTGCTTTTCCTCTCTCTCTCTCTCTCTCTCCCCTTCTCCATCTCCATCTGTTTAGCTGTAGCTGAGCTTTATATCGATTTAGGATGATTTAGGGATTTTCTGTAAGTTTCTCACCTTTCGAATGGAAAGCTGAGGTTCAGTTGGTTATACCACCATCTCAAAAAGAGAACAGTCCTGAAATCAGCAACCAAAAAACTATCAGGTCTGGAAATCGACAATCCATGGTCCAGTGGAATCAAGTCCTTCGCCCACGCAAAGCGCTGCGAATGCGCAGCTTCCTTCGGCAACAAAGGCCTACTACCAAGCAGATACACGGGATTGCCATTCCCTCCAAAGGCGCACTTCGGCTTCGCCACGGCAAAGTTTTTACTAGTGCCCTCTCCAAAAATCCAACGACTGTGTAGAACCTGGATCCCTCCGTCGTAAAGTTGGAAGAAGGTCTCTGAAAACGGACCACTGATGAACAAGGACCTCAGATTCTGCACCATGAGATTCTATACTTACATTCTGTGCTCAGACGAAACCACATCAGCCGGCTCTTGTGAGCAGGGCTGGTGGTACCTCTGCAAACATGCCCTCCATGAGTAACTGGTTGGTGGTTTTTCGCCACCTCTCTGAGAAAATGATGGAGTTCGTCAGTTGGGATGATGACATTCCCAACTGAATGGAAAGTCATAAAATTCATCTTCCAGTCACCACCAACCAGGTAAAAATCAACTTCATAAGGCAGGTCTCAAAATTCGAACAACACCATCCCATCATGAGAATCGGATGACTTCCGCCCCCGGATCAACCCCACACTTTCTGCACATCTCTCACCCCCCAAAACAAACAAAATACGCTGCGCAACACCCAGGAGACTCCGTAAATGCCATGACAAAGCCCGGCGGAGATTCATCCAAGATCCTGAAGCAGCCGCTGCTGAGTTCAGGCATTCCAGCTGCTGCCACACGCACGTTGTAGAAGATGGCACGCTTGAAATGGATGTAGCCTCCAGAGGTCCAAATCGCTCGAGCCTCTGAAGCGATGGGGCCATCGATATGAGCCTCGAAGCGCTTGAACATTGGTTGAACTTGGCATGTGCATCCATTGATGGGAGTTTCTCGTTCGCTTTCTTCTAGCTGGGTACTGGATGATGGATGATATACCATGAAACATCATGAAACATCCGGTTTCTGTCCCGCTTTTCCGGACAACGCATACTATACTGAAACTATGTGAAACTCAGGTCCGAAAAACAGGATGACTCACCACATTTAAACAACAAGCAGGGCAGGGCACAGCACAGAAATCTTCAAAGACATTGGTCTGGAAGAGATATGTCCGCTGCTCTTTAGGCTGCTGGATGTCAAAGCTCATGGGAACCCAGGAGAAAGAACCTTCCAAGGGGCCTGGACGTCGGAGGTTTCAGCTGCTCCATGGCATTTTCCGCCTAGTGACCATCCAAAATGACAAGTCATAGGCTATTTACCTGAATGTATCTATCAAAAATGCTAGTTATTCCATAGCTGTGCTGGATAACCACAGGGTATTCAGCTCCTTTTTCCAATTCATTTTCAGCTACTATGTGCCTCCATCCTCCTCGATGTAGGGCAACCAAACACAGCATTACAGACGACGGAATTCACCCACTAACCCAGCTGTTTGAAACACCAACATCCACCTACAAAAAAAATAGGAGAACATAGGAGAAGCATGTTCCAACATTTGTTCATCTCTCGTAAACCTACCAAAAACTATGGAAAATCACCATGCAATGAATGGGTAAATCAACTATTTCAATGGCCATTTTCAATAGCTTTTGGTATGTTTACCAGGCCGGGTAAATCTCCAAGATGTTCCCAACCCCAACCCCCCTTTAACTCCGCGCCTGAACAGGTGGCACAGTGATCCGCACGACAGGTCCCAGAGGTCTGGTCACCATCCTCCGAGCCAGTCACGCGACCATCGATGTGGATCCCACGTCTGGCACTGGTCACCTGCTCTCGACCGGCGCCGGGTAGGCTTTTGGGCCAACCCCAGGTGGAAACCTATGGGATCCCATGGGGGACCCCATGGTGACAACTGGGGTACCATCTGAGGACTAGGAAACTTCCAGCCGTGGTAAAATGAAGTGTGGCAACCTCATAAAGCTAGCATTTGGGGATGGTTTCTACAACGCATTTATGGTGATTTGGAGGATGGTCTACTGTTGGGTTTTCTCCCAGTTGTAAGCCATGAGCCAAGTCACAGCGTTTCCTCTGAAGGCTTTCACAGGCGTTCGTGCCTCACATCGCTAGGTTGGTGAGTTTATAATTCCAATTTTGGGATGGTTTTTGATACTCAGAAAACAATAGTATTCATGGTGTCTATAAATATGAAAACTAACGTATGCCTATAAACAAATATACAGTACGTATACCTTATTATATATATATATATCTTGCAATCAATATAACTGCAGTATTCATGTGGTTTATAAAAAATAAACATAACTGAGGGGATACTTATAACTTATGACTATAGTATTCATGGGGTTTATAAACCAACAAACAAAATTGACTTCACTGTGGTTCAGTCGTTTATGATACTTGTAGCATCTTATAAGGAGCTAGTATTCATGAGTGAAACTAAACCAACAAACTGGGGGGCCCACATTATACGCCTAAAAAGTGTTATGTGATAAAAACTGGTAAGGTTTGTTCAAAGAAAAGAAGGCAACATTTGCCTCACTGGAGCATTATCGATGAGTATACCCGATTACATCGATTACTAATGGTGTTGAAATTGTGTTGCCAAAAATTCTGTCAGTTTGGTAACTTCCTCTATGGTGCCCTATGTAGATAAAAGTGAAAAACGTGTTTGGCACAAAATCTACAGCCTGGCCATTGGTCTTCAGTGAGGGGAAAAAAAACACAATCACCAATGTCATCACTGGCTTCTAAATGATCGCACACAACCAGTAGTGCTTGCACATCACCCCAGATTCATACGAATTCGGAATACCCTCTGAATTTAATATAGCTATGGAAAATGGACTATTTATAGATGTTTTACCTATTAAAATGGTGATTTTCAATAGCTATGTAAACGTTTACCAAAGGGTAACAAAACAATGCCCGGAATTGCTGATTTTCGTGACCATCTCTCACATATCCAAGTACAGTAGTAAGCAGTTCACAGTCCTCATCACCACCATCAGCATCACCACGCAGATTTTCTTCAGGAACCCCAAAAGAGAACAACACATACCCTCTGGTAGTTTAACAGTTTGCTATTGCCCAGCTATAACATCATGATTTTCCATAGTTTTTGGTAGGTTTACCAGGCCGGGTATTCCAATAGATTTCCCAAAGTAGATCCAAGTAGTGTATTTCCCACTGGCAATTGGTAAAAATCATCTTCCGAAAACCCACTTCAGCAACAACAACAACCCAACATAAATCTGGGCAAATTATGCTAATTCACTCACCTGACAAGTGCGGCTATATTGCGATAACTCCGCAACTCCTACAGTTTTGGCCGTTGACCAATTATAAGTGGCTATAAGTGGCTACAAATGGGATTATACATTCCATAAATGGTGTTATAAATGCTAAAACAATGACAAACCATCCCCCAGTCATCACCATTTTTTTATAGGTAGTATAAATGAACCATTCCCAGTCATGGGTGGTAAAAAAAACATCGGTTTACCCACATTAGCCATTAAATAACCATATATTAACCATTAAATAGCCATATATATCCACATCATGGACAATTCCCCTTGGTTATATCATGGAAAATATACGCTTTGTTGTAGATATGATGAATCAACTCTTACGTAGGTTTTTTCCCCTTTCCGGTGGATTTCTGGTATTTTGGGCCTGGTAACCATCATTGCGGCATGCCCACCATGCCCCACCTGCTCCTGTTGGAACCACCAACTGTCTGAACCTTGGCCGCTCCTGGGGTCCTGGAAATATCTTCCGCTGGCGCCAGTACTGGAGCCGAGGAAGGTGAACCAGTAGCCCGTGTTGGCATCCACCACATGGTTCTCAATGAAACCTGAGCTGTTGATATCTTGTTTTTTTGGTTGAGCCACCCCTCTGAAAAATGATTGACTGAGTAACAGTTGGGATGATGACATTCTCAAGATATGGAAACATTAAAAATGTTCCAAACCACCAGTGTTGATACTGATCTCTTTAAGTGCTGGTTAAGCGAAAGGGGAGCTCATGGATGTGGGAATCTCAAATGGAGGTTTCCTGAAATAGGGGTAGCCCTAAATCATCCATTTATGTTTGGGATTTTCTATTATAAACCATCCAGCTATTATATAGGTCTCCCCATTGAAGGAAACCCCAACATTTATATTAGATATAATGGAATAATCAACCAGCAGTGGTCTTGAGCAGTCCTCTCCTGTTCACACGGCTCTAAAATGACACTTTGATGACTTGAGTTCTCATCCGGCTCTAAGAGCACCAGGGTCAGAACACGTCTTTGTGAGCCTTGTTCATTGGCCCTTTGTTACAATGTTAACCTCAGCTAGCCATTCTCAGTGGTGTGAACCTTTTTTGGGTCTTGGCTCACATCCAGCCAGATCACATCTGAAACCTTCCTGGTCTCCAGCAAAAACAACTTGGCCAATAACATCCACAAACAAAAAAAAACGACCCCGAAACCAGTGCCAGCAGCTATTGTTTGGATTGGTGATCCAAAATCCACTGGGCCCCAACTGCAGATTAGACCTGGGTCCTGAGGCCACCTGCCAATCACTGCAGAGCGATCCTCCCGGGCGAATGGACGCCACCAGGTTCTTCTCGAAGACGTTGCCCGTTTCAATGCCATCTTCCAGGTAGAATGCGTGGCCAAAGGTCTCATAACACACCTGGGAAGTTCACAGTTCGCGAACTGTAAAATCACCGAGGTAAGTTAAATCAATGTAAAACATACACACATATTAATATATATATAGTAATACAAGGATCAAACACAGCCACATCTCCCTTTCCAACAAATCTCTTACCGAGTTGAGTAACTTCATGAACCTTCATATGGGGATAGGTCAACATTTATCATTTCCATATTTGGTGGAATAAACATCAATTAACCAGCTATTTTTGTCGGGCACATCCGAGTTTCCCCCGGGTTTTGACTCAGTTCGCCATATCTTCTAATCTCCAAATACTCTCAGATCATGTGGTAAACTGGGATGGGAGCTCCAAAGCTCCCTCGATTACCGGATACTTGAGACTTGGGCAACCATGGGTAAAAAGCAATCGATTGATTGATTATAACACATTCATATATATCAATCATATCAATCAACATATTGATTATAGCCAATTTTTAATTTATAACCAGTTTATAACCAATCAATTGATGTATGTTATAATACAGTCATCATCCCATATCATCCCCATGTGTTCATGGTATTTCATGGTTATCCGAACGGTTCTCCGAACGGTTATCCGACCCCACCATTGGCACATAAACCCTCATGATCAAGTAAGTTGACTCACGAGAAGAAATCGGCTATTTGGGGAGGGTTATCCGGATCCTAATGATAAATAATCTGCATCCTCAATGGTTGCAAAATAATGTATATCGTAATTATATAACAAGTTAGGAATTCATCATTGACCCCAAAATCACTCAAATCATCCCCATCATCGGCACATAAATCTCCATTATGTCCCACTATATCATGATTTTTCTTGGTCAAAATGCCAATTTCTGATGGCTAAATCACACTAAATCCGGATGAATTATGATCTTTCACCCCTCATTTGAGGCTAGTGTGAGAACATCTCCCTTGCCCATCATTCCATGATTTCTCGGTGAAGCAGGTGGTGGTAACGCTCAGCTCCATCATCTCCGAGGCACATTTTGTTGCACTTCAGCATTGGCCGTGCCATGCAGCGTGACGCAGCGCTGGAAGTTGTGGTGCAGGGAGCTGTTCCGCAGCGTGGCGCGGCTCTTCACATCCCCTGCCAGGTGCCAATGCACGGGATATCGAGCCATCTGCATGGCCTGCCAGGAATGTGACGCCAGCGGAAACTGGGAGATTCAACCAATATAGGCTTATACAAACTAATTACCCTCTGGTAATTTAACAGTTTGCTATTGAAAATTAACATAGAAATAGTGGATTTAGCCATTGAAAATGGTGATTTCCATAGTTATGTTAATTCACCAGAGGGTAACCATACTAACCAAGAATAACTGGGAATATCGAGTAACTAACCAACTAATAGTTTAATGTGGAAGATTCCCCTCAGCAATACTGGGAAGGTTCAATTGACCAATATATGGTAATTACTGACGCACCTTTGCCGCAAGGTTTACCGTTTGGCTTGATTGGGGGGATATAACTAGAGTCATCCTGGAGTAGATAGAATGCGGAAATTTCAGTTCTAATTTTTGCTCTTAACGAACATCGGAAAATATTTGAAAATCCCATATCCTATCTACTCCAGGATGATTATATTTATGTTGATTACATATGTGCCATGCTCAAAACATTGTATATATATATATATATGTATATACCCAAAAAAGGATATGATTAATTGGGCCTTACATACGAACAAAGAGTTTGCTATAGACATCAGCATTGAAAATAACAGTTAATGGTGTTCATGGTGATTATAAATCAACAAACATAACTGAGGGGCTTCAACTTATATGGCATGCTACTTGATTCAGGAGCCACTCACATTCTTCGTCAGCCCTAATATGGACTATTGATGAGAATCTCAGAGAAAACCCCTGACAATGATGGAAATTAGTAAGTTCCAATCCTGAAATAGTGGAATGTTTGATCTTTTGCGGGTTACTGTACAGAGAACCCGTGTATTTGATGACCAAATGCATGATTTCAAGCTCAAGACATGGGATCACCCAAGTAGAATTGCACACATGTTCTAAAAAATGTTAACATATAATATATATATATATATGATTATAAATATACATATAATGATTATATATATATGTATATATATATATATATGTATATATATATGTATATATATATATGTATATATATATATGATTATATATGTATAAGTAATTATAAGTACACATCCCATTTCAAGCCAAATTCCTTGATGTGCTGCTATCCGCTATGCTTCATACTGTTCCCCTTTCCTACTCCAACCCGCTAAAGCCAAGCCAGGGACCCAGTTTCATCAATGGACAGATCTACCCTCTGGTAATTTGTTACATAGCTAATGAACATGGCCACAGAAATATATAGTTGATTTATCCATTTAAAAAATGATTTCCCATAGTTTTTTGTATGCTTTTCAGAGGCTAAAAAAATGAAACTCGAATCGTTGAAAAACAGCCCCTATGGATTTCCCAAATAGTGGATTAGTGGATTTACCAAATTTTGGAAAATAGAACATCACTTTTTTTTCAGCAAATCGAAGTCATTGCAAAGGCTACTTATAGAATTGTTCATGCCAGTGAGTAAATGGGTTATACCGTTATACCGGTAACCTCCGTTGTAACTAGACTAACCCTACTTAGCCTACAGCTGGGGTTTATGAACCACTTACCAACTGGGATGAGCCATTACCCGCCAGTAAATTAACATAGGCCCTGGCAGATAGGGCTTGGACGATTAGTGTCCACTAAAAATGGGATATGTTCAGGGTCCAACTCTGAATTTACCAAATGACACCGTCTGGTGATTTAACGTATCTCAAATCACCATGATCAAAAAAAGGTAAATCAAAAAAATAAAAATAATCAACTAAACTTGGCCAATCACAAAATAAATCATGGAACTAAATTCATCATGACTTCGCCGTGGCTTCCCCATGAGGCGCTCCTGGCCCAGGTGGAAGAACTCCACATGTTCGATGTTCACCGTGGAGTTTTGGATGAAGAGCACCTCAGACAACACCGGCACCAAAAAAAAAGGTTGGAGTTTCCATGGAGGAAAAAAGGGTGGAAGAAATCCTGCACTAGTTGGTGACGATTGGTAACTATAACACACTGCATAGGTTTGATGTTTAAAAAAATAAAAATAACTTAGAAACCTGATAAAAGTCACAACAAAAGGGACACGTCTATAACTGGTTTAATAAGGATGTCCAGTTCTCTTAGAATCTAAGTTCCTCTGTAAGAAGGGCGGCCTTGTTGGAGCCGCCCTTGGTCCACTTGCTGGCAGACCCATATGATGACTTGTCATATGATTCCTGTCTTCAGGCCTTCCTAGGGCCAACTATATGGTCTGTTGGCCTGAAGTGAAAGTATAGCCCAAAAAGTCGAAAAGGCATATTTAAAAGTGAGATGGCTATCTCAAATTCAGTGATCACTGCTGATACTGTCAAGTTGAAAATCACCACACATGTCAGCACGGTTGGCTCTCTAGTTTTTTGTTCTCTTTCATCGGGCTCAGCTAGTGCCAGTCTTGCGAGCTACCATCACCTGCGAGGGCAACAAGACCCGAACATACAAAAACATGACGCATGCATGGTAATTCAGGAAGAATCTTCAAGTTTGAAGATAACAAACGTTTGAAAATAAGATCATCATACATAAATACATAAATATTTTTGGAAATATAAATCCTCATCTGACCAATCTATCTATTTGTCGTCTATTTGTATATCTTAAACCAATTTTATCATTAGGTCGTGCCTTCAAAACTCCACTGAATGAGGAACAGTTCTCGGGTTCGGCTGACTTTGTTTTTTCTCTTTGTTTGTGGTCTTGCTCATGCCTGGAGGGTCCAATGGAAATTGGGTGTACCTGTATCGTAGTGCAACAATCGTAACGTGTTGCATTGCCCATATCTCAATCTCACTGACAGCAAACACATAAACATACTTACTCAGGAAGCACATACTTACTTTCAACGTTTAACATTGAACATCTACAAAGGAAGAGACATGGGCTGCACTTGCGAAAGCATGCGCGCTTTGAAAGCACTATGGATTGGGTCGGATTGGGTTACCATCACCATCGATTCAACCGATTCATTGGTAGTTTTCGTCAATCCACTTGTTGAGGAAAAAACATACACATATATACACATTTCATTATCAGTACATCATCTTATATCATACATCATGCATTTCATGATTTGGTGCCATGATGTCATTGATGAAATCAATTTTGGAGAATGGTAATGGTAACCATAGTCAATGGTCACTGGTGACTGTAACAAACTCTATGCAAAATTTGGCCAATCAACTATTGAACCAACTATTAGTTGACAAGATGTTTGGCATTCTTGGCCACTTTGGCACGTTTTCCTGCCACACCACCGCTGATGGCTGGCGTCGACCTTGACGAGGACATTGCCATCCCTAAGCCACAAGCACCAAATTGCAGAAAGTCCTTCTGAGTGGGTAGATTGTGCTGCTCAGTAGTCTGATTTGACCGCTTGATGCCCTTTTTGGCCTTCACTTCTTCATAGGGCCTAAGCGAACTGAATTGGACGGTTTGAGCATACAATGCAAGATGACATACGATGGGTCGGACTGACATAAGCACATGTATGCAAATACCATAGACCATAGATCTAGTCACTAGATTGGTGTTAATGTACTTGAGTCCTTGAGTCCTTGAGTCAAAAGGACCAACCAACACTTCAAGTCCCAGTTCTCCCACTACAGCAGCGCATCTTGAGTCTCAGTCTCGTTTGGTTTCGTTCTATGTCAACATCAGCTTTGACATCAACAAAAAAAACACTGCATGAAAACACCGTGGTTCATATATGATTTGGTCAGATAAATCTGATAAATCTGATGATGCTTTGTTTCAGGCAACTTAGGTCATGACAAATGCTCCCTGACCAGGAGTGCGAAAGCCTTACTGCCGATCTTCTTGACGATGACTGGAGTGTCTGCGTGCGTGTTGAAAGACAAATAGATCTTCTTGAAGTGCAACTTTTGACCCTCAAAACCAAAGACCTCCCCTGAATCACCTTCCTCATGACGAAGCACCAACGTAGGAATGTCAATCTCTGTTGGGGGCACCATCCATGCTGGACAAGGTAGGTCTGAATCAATGCTGTGATGCTTCATCCCGACATCCAAAATGTCAGAGGTGTTGGATCTTCCGTAAGCTCCAATGGCACACCTGCTGGTGGTTGATGTTGTCTCATGGTCTGACTATGAACCACAAGGAAACGACAGGGGTCATCATGTTTTATCAGGCATATATATATATAGAACTTTGAATGGTGATCATCAAAGTGGAACACATGATTACATACAGGCCCATGAATCGTGAATGGTTAACCTGATCAATCACAGTCCATAACCTAGTAACCTACTGTCACATTGGTGGTATCATGTGTCTTGGACTGCCCAACATGAAGGCACATGTAGTACATGTACATGTTACATATTATTGTTGCATTAAAATGTTGAGTCCTCCCTCTGGGGGACCCACTCACTGGTTTGCCGTCGCTTTGTAGGACCGTCATCTTGATGAAGTACATGATCTTTGGGCGAGTGGCAAGCACTGGTGGGTTGGTACCTAGGCAGCAGCAGCGGAAGGAGCCAAAATGAAGCCAGGTGCTGTACCGTATTGTAACCCCTGCGTTGCAATTAGAATGGTGGTGCCGGTGCCAAAGATCATTTCCAAGATAGGGGAGAGAGAGAGAGAGAGAGCCGGTTTCGAGAAAAAAAAATGTTGATGATTAATCGTAAACGACTTTCAGAACTAATTCAAAAAGAATCATCACAATACTGTTTAGATACTGATGTCACCCCAGAAGTACATCTTGAAATCATCACGTTCTTCCTGGCCGACAACATTGAACAGCTTCTCCTTGAGTGGCTCATTCGGCTTGAGCTTGTCAAAGAGCGTTTTCACATAGGCTTGTGAGAGATCAAGGTCGTAGAGGATTTCCACGGTTGTTGTGATTTTCTCACCCTTCTCGAGATGACGGACATTGAAGCACAGCTTCGGTGAATCGATTCCCGCTTTCCTGCCGAATAGTTTTAGGCTGAGAAATGAACATGGGTTTTGTTTGAGCGGAATCAATTCAAATATTCGATCAAGTGTCATGGATCACACATCATTCACATGAATCACCTATGCCATAAGTATGAATGAACGTAACGTATATATGCGCACAACAAAAATATAAACATATAATGTTCTAATCTTTTATTACACATATATGTACATATATATATATATATACATGAATATATATATATATATATGTTTATAATGTGTGTGAGAAGTTTTCTGCAAAACTATGTACAAATATCTTTATATATATGTATATATATATATGTACATATGTGATCGGCATATGTGCATGTATGTTGCATTCCATGGAGTAGGCACATGGTTTATGTAACATGAAAACCTGTAACTTGTATAAGCATACAGCAACCGTAAATCAAGACATGTCATACACATATGGCACATATGTAAACAACCTCCCATGTGTCACTGTGTGTGTATGTGCATGTGTTTTGTGTCCAGTGATTGGTGTTGATGTCATTATGTCAGCTTTTAAGTTTGAAACCCTCGGCAGTAAGGTCTTGTGTCATATGGTATGCTGCTATCGAATCGAAAACTAAAAAGGTAGTAGTATCACATTCAATCTGATCTTTTTTTTCATTATTGATAACCCCTCCTCCTGTCATCCCGAACATGTAACATCAGTCCTGCAAGCTGCCAAATTTTCCGCAGTCAAACCCATCCTCAGCAAATAGAGCGAGTCAGCGCTGTTCAACTTCGAAGCAAAGGGATCGTCTTGGCAGGCCTTCTTGAAGCCATAGGAATTCAACTTACCTTGGGAGATGATCGACATGCCATCCACACACTCCACGATGCTTGTAGTAGTAGGCTCTGCTGCCACATTCTCCTCTGTCTTGTCTGTCGGTAACGTCACCGAAGCTGAATCTGTAACGTCGGCCACTTTGAATGATCCGTTCTTGATCAAAGACTGCATTGCCGAAGAGTAAGTAGATGCAACCGTAGCAACATCCGCACCCCCCTTGCTGCAGAGCATGTCAATCTCATAGAAGGACTGCTTGTGCTTGCTGATGATGTCTGCCAGCTTGATGTTGCTGAACTCACGGCGACCAGACAAAATCTGTGTCAAGTTCTGCATCATGTACTCTGCCCGGAAGCGCGCTATGGTTTTCACTGCCAGCGGTTGAAGACAGTCTGCCATGATGGACGCATTGGTATTGGTATTCATGGCTTCATCAGGCGTCAGTTCATCCGGAACGCCCCCCTGGTTCTTGGTCTGATAGTCGTAAAGCCGAAGAGCAAGAGGTAAGCAACTCGGTTTCGTTTCTACGAGAACGGATGGCAGCTCGCGGGCCACCAGAAGAGTCAGCTGGAAGACAACATCGGCAATGTCGATGTCGGTCTCTTGGTGCACAATGCAAGTTCCAATGTTCGTCCTGAATCCATTGGAGATCTTAGTCGTCGTAAGAAAATACCTTAGATTTATAAGCGTTCTAAAAACGTTTATCCTACAAATAAATATATATATATATGATACTTCTATGTATATATATATACCTATATATATATTGATATATATATATATATTTATACATAGGTTACATATATCTATATAAATATATATTTGAATATATATATATAGACATGTATATATAGAGTCCAATGGTCCATTGGTCTGTTCGTTTGATGAATTTGATGAAGGTTCATGATGATGTTATATCATCATCTGTTTGTCATGACCCCAAATGTTTTTTTTACACATTGACCATCACACAACCCCGCGTTCAATCTCACCGTCCTGTACTCACCACAAGTGCAATTCTCTTGCCATAGCTCAAGGATGCGATTGAAGGCCAAATGTCTCTTGACTGAATCCGACAAAGCAACTTCATCCCCACAGGGGAAGACTGGATTCTTGCATTTCATGGCCCCACGTTCCACATCGGCCCACTTCAAAAAAGATTCCAGTAGCGATGCCCATGGTTCCACCTCCGTTGACGAAGCATCACCAGAGCGTAAGTCAACTTGCGAAGTAGTCCGAGTCGAAGCACCTGCAGCTGGCATGACCAGCATGGCATCATAGAAAGCCGCCACCTTTTGCTCACCGCTGGCAGCCTCTGCACCCGACGATGTCACCAAGCAGTTTGATTTACGGAGTGCCTAGCCGGCTGTCAAAAAAAGGCTTTGCTAGGGAAAGTGATGAGCTGAATCCACAAGAGTCTATAACAAAGCCAATGTCCATAAGTAAGTTATGCAACTTTACGTTGTTAAATAGAATTTTTGTATGGTCGGAGGTTCAAGTTCAAGCTTATATATGTAGAACAAATGACGAAAAGAGAAGACACGTTGAAGCAGTCCGCTTTAGTCACTAGTCTATGCTCCATTTTTGGGTACCCACATGTGCCTCAGTGTACTGACCAATCGCTTCAGTCTGCAACGCTGGGCGTAGGGAGGACCATTTTTTGTGAACCTTCTTCCCCACCATGACTTCTCCTTGCAATGCGAACATCAGCCCAGCACGAACATGAGCTTTGAGCAAGGGAATCTCCATGTTCATGTACTTCATGTACTCCCCATCCTCACAGAGCAAAGAACTGGACTCAACATTGTGTGGTAGTCCTTGCTGTTTGCGAGCCACAAGCATCGCAGAGCGAAAGCTCAGCACAACATCGTCGACGAACAACTTGGGGCGTGCCAATGTCAAACCATTGGGGCCACTGATGGTAAGCTCTTCAGCCTCTCTGGTTTCATCTTCGATGTCACGAGTCTTTGCGGAAGCCTTGCATTTTGCTTTCACCTTCGCCTTTGCCTTTGCTTTTGATTTCCCTGCTGCCCGTGTAGAAGATTCACCTCCATCGCCGTCAGCAAAATCAGCAGCCAAAACCTTCTCGGGATCTTTGATGGTTTTTCGCTGTTCCTTCTGCAATGTCCTTTTTTTCTGAAGTTCAAAAACTTTCCCATCCACTGGCGTCAGAAGAACACCAATGTCAGCAGCGCCACCAGCGGATCTCTTCAGCAACCATGGGATGTCAGCAATGTTCAAAGGAACCTTAGCGCACTGCAAGCCATAGGCATATCAATAGTTGACATGGTTACATGGTTGAGACTGGGACTATTGGAATTTATATATTCATCAAACTTCGAACTATATATTGTACTTCTACTTGATGATCTGATGATATTTTATATTATATATGCATGGCAATGCATATGAAATCATATATGTGGATATACAATATATAGGTTCTTTAACTTGAGCTCCCGTCCTTCGACTTTTGTTGTGTGTAATGAGATCATGAGAGTAATGTACGTACTGATTCACTGTTACTTTAAGACTTTAAGTCCATTTGAAGTCCAAAAACCTCGAAGCTTCAGATCCTACTCTGCAGTTACTGTGGCTGAATCAAAGTGAACTGCTTGAGCTGTTGGTGTTGGCCCTAGGCATCTAGAAACGGCAATGGACTCTTGGCTTGCAGTTGGGGTTCTATTGTTTTGATATGACGATGCAACATGATGTGGTCATTTACATCATCATCAACTAACGTCAACACCGGAATCCCCAAAAGGCCCACAAGAAATTGAGATGATAAAATAGCTCAGACATTCGAATGAGCCATGTGCGATACCAAGCAGCACACAGGTTCAAAGCTTCTAGTGCTAAAGCCTTCTTCTCTTCCTCGGTCATAGCGTTGAAGACGGTGGCAAGGCAAGACAACATGTCCTTGAAGGTTGACACAGCATTGTCATGAGAAAGTCCAGGATCTAAGAAGCTGCAGTGGTCGGCCATAAACTGACGAAATTCACCAAGACATTGAAGCTTGGCCAAGGAATTGTGCACGTACCTTGTGGCTTCAAAGGACCGAAAGGATGCCCACACGGATGGGTACTGAACCTCCAACAGTTCTCTGTATTTCGTCTCATAGCTGGAGTGCCGGTTGGTAATACCGTGTTGGATTTTGTAGTTCTGCCACGAACGCTCTGCCTGCGGTCAAGGATGCTGACCACAGGGAACAGGAACAGAATTGAACAATAGAACAACTGAATCAGAATCATGGTTGACATTTATGTTTTATGTTGATGTAATCTTTGAAACATGTTGACACTACAGTAGTGATATGATATATCATCATGTATCATCTTAAATTTACTCATCTATACATGACAGTTCAAGAAGCATCACCGAACAACCGCATATTATCGTATGACTCGGAGCTAGCATGACTTATGCTTGTATGAGGCATGGAGTTGTTGTGGGGGTTGAAGCACCTCAGGAACCTTTGTCAGCATCTCCACAAATGATGTCTGACTGCCTTGATGAAAGGCATTGTGGTACGTGATCCTTAGTTCAAGTCCAGAGTCCAGTGTCCAAGTGGCATTGATTCATTGGCATTGTGTTCTTTGCACTTAGCCACTTCAACACGTCGTCAACTTCTAATTGTAACCACAACCCAATGACCCTGTGGCCGCATGAGACGATTCCAATGTGTTTTGAAAAATGTGAAAATCAGTCCATCGGTCCATCCGTTGCATGCCAGTAGACAATTGAGGGATCGTTCGAATTGTGAATATCATCAGGTCAGAACCATGTCATAGTGCCCGTCGACTTGTGAATTAATCTCTATAATATGTTATGATATATATATATATAGTATATAGCCTGTTCAATTTACAATCGGCAACGAGCTCACCATACATACCTTCCCTTCCTTGTCTCGGTCTCAGGACAAGGCTCAAGAACTGCAAAACGCTGGTGGGGCAGCGCGAATCGAAAACGGTAGCTTCCAGGCCAGAGCGGGCAGTCAGCTGAAGGTTGGGCCACTGGTGAGAGTCTTCAGCTTCGTAAGCTTTGTAGAATGCTTCGGACCTCGACACAACGGTGAACAGTGCACCCGTCGACCGTCAGCGCTAACTTGCCTAACTTATCAGACTTATGATTTCTGGGTTGCCCTAGAGCCACGGCTTTAGATGTTGTTAAAGCCAAGGATTCGGAATCAAATGGATCGATTGTTTTTTGACAAACTTGATACTTTGACATTTGACTTTACCGATTGGTTTCGATGTAACTGGGATTCGTCAAACCAAATGGCAATTGACGGTGAGTCATGTGATCGTCATGTTGATGTTGCGTATATGCATGACACCAAACCGGACCCATATCAACTAAGTCAACCAAGTGGCAATGTGGCAAAGGTCAAAGCTTTGTACTGGAGCTCATCTTTATCATTGTCCGGCGCCACCAACCAAGCGTCTCCCCTGACGCCACGAACGATCCCCTTCTCCTGAACACTCTTCACATAGGTCGCCAGCACCGTTTCTTGCCGGCGGTCATTCAGTTCGTGCCGTGCGATCACCCGTGTCTGGCCACTGTACCACGGCAGAATCTTCTGAGACGGCACCTGCATCAGTTTTCCATTGATCGGTTGGCCGGGGTTATTGATTCATGATGTTTGACTGTTTGCCTGTTTGCCTGTTTGATTGACCTATACCTTTGAAACTCTGTGTCAAAACTGTCAAAACGAATCAATGACTATAATTGAGTAATAATTGAGAGCCAATTGATAAGAAAATAGTATTTGTATTTGAAGTTCAACTTGAACACATTCAAAAAACAATATTTCCTGGCCTTGTAACATCGAATGATTTCATCAAGGAGCACCCTCCCAGGTTGCACATGGGGACCAAATATGTCAACAAGTGATGCATCCTTCTTGTATTGCGCAGCAGGGTTCAACTGCAGACCAGTACCATTGGTGGATACGTTGGATGCATGACCAGTACTACCATTGCCCTGCGCGCCAATACCATTGCCACCATTCGAACACGTGTTCGAGTTCATGCTGATGATTGATGATGGATGTGATGTCACCAACAATGAGATCCGGAAAGGCACCCGGCTAGCTAGGCAAGTCGGGACGAACTCCGCTTGGTTGTCCCACCACAGTGGAGACAAACTGGCTGCAAGGTAGGACACAACAGCTTCCGAACTCAATCTGCATGGACAATTCGTACATGAGTCATTTTCGCGACTAGTATGATTTTGTTTTTTCAATGATTCAACGTGTGACATTCAAACATCAAGCATTGAACAGGCATTTAACCTCATGATCCTTGACCTGCATCACTTCATGGTTAGTTCATCGTCTCCATGTGAATGAAAGCCAGTGAACGCCAGTGAAAGCATGCGTTCATTGATATTGTGCATACCGTGGTATCAAAATTGAAAAACGCTTCCACATCTTAAAGTTTCATGGACAAGTGCAAGTACTGCGCATCATGCCAATGACAGCCCATGAGCTGGGCGGCCATCTTAGTATGTGTTTTATGTTTTTCTCGGCACATAAGAAATTCTGGTTTGTGGGGGGCCTCAAACCCAACACTGTCACACTGGAAAATTTGTTCCGACCAATCTCACATTGCTTCGTTTGGTTTCGATTGAGTCGGAGTCGGAGTTATGGAAAATCAAATCAGAATATGTCAGTTTGCCAGCACACAAGTAGAAAACAAAGAACTGATTACAACTGTTGGCACCGTAGGCAAGTTGACAGGTGGGTTGGGCCTTTCATTCTGTACTGAATCGGATCCTGAATCCTATAGTTTAAACGTGTGCTTCACGCCACGCTACACACCTGGACCTTTGATACCACACCAGTGCAGCGGCGCAAGCGGATTCCGTGGGACATCGGGCATCGATTGGACAAATCCTGGATTCATGATGAGATTTGACAGTTCAACCAATTCAATCAAAGCAGTCTTCAGATTTGCTTTGCTCATGTGAAGGTTCAAACAGTAAACATCAAAATGGCTGATAACAAGTTAGAAAGCTTTGTAATCATGATTTCCGAGAAATGTCCCTCAAACGGCGTGGGTCTTTGCGGCGAACCCATGCTTCTTTCAGCATGTCAAGCAAACTTTGATGGATTGAAATTTGAGTCAACCCATAGATCATGACAATGCCAATGACGTTGACATGCATGCTGTTGCCTGCCATCTTGAAGATGTTTTGACGCGATGGTGGTCGAAGATGAGAAGCCCCACCATCGTGACGAACTGCGAATGAACAGCACTGGTGATGAAAGGACATACCCCTGCGCACCGGGAATCCTTGCACGGTCAGAGCCTCTTCAGGTGTCATCCAGCGCAAGTGCCGCGATGAATACCAAATGCTTGCAGAAGACACCAATGTTGGCATCACCTCCCAAGGGGATTGGCTTATGGTTCATTCCAGAAATTGTGTTTAGTAATATTTTCCGTTGGAAAGCCCAAAACGTATGTGGGTTCATTGCAATTTCTAAAACACAATCATCATACCGGTCCCCATGTTGCAGTGATGACAAACAGCATCAACTGAGTGGAACAAAATCTTCAATACCCGTAACTCATAGTTGTTTTACAATACCTGGCCTTCCCATTGGTGCCCATGTTCGTCACTTCTGGGTTCTGATTGAGTGAGTAAAGGCCATTGGGCATTTTGATTTCGTAACAACTGAGAAACTTTTGCTCACATTCAGTCAAAGATGAAAAAAAGGATGTAGCATCATCCAATGGAGGAACGGTGTTGCCCTGCTCAGTTTGACTCCAAGTGCTACAAGGTCTCTGAGAAGCCCATTCCAGCTCAGACAGCAACTCGTCTGAGTCTTCGTCCCTAGGTACTCAAATCATGACTGATCCATGCATGCATGCGATGTGACGGTTGATCATACCAAACTACCAAATTGCTTTTGGAATTTTACAGAAGATGAAAAACAAAAGAACCACGGGTAATTGACGCATTGCATTACCGACTTCTCTGTGTTTCTGCTGTCTAGCTATGGCTATGTGACTATGTGACTATGTGTGACAGTGTACTGGCAATGTGTCATTGGAGTCGTCATTGAACAATGATAATCATGAATATGAAATCGAAATTAGAAATAGTGGTTCTAGTCGATATTCTCATATGGCCAAAGCATCAACATTGAGTGTCAGGGACCCTCGGACCCTCAGGGAAGCCATGCCCAGTTTTCCAAACATATCAGCAGCCAAGATGCTGCCAGAAGAAAATGTCCCAAGAAGTCTCAGGTCCCAGTGGCCTTGCCATCATAGAGGTAAAAGTAGTGAGCAAAGAGCGGAATCCAAGCGTCTTGACGCGATGTCGTCCACTTAGTTGGTGAAGCAACCGTTCAGTCGTTCAGTGACACAGCGAGCAGCGATAGGAAACGATTGTCTAAATTATTTGTTGATATCTATCACCACTTTGCTACGCTATCATGCAAGTCCGAATGCAGTCGGTGGTGACTGTATGGTCGTCGGTCTGTTGCGACAACATGTGAATCATGAGAATTAGAATTCATGCAATCATGCAATCATGCAATGCCGTTACAAAACTGCAGAATGCATACAGTTGCTGCGAGTCATGTTGAACATTATCACATATATATTTGTATAATATATTATATATATATACATAATCAAAAAGTATTTCAATCTATTGTCTACTGCTGCTTCGTGACATCATGAACTGTCGTTCACGACGAACTGGCCAGCCAAACGATGAAGGGTCCAAGATTGCTGCATTCCATTCATGCATGGGAAGAGACAGCTGAAGAGCCGACTTTGGGAATTCCTTGACATTCTCTTGAACTACGACAGGCTCACCCATGATTGCTCTCTGCCCACACCAAATGATGAAGTGAGCGTGGCTCATGGCATGTTCCCCTTGTTGCTGTCCAATGGGGCTGAATGCGACACATGTGGTCCCTGCGCAATGCAGCGATGCAACTTTGCCGTCGATGGAGCATTCGCGACCATGGACTGTGCACTGGGCTCTCCTCAGCAGTGTGGCATTGGGACATGAAAATGCTATATTATTTAACGGTTATGCAGCTGGGGTGTGTACACAAGCCAAGTAAAGGTAAGAACAATGCAATGCAATGCAAGTACTATTCATAACATTCCACATGGATTGATGCAGCTATGAACGGATACACCAAATATAAAGAACGATCAATAATCAATGGGTCCAAGTCCAAGTTTCTTGAGAATGGATTTTTTCGGTGCATCACGAACCAAAGGCATAAGAACCGTGTTCAACTCGTCTTTTGCTTGCAATGACGGAAGTTGAGCCCGCAATGATGGGTGCAAGAAGTCTGCAATATCTGTGAAGATACATTGCGCTTTCGCAGGGTGGATGCTCAGTTCATTCTGACATGATTGGTTCCATTCCACCGCAAACAAATGCTCTGGATGGAAGGTTTCCAAATTGAATTCATTCTCAACTCCAGCCAACAAATGCAAAATGGAAGTGCCCGGTGCATCAATGCCCGAATAGGCTGTGCTGATGCTTGACATGCCAATCCGTTCAATCAGGTTTTTGATGGAACTCAATTCGTTCTGGTTCATACCGAGACTAGCAGCAAGGTATTCCAGCCTATCTGGGTCATCGTCCTCATGGCCCACCTTCTGAGCATGAAAGTGAGGATTCTGTGCATAGGCTCGGCACACAAAGGAAGGCCATCCTCAGGGAGCCATGGAGCGACCAAACTTTCCAAATTCAAAGTTAAGTTTAGAGTTCAGAGTTCTACTGAGTTCTACTGAGTTCTACCAAAGTGGCTCGCTCACGTTGACTCATCTACTCAACAATTAATGTCATCGCAACAAACTAACATGTCATTGATTTGATAAGCCGGCCAGTTTACAGTGGTTACAGTGTGGTTGATCGTCTAGTTGAAACTTGATCCAAGTAATCGTTTGTTGACCATTGACAACTGACCATGTAATCAAGTATTATTTTCTTTCAACCAAGATGCCAAAAGCATCCTGAAGATCGCGCACACCTGCGGCAGAGACCTCTGGTTCCTGTTCAGATTCGTTTGTCTCCGGCCGCGATGATGTGTGATGTTCTTCAGCACGTACTTCTTGATGTTCAGATTCCTGAATGTCGCAGTGATCATATATAATATACATTAGTCTTAGCAGCCTTAGCCTTTGAGTAAGTGGAATCGAACCGAGAACCCAAGCTGATAAAGTACAAAACCAAAATTGCTTGTAATATTCATTCTCAATTCTCAACTTTCAAACTGTTCCTAGCTTTTGTGTTTATCACTGAAACAGAAACAGCCGACAAACTCTTGCCAAACAAAACCAAACCAACACAAAAACAAAACTAGAATCTACCTCTTTTGGATCTGAGATTCTACATCTGATTTGGAACGTTCTGGTTGAGTGTCCATAGTGCCAGTGCCATGCTCAGAATGCTCAATCGGTTTCTCGACTTGACACGGTGTCTGACCAGCACTCTCAGGATCATCAACATTGGTAATTTCCCTCTCATTGGAGTACGGTTGGATTTCTGTCGTGGGATCATTCGTTTCAGCAGTTCTGGGTTCATCCTCACTCATGGCATCCGTTGATTCTGCTGTCAATTCTTTGGTTTCAACATCAACTTGAGTTTCCTGTGATTTCTGATCCTGACCGCCATCATGCCTTTCAGTTGGCTCCCCCTTATTGGTCCCGGTTTGGCAGGTTTGGTCGGAAGAGCTAGAAACTTTGGTGTCGGCCTCGATCGTGGCAGCAGCAATAGCTTGATCATCTTTGACATCACCAACTTGGACTCCAGGTGTCCTCAGTAGCTTATGTGGTGATTGATGTCCACTGTAGGAGGAAGGAAATGAAACAACTTATTAAAACAAAACGAATGAAACTATATGCATGATTGAAGTTATCAAAATGGAACCACAAGGTCGAAACAACACAAACATATATAACATAAGCAGAAGAATGTTTTGCCAACCTATATTTCAAGTAGCAATTCGGAAACTTCTTTCGAGTTATCTTCATCTTGTCGTAGTGCTTTGTAAACTGGTTCTGATTCATTCGGAGATGGGTCTAGGGTGCGCTTCTGCATCCAATTTGATATCGATTTCATTTTCAAGAGAGGTATGCGAGCTGTGCCCCATCCCGCTCTCATCCGACAATCAAGTGGATGGGAAACATCGACTTGAAAAGACACATTCGAGAATACCATTGCCCACATGCTTGTTGATTTGGTGGTAGACTGATGCTTCTTCAAATTCGCCGTAACCACATCTAAGGTGAACTTGGTCTTGTGCTTCTCATTGAATGATTTGCAGAAATTAGTTTGTCCATCCCACAAACACATGGCATGGACCATTCTTCCAGTTGACGAAATGTAAACCTTGCCGGAATGTTGAACTGCAAATGCGATCATAGGAAGTTCCTGTTGACCCAGTTTCTTTGATGGTCCGCTGGTTCTGAACAAAAAGATCTTTTCCGTTGATGGAATTGGTTTCACCTCAGAATCCTCATTCCTCGTCAGCCGCTGATCATCTCCTGGTAGAATCATCAGCACTGGATGTTCTAGTTCAGAAAGAGCAGACCCCGAAGAACGCTCCGATGCCGATGCCATGTCGTGTCAACGTCCAACGATGTGCAGTTGTTAGTCTTGTCAAACGCAACATGAACAGAAACTTGAAACGATTCAAATTGTTGTACTGGCTTTTCTTTAAAGAATCAATGTGTCAAGTTGTCAGGTATGATCGTGGACATCATACCACACATCATTGACGCGTAATTCCTAATCCGGAATCCTTGATCAGTAAATCAATGAACATGAATTGTTTGTTCATGATACTGCATCTGAGTTTGTTTCCATCAAACAAACTAATTCAAACTAGCTGACATCACTCAGCAATCGTTTGTTTTCGTTTGTGTTTATTCGATGTTCGATAGATAAAGTATTCTTTCAACCTTACCCTCACCCCAGCAAGGAATCATGTGGGTGGCGCGTACCGTCTCTGCGATGGAGCTGTAGACGCTGTCTATAGCATATGATCACCTGGGCATGATCGCGTGAGCGTCAACATTTAGATAAGATTATTTTCTGCTTGTTGATGTATGAATGAATGATTTAGTTTAAGCAATCCAAACATATGTTAGTCGGATACTTAAACTATATACATCATGAAATAACAATATCAGAACATATTGATTGTATTCAATATTTCATGAAGCATTTGGTTCAAAGAACAATCCATAGGATTAATGATTATAATATGATTATTAGTAGAAGCCAAAATCAATATGATACAAACAAATCTAAACATAAACATATAAGCTTGGATTATCAACATTCCCAAGTTAGGCCCAGGTTCATCCATAGTTATCGATTTGACATGAAGACCAACCCATGGATCATAAACTCTTAGGCTAGGTCAAATAAGATACCCTTAAATTGAAGAAGGTCATGGGCGGGCTGCCTTGGCTGGGGAAGGTCATGGGCGGGCTGCCCTTGGGCTGGGGAAGGTCATGGGCGGGCTGCCCTTGGGCTGGGCAAGGTCATGGGCGGGCTGCCCTTGGGCTTGGGAAGGTCATGGGCGGGCTGCCCTTGGGCTGGGGAAGGCCATGGGCGGGCTGCCCTTGGGCTAGGTAAGGTCATGGGCGGGCTGCCCTTGGGGTGGGGAAGGTCATGGGCGGGCTGCCCTTGGGCTGGGGAAGGTCATGGGCGGGCTGCCCTTGGGCTGGGGAAGGTCATGGGCGGGCTGCCCTTGGGCTGGGGAAGGTCATGGGCGGGCTGCCCTTGGGCTGGGGAAGGCCATGGGCGGGCTGCCCTTGGGCTGGAGAAGGTCATGGGCGGGCTGCCCTTGGGCTGGGTAAGGCCATGGGCGGGCTGCCCTTGGGCTGGGGAAGGTCATGGGCGGGCTGCCCTTGGGCTGGGGAAGGTCATGGGCGGGCTGCCCTTGGGCTGGGCAAGGTCATGGGCGGGCTGCCCTTGGGCTGGGGAAGGTCATGGGCGGGCTGCTCTTGGGCTGGGGAAGGTCATGGGCGAGCTGTTTTTGGGGTGGAGAGGTCATGGGCGGGCTGCCCTTGGGCTGGGGAATGTCATGGGCGGGCTGCCCTTGCGATGGGGAGGATCATGGGCATGTTGTTGATACTTTAGTTTGAACCGAAAGTCATAGCAATACATAATATGTTTTGCATTATCATGTTGAAACCAAAAGCTATGATATCTAAATGCTTCAGACTCTATCACAACAATCTTGATCATGTTATATTCCATTAGTTTCATTAACAACTACAAACTATATGATGTGTTCTCCACTGATTCGATATCGCTACTATATAGCTATATGCATGAATAGTTCAGTATACGTCAACACGTTCACAACCACATATTTGCCTGCCATTACTGCTATGATGTTATTTTAAGGCTTGTTTTGATTCTGATCATATTTATGTTTCACCAATACTATATCATATACTTAATTTGTCAGGACAATAGTCTATACTTATGATAACATCAATGCATTTGATACTCATTCCCATCCCATCCACTGCACCCACATCTAATTGGCATTTTGTTGATTTTACAGTAATTACATATCACGTTGATTATTCAATATGCCAAGATGCCGAATTCGCCGAATGGTCAAAGTTGTTGTTATGACCTATCCAAGCACACCGTGCAATTCGTGCAATAGCTTCAGTCCAAAGCCAATTCATAGTGTACCTCACAAGGATTGGATGACAGGCGATGTCATTCATATTTGCTATGGAATAGCTGCATGATCATATTTATTGGTAGCTTGCGCATCCACAAACTGTTTATCGTTTGAATGCATCATTTACCTTGCCAAGTCATCTGAAACGACACATTCACTACAAACATGAATAACTCTTACCGACTAATGCCGCAGTACACATGTTCATCATCCAAGATGCACCGGCCGTAACACGTTGCATCGCCAGTTGTCGGTTCCCACGCTGATACCCCCAGAGAGCGAACCAATTAGACCAATCCTTACGTTTGGTGACAGCGAGATTTGGCCAATGTTTGTCGACAACATCATACCAACATTCATCAATGACTCATGACACTGTGTACCGCCCTTTTTGTAGATTATGTATATGTGTCCGATTGAAAGATATGATCACAAAGACATAGTAGGTTTACAAATACATACTAGCTTCGCCACTTGTTCTATTTTGCAAAACAGTCCAAACAGATATAGACTCAAATAAACAGAGATGCTTTCCACATAATGCAAATGCAAACCTAGCGGTTCGAAAAAAACACAACATATACATATGTGTGATATATATGTACACAGATGTATGCAAATAAACATTGTGTCAGCAATGAACACACATTTACATCAATTGCATCAAGTGCAAAAACCCTGCGATGAATGATGTTTCAAACACAAGCAGGTCAACAAGCAGGTCAAGTCAAGTATCCTGAACTCGTTGCAAAGGACACAATGAACATGTTGTCCATGGCATCCGCATAGTATAGGTCAGGTTCGCCGCAATGTAATGCCTGCACCGAGAAAGACATAGAAGATTAAGGGCTGAACGCAAAGACCAACTAAATGTTTGAAACCATGCCAGATTGGTATAGACAAAAGATATCCTTTCATAATAGTAATTGTATTCATGAGCCCACAGATCCGATGATAATTGTTATGAAGTTGTGAATTCTAGTGCTGCATTTTGGTTTGGGTCTTTTCCTGGTTGTGGTAATATTACTTCTATTGTGGTTGTAGCATGTCGGATCTTGTTTCATCTTGAATGATGAAGGAGTTTATACACTGTCTGTTGGATCGTTTACTTTGTCTTACCTCACGGTTCCATGATGCATTTTCCCGCCGATGGCCAGATAGGATGGTTCACTACTTGGTGAAGCAGATTCTGATTTAGCTCAATGTTTTGAGCTATTCCGGTTCTGGCTATTCCAGTTGAAAAGATCGCGCCAACACAGCGCCATTACGGTGACGGGAAAGTGAACTTGCAGGCTTTGCCTGCAAGTCCTGTAAATCATTCATCTCTCACATAAATGGCAAAATATGGTTCATCCTCTTTGACCTTCTTAGACTTGTGAGACTTCTTTGACTTCTTCATCTTCTTCGACGTCTTGCGTTCTTTCTTATCCTTTTTGGATCGATTCTTCTTCTTGACCTCAACCTTTAGGTTTTCATTCGTTGGCTGAAGCTCAATCTCCCATGGCAAAAACATGCCGATATAAAGGTTTGGATTGTGACCATCTGGATCCTTAAACATATCAGCATTGTCGCAAACCATATCCATAGCACCATCATTGCAAGTCGCCACCGGAGAGAGGTCCCTGAGGTCACTGACAAGGCTGCATTCCGATCCCGATCCCGAACTGGTGCATTCCATCGTTGATCCGCCGCACGAAGCAGTCGTCGAAAATGCATTGTCAATATTAGTCTCATGATGAACAGTCTTTGGGTCTTCAAGGAAATAATGGATGGCACGTCCAGTCGGGTTGGCGGGCGAAGGAGTTCCCATTGGACTGACCAACCGATGAGCCAAGACTTACTGACTTACCTACTGTTTGAGCAACCTTGTCTGCAGTGACAGCTAACATGATGCCCAAATGCCCATATGCCCATATACTATTCTACTACTTCTTCATACAAGAAATAAAATACCCCAACACGTTCACCTGATAATATATTGTTGATATATGTGGGTGTTATCCTTCTCCAGAACTTGAGAACCATAAACATAAATACATACAACCATATCGAGAAAACACTATTGATTAAAGTATACAGTATACAGTATATAACAACTAACATACTCGCCAGCTCCATGAATCCATGAATCGATGCTCAACGGCTAACTGAATCATTGGGTCACTTGATGCCGAAGATGATGAACATGCAATGTGCTCAGTGCTCAGTAATTAAGGATCAAATAGCTACGGGCTACGAGCGACCACCCCAGCCCCAGTTGGCCTCGCCAAAGCTGACCCGGTGTCAACTGCCAGAGGACGATGCGGCAGCGGAGGACAAGCCAGAAGCTTCAGCAGCATCCGTAGCCAGCCTAGGTGATAGTAAACGAACCATCGCACACTTCAGCATTCAGCATCATCATCATCATCATCATCATCGCCATTCACACAGCTGACACATGTCTATATGAGCCCTGTACGACATTCATTAAGTATTACATTAAGTAGTACATAGTACATGCAAACATCGAGTGTTGTGTACTTGTCTTGCATCAGAGACGTTATGATAAGTTAGGATATCAAAAGACCTTAAGAGTCTTAAGAGTCTGAAGAGTTGCCAAGTCAAACCAGTTCAAGTGTCCTTTGAAGTTTTGAAACCATATCAAGTAATGATTGATGGTTCATGATTGCTGGCATGTTGAGAAGTTTGACAAGTTTGACAAGGACAACCAACGGACCAACGGACAAGCCACATTGTAATCCACCTTTTGCAGAAGGCACACAAGACCGGTGACTGCCGCACTCGTGGCAATAGATCAGCGTGGTCATCTTTTTCAGCAAAGCCAATGAGCCTCATTCAAAGAAGCATAGAGGAACCAGGAACTGTCTGAGCATGTAGCTTTCTAGCAGTCTAGCAGTCAGTCTGGGCAGTCAGTGATACAGTGTTCCAGTTCAATGGTTTCAAGTTGTGACAATCATGAACCATCATATGTAAAGTAGGAATTGCACATGTAATCCCCCGACAACTAATGGACATCACTGGAACATTATAATATTGGTATCAATAACTTAGTAATGTTAATACATATGATCATAGAACCTAAAACCATGACTAGACATGCTAAGCTGCTAAGCTCATCTTGTCCGTCTCATTAGCACCACTGCTGCAATGAAGAGCTAGTCTGGTTGCTTCGTTTGCTCTTGAAGTAAACTTGAAGTATTTGATTTTTCAGATCTATTATATGTATCCACCAATGCACCAAAGGAAACGTCTAATATTTTGAAGTTACTGAGTCATTGCAAGATCCAAACTCACAATGCAATGCCATGGTTGAGATTGAGTCAGCTGATATCAAGTCCATAACTAAAATCCTTCCTTCCATTCACAATAGCAAGAGCAAGTGACGAACTCCAAGAGCATTGGGATTCATCCGATGAGTCGTTCGGGCCGTTCGCGCCAGCAAGCATCGGTGCTGGTGCCAGCAACATACGTGGCAACATACCAATGGAAACCCCTGGTAGGTCAAAAGCGACTGAGTGCTCTGACTTGTCGGTTTTCTCTGCCAAGACCGAGTTACATGTTCTGTGACATGATAGTGCACAAAAGGCACATCTGTGGATATTACTGCGCACGTCATCCGAGAGGCAAATTTGACATTTATGGATTCCAATGCTTGCATCGTCAAACGAAATTGCTTCTTCAAAGACACGAAAATGCGATGCAATTGCATCTTTGAACATGGTCCAGATAGCAACAATGAGAGATGGCATCTCGGGTCGGTCAGATTTCCTGACTTTTCTGACACTAGCACCGACAGCAGGAACCACCATATGTATGTGAGGTGTTTGAAAATCACGTGCTCGCTGAATGAAATTCACTGGGCAAATGATTTTGTTGTCCGAATCCAAGAATATCTCACGGCCATGCTTCAGGTTTGAGGTACTCCACTGGACAAATTTGACAGTTGCCGTTTCATCTTTGACTTCCAAAACCAAAGACATCTCACCGTTGTCACCACGTGGTTTGTCCTTGCCCTGTTCACGGAAAGTCAAAGCTTCACAAATTTGCCGAACATTGATTTTCCAATGGTCCACAAATGCATTGGCCATGGGTTCTGCCACCGATTGTTCAAATCGAAACCTTTCAGCTTCCCCAATGGTAGGATCATAGCTTTTGTCATGTGGTTTGCAATCACCATGAGAATTACCATTACAACCAGGACCATGCCCCGACTGTCCCAACAATATCTGTTGAAGAATGGCCTCTTGTTGCTGATCAGCATCCGACATAAAAGCCGTAGAATCCGTTTTTTTCGCAGAATCGCACTGATCCTGCAAAGCATCGGCGGCCTCAGTGATTCCAATCTCGGACACCTGCGCGGTCCTGTTTGCGGCACTTGCTGCCATGGACACATTTAACTGTGACAACTGATCGAAGTCATTGTTATCAAAGTCAGACCCTGCATCGTTGACTGAAGATGCATCGTCAATTTCATTGTCGTCATCACTGAAGAGCAGTTTCATGACTTGGGCATCACGTTCTTTCTCTCGACATTGTTTGGAAACAATATCTTCATCTGAAGCCGAATCATCACCATCCGACATATCAGAACTCTGGCCAGTATTGACATTGCCATCATCCTCTGAAGTGTCATCCTCATCATCAATCGCATCATCCTTGTTGTTTTGTTTTGGTTTTGGTTTGTGTGCATATCGTGCTCTCAATTTGCACACTTCACTAGGTGGACCCACTGGATCGATTATGGACCCATCTTGAAGCGTCAACTTCATGTTCATTTCTTGAACAGATATGCCCAACATCGGTTCACCACGATTTTTGCGATCAGTTGCAATGGTGCACAAGGAGGCGATGATTGCAAGCGACGTCTGAAATTCAAAGCCGGAGCTGGAACCGACTTTGGAGTTAGAAACAGCAAATGCCAAAGCCCCATCGTTTCCGACTGCACATAGTTTCACCATCAATACTTGTTTCCCGACTGTCATGCAACTAGCCCAAGACACAAAGTTGCGATCGTTTGAATGGCAAGGAACCACCAAAGCCATCAACTTGTTTGGGGCAACTGTTTTGTCTTTCCAAAACAACCTGAATTGTTTCATGAAGAGAGTGTGATACTTCATTGCCCACCTTGAAGCTTGAAGAGAATCGGCATCCACTGGATCATACAACAATGGTTTCCCTGGTTGAAATGATATATTCAAGTTGTTGGAACTTGGCGATTCCCATCGACTTTCATCATCTTGCAATGAGTGATACCCTTCACCAAAAATTGTAGCAGATCTCGCAAGGCATGCTGCAAAGGGCTTAATGTCTCGAACCCTGCACCCTGGGGCGTTCATCGCTATGAGCTTCCGTAAGCAGACTCTGCTCGACAAGAGTGCTAGTGAGATCCGATTGTTGTTTGAACGCAGAACTGCAAGTTTCACCATTGAATTGAGTGATTCAAGCTCTTGAATGTCAGTTCTCATCAAGCTAGCCGATTGCAACAAAATTGCTCTCACTTTGCTATGGCCAGGAACAATGCCGGTAACCGATATGATTTCCAGCTCCTCTTGGCAACAGCTCCGGAACTTACGAGCGTTCATCTCGAGCAGATCAGTGGCGCAGTCCAAGAGCTCCGAAGCAATTCCTACCGGCAGGGGAGAGGTGTGCGCCACAAGCCAAAGCCAAAGCCCTTTCGAGTCCTTTCGAGTCTTTCGAGTTGAAGGTTGATTCTTTTTGCTTGCAGCTATGATGCCTCGCCTTATTTAATGTAAAGTTGTAAAGTTGTAAAGATCATCAAGTAACGACCATATCTAGCTTCCCTAGGAAATCAGTGTTCGTTTGTTCAATCTTTGGACAGGTAGTATATTCAAAACATGTGGTTGCCAAATTGTCATCTCCAGCTGATTTAACTTATTTGGTGATTCAGTGTTTATCATCACCATATGTTGAGACTTGAACCTGACACCAACCCACTGAACAACACACTGGAACCAATCCACCATATGAATGAACATGCATGATGCGTACTACCTATGATACTGATCAACGACTAGTGAGCACTGAGCACCTGACAATATATTTTCAAAGTTTTGTTACATGAACGGAGCATGGTAGGTAGGCATATGGCTGGCACACTGAGAACCATTGGCGGCGCTGACATGCGAAAACGGTGTCTGACTGTCTGGCCTCGTTGCACTGCGCAAGGTGATCCAGGATTAGCCTTGATCAAGAAGAACAGCTTCCATGGCCACCTGAAAGCCGACACAAGCAAGCCTTACGCGGTTACACTCAACACAGATGAATGATAAGATATATAAGTGAAGTGGAAACCGGAATGAATATAGAGTTGGTTGGATTGGATTAGACTGGATTGGATACCGGATATCCCTTTACATAGACCTGAACTTCATTTGAAGACATGATCCATCATGTTATCATGTTATCAGGTTATGATTTATCATGTCAAAATGTTGCATACTTCTAGTCAGGAAAACCCTGGCTTCAGGCTTCGAAACGTTGGGGTCTGGCACCCCTGGCCAATCAGGCGTGCCTTCAAGTGCCTTCAAGACTCAAGCTAGTTTTGTTTGGGGGGAGAGCATGTCGGTTTTCCACTGTCTGATGTTGTTATGAAGAATCGTTGTCCATTAGTGGTGGGAATTGTCTCACAAGAAACGAAGCAACCGAAACCACAGTAGCAAGTGACAAGTAAACGAACAAATTCATATTTAGTCGAATGTAATGACGAATCATTTGCCGAAAGATGATGATACTGTAAATGGAAAGAACAGATTCCACTTTGGCCACTTGATGATATCCATGACAGGTTGTTGAAGCCTACACCCCACTACATCCACAAAGCGATCAGGCGTGGTATGGTATGGCCAGCTCATGGTTGGAATGACGAACAAGGTGAACAGGGCAGAAGGCAGTTCAGGTTCAGGAACTGAATTTATAATTAAGTTACATTATTGCCGGTTGTCATGTCATGATGTCATGACATGTTGGTTTATGGTTTTATTGGCCATGGTCAAGTTGGTGATGGTGATGATGCGATGATGCTAACTAATTAACTAATACGGCACATGCGACTCATGCTGGCATTCCATACATTGATGCTGGTTGAAAGTTGAAAGTAGGTATTTCATTTTTGACGTTGGATGTTCGGTCCATAATGCAGGCCGTAGGCCCTGCAGGCTTACAAACCAATAGACTATATGACTATACGTCGACCATCAGTCCACATGTGCCACATGCCGATGCATTGAAGAATTTATGAACTGATACTAAACGATCATAGAATTTTAAACAGTATACGTTAGCAAAGTATGTGACAGTAAGCCTAGCTCTCGGCCCCCCAAGCCAGAATGTGACGATGCAGTTCGAAAGATTCGAAATGTCAGAATGTGATGTAACAGTGTAACACTGTAACACAGTAGAATGTCAAATGTGAAAACAAATAAAACCCTGAAAAACAAATGCTAATGCCGCTAATTTTTGTGACCATGATCTCGGATCGTTGAGGTAGTACATGGAATAAACCCTCGCCTGATCAGCTCTATTGTCTAATGTCTCTATTGGACCAGGATTTATGAACCACGACTTCGACTTCAGTAGTTGCTTGTGCACTGCGCATGGACATACATTAACTACTCCTGATTTGAATTTATCAAATATCAACCAACATTGTCCACGTCCATATTTGTACTGTCCAAAATAAAAAACAAAGTGATGTGCACATTATCTGTGTATCATGTGTAGTTCAAAACTTCAAAACCATCATCATCCGTTTTATGGGTTGTTGCCGTGTTAAACTGGTTTCTTTTCGATTTGGTTATCCGACTATGGATATCGATATGCTATGGTATGCTGCCATGCTATGCTGCTATGCTAGTGTTGGTTTCGATAATTTGGCACTAGCAATTTACCCTTGACCAACCCGTGCAACTAACTCATCAACAAAGGCTTTATGCTGAGTGTGGCTCTGGAAACATAAATATAACCGAACTTCATGCATGTAGTGAAAGTCAGTTAGGCTGTTGTTCAAATCAGTCGAATGCGGGTGTCATTCCATTACACAATCATTACATCTCTTTTGACACACAGTAGAAGATAACAACACAAGAAGCGCCACAGCGTGGGCTGTACCATTAAACACCCCAGGCCAGCCTGTCAAAAAGCTCGACCACCCGACGACGAAAACCAGCATAGTTCCGCAATGCCGTGGACAGCGCAATGGATTTCAAGACGTTTGTGTTGAGAGTGTCACCGTGATCGCCCCAAATCCGCATTCCCGACACTTTCCGGATGATGTCGGAACTCCAAGAGTCATATGAATCACACAAAGCCCTGAACTCCGCATCAATTTCCCAAATTCGTCTGACCACAAGCTCCACCACAGGGATTGAATTGGCAGGTGTGGGTGTCTTGAACGCGCTAGATGAATGCCATGCCGAATATTTCGAAAGTATGTTGAAAAAATGTCGCACGGGCCCTTTGGTGTGATATGACACATGCACTGCATACCAGAACAGCGGATCTTTCAGTACCTCAAGGGAACCCTTCACCCATTTGCTCACTTGAATGCGATATGCCTCTTGGTCATCGTTACCCCCAAGTTCATCCTCATCATCATCCATATCATCAGCATCCCGTAATGGATCATCGCCGCCCTGCCCACGCCCTTGCTGATCATTGTATTCCTGAGTCGCAAAAGTGGCCAAGAATGCAGTAAGCACGTGCTCAGGCGCTTCAAGCAGGAATTCTTCTGCACCTCAGGGGCAAATGGGATAGACAAAGAACGAGATCGCTCAAATATGAAATCTATAAGCGTTCACAACTTCACAACAAGTCATCCACATCAACATCAAGGAATTCATCTTAACGTTGATAAGTTGATAGGTCATAATGTGCAATGTACAAGTGCAACTAATGATCATCATCATCCATGTTTTTGGTTTTTTGTTTCTATCATTGCACTAGCAACATCAGTGACAGGGTCATGATGATCATACATAAGCTTCACTTAGCCCCGTCATATGAACCTTTACCTTCAACAAATTCAACAAACACTGAGAAACAAATTACACAAAAAGCCTTCTACACTCTGCAATCCGTTTTTTTGATGTACTAGATAAAGTCAGTCTCCTCCTCTATATCAGTTTGACTGTCGTGCATCCAAGAAACAATCAACCGATCCCCAGCGGCCGCTGATGGGAGCGGGTGGCAAATGGGATGATGCGCGAAATGACCATGGTTGTGGGACAACCATTTGCCATGTCTTCACCAATTTAGAACCATGGGCCCTCCAACAGTGGCACACCTTTGCAATGGACCCAAAGTATTTCCATGTTCTACCGCATCGACTAACTAACGAGTCTAGTGATGGATTTCAAAAGGTCCGATGTAAGCAAATGCAGTTGGTGCTTGAGACAAGGTAGTCAAAAGCAAAGTTGGTTGGCAAACTGCTCGGTGGCCAGAGTGGTCTCCAATGATTTCCGAAATGATAACTGATCCGGCCCATTGTCAGTGCACACACACCAAACGTGCAAATAAGAATTTGGCAATGATCCATTCCTTAGGTTGCAAAGTAGTCCGAGCTATCATCGGTACCCAACCACTGTAACACTGAACCCAAGACATTGGCTTGAATGGAATAATAACAACCATTATCATCATGTTCAGATGTCCTATGTCTTTTGACCTAGGTCCTGGAACTTGAGCGGTCTAGGGTGTATCTTGATACATCAATAGAGAACTACAATTACAATCACAAACCGCCTTACTGCAATTAGAATTCTAAACTTGGGTTGACATCCCAAGTCGTGGCTGCAGCTTACGTCATCTTGAGTCATCTGGAGAAATGAACAACAACTTTACAACTTCTAGTAGGACAAGTGTCTTCATCTTTTCTGCAATATCGTCCCACATCCAGCATTTCACGAGACTCAGTTGCTTGGAGACGATCGCCAAATTTCCCTGCGCCGTGCCCTCCGTGACGACTTGCAGGTCACACCTCCGGTCAGGTCGGCAACAAGTTGGAAACCAACACCGGAGAAGACTGAAGTCCAGACCCATGTCATAACTGACCAACTGTGATAACTATGTATTTGTTAATTTGTCACTGTCTGTCTGTGTATGTGATGCGTCCATGCTAAGATTAACCAACAACAACCATGGCCCATGACCCGTGACTATCATTCTCATCAAGACCGTCATCACAGCACACCACCCCTGCGTTTGTCATAGGAGTCAGTCATAGGTCCTAGGTATCTCATCAATCTATTTCTGTCATGCATGAACGTAATGTACATACGTTAAAACAGTTTGTCCATTCAGTCAGGTGAGTCAGTCAAGTCATATAACGACGGTCGCACAATAGTCCTTTGATCAAATCCGTTTGTGACTTATCCTATCTTTTGGGATCTTTCACCCTGGTCACTTCAAGTTGTCAATGGGTGCCTGCTGCCCTGCCCAATGTCCTGGCCCTCACGGTCTTACATCTTCTCATTTTATCCATCATCTCTAACAACCAAACTGATAGAAAATGGTGTCAAATTACAATATGTTTAGTTCAAAATAGTTTGATGCAATGCTACAATGACAATGGCTGCTTTCTTAGATTTATTTCATCACTTTCAGTAGCAACTAACAATCTAATTCTAATGTCTACCATTGACTTTCTAAGACTTTCTATGTTGCTCCATATTTGTTGAAATCCAAAACACATTGGCAACATCATTTTCAAGTCTGAGTCTCTGAGTCTTACCGTCAATATTATATGTTTCATGTTCTTGTGGCCAATGTTGGCGCTTCATGAAGTTTACGACCCCAAATTCCCCCACCCCAAGCCCACAAATGAGCACGTGCAACCAAAGCACACTGTGGTATGTGATGCAAATGCATGGTGCCACAAATCATACTTGCTGAGTTGATCGGGAGAAACAAGAAACGAACTTGTCAGAATCAATCCTTGTAGCTTGTTTCTCCGCCAGACCCCACTATTTGTAGCATCCCCTGAGAATGCAGTACCGCCTAAAAAGAAAGGCGCATCAGCCAATGCAATTTCATCTGTTGAGTGTGGAACTGGGACTCCCAAATCGTGAGCAGCAACCACTGCATAGTCAACATCGGTGAGTGCCAATGATGGGCTGACAGTTGCTTGATCTTTGTTAGCCAAGAAAACTGAAATTCGATTCAACACATCACTGATGATTTTGTGGAACGCGGCTGACCGCATCACAAGCATGGCCCAAACAGATGTCTCAGCACGGCAAACGGTTTGTCTTGATACATCAAACAAGATCGCCAAAGGAAATGCCACGGCCGACGACAATGCCAAAGCTTTCCGAATGCCCAATGCTACAAACCCAGTCTTAGTAAGTCGAACCTTCCCAGTTGAAATTTGAAGAGCCCTGTCATCATCATCATCAAGCTTGCACATCTCAACATCATTGCGCTTGTTAGACTTGACCAGCTGGTATTTGTGTGCACGTTTCATTTTTTTCAGCTGTTTCTGGTATTCATCACACTTCCCCTGCAAAGAAAAGATGCGCTTAATCAACACTGCCTTGTGACAAGAGTTCAAATCTTCTTCTGTGACCTTTCCCCAGCGAATGCCACGTCTTTGGGTTGGTAGCCTAATCTCAGTACTTTGCGATTGGCTATCAATCACTGTCAGTTGGAGTTGAGTTTCCTCCACATTCGACATTGAAGATGCTGATGATGATGATGCACATGTACCCGGCGTTTGGGATGATTCAGAATCGGAAACATTGCTGTTCATCCGACGTGGTTGCAGTGGCTGCACTTCTAAACCACCACAACTCTTCCCCATCCGCAACCCCACCGGCAGATTTCCCATAGAGATCCGCCGCTGACACTCTTCATGTACCAGCCCATTCCACCGATCAGTACTTATCTCTGGCATAAGGAATGTGATAATGCGCAAGGAATACCATACACCAGTTGAAGATAGTCGCACATAGGAATCCTTATTGGTTTGATTTTGCCATGAAGCTTGTTCATGCATTAACGAAGCATGTAAAGCAGTAAGTCGTGTGTACCAGTCAGTAAAATGATAGGTAGCAAATTTTTAGGCTTACAGATATGAAGCAAATACCAACGATTGACTAGGCAATATGATAGTCAACGTTACACGTTTTGAACAGCACATGCTAGTGGAATCCTAGTGGAATACATGAGACTGAGAATAGTGAGTGTGCATGAACTGTGTTTTGATTCTGCTTTGATCAGTTTGATGTAATCTCACAAGGGTCATATCATATTTTGAATCTTGATGAACAGTTTCCAAACAATTGAACAAGCCACCGACTGCATTGTTGATTTCTTCCCATACCCAATGACAAATATTTAAGTACAAGTCTCAAGTACATCTTCTCGATCCACAAGCGACATCATATCAGAGAATGATCGCCGCCCATGCCGCCGCGCAGCCGCAGGCGTTGGAAGCGACTGGATTGCGAGTGAGCTGAAGAAGCCGCACAACCTGAGTTTCGTGTTGCGGCATGGGTGGGGTTCTTTACATATGTTACAAGTATCAAAGGTATTCAGAATGCAAAAGCATAGGAAGCAGCACCAAATACCAAACACACATCAGTTGTGTTGTGCTACTTTTTTTTCTAAAGCTGAAGTCCGAAGTTGATTGGTTGCAAATTTTGTTTTTTTGTTAAATCACTTGCCATATCATTTGAATATCTTACACTGATGCCGTTCGAGCAACTCATCTTTCGAAAGGACCAACTCTAGGCCAGCATCGGATCGTCCCAATCTCGCCCGTGACAACAGGCGCATGGCTTGCATTGCCATCCCTAAAGCTTGAGTTCTTGCGTTACCAATTGAAAGTTTTTGTTTGTCAGTCGATCGAGTCAAATTCCCATATAAAACTATTTATTGTACTCCCGTCGTTGATGAGGAACTACGTGTTGGAAACTGGTCACACTCAATAGGCATACGTAGGGAACCCTGCCCAGATGGAAATGACAACCGAAACAAACACTAGTTGCAATGAGTTACAATTTGTGACGTTCGGAGCCTATGGTTCTTGATACAGTTCTTGTTAATAGTTTCTTCTTCTCTCACTCTGGTCGCTGGTGACTGGTGACACTGGCCATTAAAGAAATGGAAAACAATACATATCGTATGTCAGCTGTTGTTTGATGCATCTTAAATTCTGTTTGTGTAAGTATTGTCGTCCAAACCCAAACCTGACTAGCCTTTGCCCGGACATTGTGTCCACTGATTGGTCCATGCTGCGTTGGTGCGGCCTGTGGAAAAACAAGGCCGTGGCAACATCTATTCACCACCGGGATGTGTTGTGTTTAATGCGATGTTCACACAAATGACCTCTTCAATTCCTTGTTGGTTTGCTCGCCTGAACTATGAATAAGCATACCCAATCTATATACAAATCGATCGTGTGGATCAAGAATGCAAACCTGGAAGCTTAAAACTTATCTTTGTTGAACAACAACATTGTTTATAACAAAACCAACTAGCATATCTTAACAAAATTGATGGCATTAGCAATAAAAAATGTTGCCAGCACTAGATGGTACATACCATGCCAAACATATTGATTGAAAGCATAAATTTTGAAGAATGTTCTTGAAAAAAACACAACTCATGTTTTTTTCTGAGTTATACCAGTATCGTCATACCACTGAAATTGTGTAACTATATCGTTTTTCCCCAATGGTAACCAAAGCTGCCTGTCCACCTCTAGTTGTATAAGCTGTCATGATGTATACATACCAATGCCCCAAGGGCAGTAACAACTGCCGTGCCCTACAAGTTTTGGAACATAACTCAAGGTGGTTTTGGACATGTTTACTAGTTTAATATAAATCACCATAAATGGATGGTAGGTTTATGGCTGTGGGTTTCGCACACTAATCACATCTAATCACTATTATCTGATATCCATGACTATCGTCATCATTATTATCTAGTATTGTTATTGTTCTATCCATTACTATTGTTATTCCCATGTTATCATACATTATCCCAATGATGTGGAAATAGTACATAACGTCATTGGATCACAAATTAGAATAAGGAATTTCACAATATCATCCTTGTTTTTTTCCTCTCTCTCTCCCTCTCCCTTTCCATCGCCATCTCAGAAAGTTCAACAGAAGCTGATATCATCCTTTATTGTTAGCGTCAGCGTTTATTTCATGTGGTACCCTCTGGTAAACTGACATAGCTATGGAAAATCAACAGAATAGATAAATCATCTACATACTATAAATAAATAACCAATTTTCCATAGAAAACTGTTAACTGGAGGGTAAACTTGCCATCCACCATATGGGTAAATTATAATATTTCACTAACCTGAATTAAGGCCCACAATGGGGATGATTTCCCTTACTAACCATGATTCCAGGCTTCGGTCGCGACATGAGTTCGTGATCATTTTTTTTACCCGGATGGTTTTACATTGTTGTTTAATGGTTATAAATGGATATAAATAATAAACCATCTGGGTAAATTTAACAACCATTAAAACCAATGTTTAAATGGATATAAAACATTATTTACACATCTGGTTTACCAATGGTTCTCACTGGTCCTACATCTATTTACATTGGTAAACAATGGTATACCAGATATTGACCCATGGTTTTACATTTATGCCATTGGTAAATGTTTAAATGGTTTACCATGGTTGTTTAATGGTTGTTAAACATTGGTAAACCCCGTTGTTTTACCAACGTCTTCCAGGTCACATGTCCTCCACGACACTCCTTTGGTGGCTCCGTCGCCTCCAAATGCACCGCGGTCCTCTGCAGCGCTTGGCGGCAGCGGTCCCACACCATGGCACCACCTGCGGAGTAGACCCGCCAAGTCCTACCGGTAAACTAACAGGTTCCTATGGGAAATCACCATCTTTAATAAAAAAAAATCACCATAAATCATCTAGAAATTGGTTAAACTAACAGTTTGCGAACTGGAAAATCACCTGTTTTTTGAATAGGTAAATCAACGAACTAAATGAGCCATGGCTTCAAATAGCAAACTGTTAAACTACCAGAGGGTAGTTCTTTTTAGTGCCATGCTTGGGGGTACAGTGGAACAAAGTGAAACGATAAATAAGTGGGTTATATAAGTTATCATGGTTCCAACTTATTTATATATATATATATTACTTAAACTTATGGAGGTTAAACTATGATAAGTAGCCAAGTGATTGTTATATAAGTTATTAGTGGCTTCTCTATATATATATATATGTGTGTGTGTATATGGTTGTAGAGGTCGCTAATATCCTAACTTATGGAGGTTAAAATCCCATCGTTATACTGATTAAAAGCCCCTGGCCTGCAGCCCCAGTGGGATTTGTTTTACCTCCAACTAGACATACTTAGTAATTATTAATAGTTATACTAATACTTAGTAATTACCTCCAACTTATGGTTACATCATAGTAATTCCAATACTATAACTGAACCATGAAAGATAGCCCTATCCCATCTCGTTGCCCTACTTGGTAGATAAACTTCCCTACTACTTATAGGTTAGTTCATATTCCCCAAACCCAGGTATGGTAATTCCATATAACCAATAAACCAACATGTTTTCAAAAGCTCAACTGCACCCGCACGCATCCAGATCTGCATATATATATAAATACATCACCAGTTGGAGAATTCTTATGGTTAAACACAGCTTATGGTTAAAGCCAACTTATGGGTTTGTTAATAGTTATAAGATGTTGTAAGGTGCTGCCTTCACATGCAGTTTGGCAGCTGAGCAAGTGCGTGTGCGAGTCAATCCCCAGCAATGGCTGACCAGTGATCACATCCCCATAGTTATACTCCTATACTTATCTATCCAGATCTGGATAATTACATAAAAGTGATGATCTAGTGGTGATAAAATCCCAGAATTAGACTTATCCCATAGTTATACTTATCAAAGCCATATCACACATCTGGGATTCTAACTGACCCAGTGGTTTTATAATCCCATAGTTATACCCATAGCTACCTGGTTGGTGGTTGAGCCACCCCTCTGAAAAATATGAGTTCGTCAGTTGGGATGATGAATTTCCCAACTGAATGGGAACAATAAAATTCATGTTCCAAAGCACCAACCAGATATTAATATCCATATTTATAAGTGGCTAAATACCCCCACAAAGTTTTCACCCATAGTTATACCCATAGTTTTACCCATAGTTATACCCATAGATGCCCACAGTAATAATTACCCATAGTGCCATATAGTTATACTTATCCAGCTCTATATATAAGCTATACCCATAGTGCCATAGTTATATATATATACTTATCCAGCTCTTCTATAACCACCAAAGCCACGGGATTTTTCGCCTGATATCCGCAGGTTGCGCCCCAGCAGCGCCACCGCGCCATTGAGACGCCGCCCCGCGCCACGGAAGGCACCCAGGTGATCAGTGGACAGCGGAGTTTGGAGGAGTAGGTCACTGGAAGTCAACACCTGGGGAATTTCGAGGAAAATTGCTGGTTTAACCACTGAAAATATGTGGAAAATGGGTTCAAATAGAGATTTCTATGGGAAATTGTGAATGACTTGGGTGTTTTAAGCAACAACAATTGTTGTTTAACCACGGAAAATGATGGAAAATGGTGATTGAACACACAAAAATCAGCAATTGAACCGCGAAGAATTGCAACTTTAATCAACACACATATACGCATGGACAATTTAACCAATGAACATGGAGATTCTTTTGGCATCTTTTGACGAAAGGCTTTGCGCTTTGTTTAACCTATGAAAAAATGGATTTGACAAGCATTTGGTTTGATGTGTAGGAAATTCTGGGGGACATTGGCTATACCATGCTTTATCCCTGAAGGTAGTTGTTTTTGTCTGCAAATGTTCCTTTCAACATTGGGGCTAATCATATGAGGTCACATATGTAGAAAAACATGTTCAAGCAGCCAAAAAGGGTGGTTCTTAACATAACAGCCAACAATCCAGCAGAATCCAAACAAATACAGCTGCGCAACGCAGCAGCACCTTCGCAATCCGATGTGTCTCAAAGGTTGAGGCAGCGCCAGTGGGAGCCATCAGAATTTCATCACCCCTCTGCCAGGCAGTTGGATGCTCCAGCCGTATTCGCCGAGTGCCAGCTGCAGCACTGGCAGCCAGATATGTCCAAGACAACTTGGGCCTGCCGTGCAGTTCCAAACGCCCGGTGTTGCTCACGAACAAAACGCGCGAGAGTGCTAGTGGTGGAAAATCTGGCAAACCCGCGCGTGAATAATCAAAAGTGTCATGCAACTCATCAGGCCCTGATAGCCTCAGCCGAGTCGTGCCGGGTCATCAAACAGAGCAAATCCAAACACACGACCTGTGTTGAGGTCCGTTGAACACGTGACGATCGATGAAGGATATAGTTCCAATAATTATAACATATATGCTACTCTTCGTTCCAGCCTTTGATTATGATGTTTTTTCCCGTGGTTTTCAAATGCCGCCACCATGCTGCTATGTTCAGTGAGCACTGCCTGCAATATGACAGGGAGTATCCCAAAGTCGTTTCCATCTAGAATTGATCAAAATTGTGCGGTTTTACGGGGATCTTGTTACCAAATTGCACATCCTGCCATCATATTGAGCTATGTTCGAGCCATACTGTCATACAGTTATGGCCGTTTACGTATTATAAGTTGTTATAACTGGTTATAACTGGGATTATACCCTCTGGTAAACTAACATAACTATGGAAAATCACAATTTTTAATGGCAAAACTCACTATAAATGGCCATGTTCAGTAGCTATGTTTGTTTACCAAAGGGTATAATTCCATAAATGGGGTTGAACATTCTTATACCTGGACATACCAGGTGAAGGGCATCATACCACGCATGGCACCACTTCCAATCAACTGAAACCGCGCGCTAAGTCGCTGTAGCTGGAAATCTCCCTCGAAGGCGTCTTCGACGCATCCGACCCACAGTTCACCATCCAGCCGTAGCAGTTGCGTTTCGATGTGCAACTGGCTCTGTAAGTCAATGACCAGCCGTTTCCCTTGGGTGAATCAGCCCAGATGGAAACTGGGAAACAAAATCATAGAGGTTGTGATTGACAAAGACGGGAACACGACATATCAGCATAATAAGCATTTTTTAATCTACCCTCTGGCCATCAAACATGGCAATTGAAAATCCAGTGTAGCATTGTAGCTGTTTTTATCCACTAAAACTTCATCTTTCAAGGTTATTTTCAGGCTAGCCATGTTTGATAAGCAAGCATTGAAAAAAACATTTCCAGATAGTACCCAGCGTCCGGGTGGTACAGTGATACTTCGACTTTTGATGGAAACAGCTTCCGTTCCGCCCAGCAGGCAATCCTCCCGCAGCACCCAAGGTAGTCCCGACCTTGGTACCTGACACGGTAGCGCCACTTCGTGGGCAGGACATGCGGTGCCCGGCTGAAGGAGGGTGAGACAAACAAGCGAAAAGCAAAGCAACATGGCTGCGACATGGATATAGCACTTCTCTGAAATTCTCTGAAGTCGTGTGTTTTATATAATAACTCAGTACAGGTACCCCCCCAAGAAAAAGGAATTCGTAAAAGTCAAGTGTGACGATTTCAGTAGGGTTTGATGTTCTATTTTTGTTGGGGTGACTATGAAAACAATCAACATCTGCCCAAATGATGGACCCGTCCCAGTAAGCCCAATGAAAAGCAACCATCACTGGAGGTCATTTTCTGAACACCCCAAAGATATAATCCGTTTTATGGGTATACCCAACAAGAAACCCCAAACTTTGGGATGGATTTTAATCATCACCTTTCATATGTTTTCCATAATTATCCCATACTTAAACATTAATTACCCCTCAAGTATCCCATAATCTCAAAATCATGTCCAGTTTCTAGTGGGTTTACCAGGTTTACCATGGTTTACCACATGTCTAAGGGCAGAAATGGAACTCCACACAGCCGTCACCAAGGGACATCAGCATACTTGGGCTGCATCTTGCGGTCCCAACACAAGTTCAAGCCTGGTGCGTGCGAAAGACCCAAGGCAGAACGCAACGAACCGGTGGGAATGTCACTAATGTGAAACGTGGGGAAGCTGCCTCAAAGACTGGTTGGTGGTCAAACTAGCTTTATAGGGTTTATTAATGATTATAATAGTTCGCTGGGGTTGCCATGCAACTTATCTGGAAAAAATGCCACAATTCACTCACCTTAAAAGCTCGGCGATTTTGGGAGAGTCACCTCCACTAGCCATCATTCCAGTGACCCTACGTGAGGCTCTTATGATCTGTCTATGTGGAATATAGCAATCAATCCCCAAGAAGATACCAAAATAAGATCTGACTAAAGATAGTAGTAAATAGATCACACGTCTATCATTTTTGAGGGTTACTGTACATATAACCAATCATACTCAACACTAATCACATAATGATGTGTGTGTGCAATTGTGTGCAAATAGTAAATGATCATGGCTATGATTGGCACTACCGGAAGCGCGTGCCTTGGGGGTTCTCTTTCTTCAAATGCGCCATGTCCTCACGGGTCATGGAAAGTGTGATGTATTTCCGCATGGTTCCAAACTGGTTACCCTACGGTAAATTTGTACACTTTGCGAACAGGAGAATCGCCCTTTTTACGAACGAAATTTTATATACTTTTTATTTGGATTGATTTATCATCAAACGATTGCGGAGCCATGGTTTCTACCTTCTGTTTAAACTAACATAGCTATGGAAGCCATGGCCCTCCACTATAGTTAACTTACCTACCAAATACCATCTGCTTATTTAACATAGCCATGGAAAATCACCATTTCAAATAGGTAAACCATCTATTTCTATGGGCCATGGCTTCCATGGCTATGTTAAATAACCAGAGGGTACCCAATACCTACAAAATCATGTGACATTCCGTAGCACAGTGTGGCAAATCACCAGTCTCTGTCTCCTCGTGAGTCTCCGGAACGTTGTACCTGACCGTGACGTCCAGCATGGTGGAAACCATAAGTCACCGTCAGGTGGCCAACCGAAAAAAAAAAAAAAAAACGAAAAAAAAACAGGAGGATCTCTCAACATGTCATGGCACTGTAAGAGATTTTATGGTGATTAAATGGAATTTCATTGGATTTTATCGGAATAAGTTTTGTTCTTTTCGAATAACTCTGTTCTGATATTGACCTGTAAGCCAATAAATTTTAGTCAAATCTAATTCCAAGTGAGACAGTCTAGCAGCTGTTCTCCGCACCTATACTGCAAACTGTTAAATTACCAAAAGGGGTACGCAAACGCATACCAGTATTACTGCACAAGGCGGTGGCGGAAGTTTCAAAGATAGGAAACAATAGGAGCGCTTTGGTTGTTGTGACGCCTGGCTGGCAGAGCGAAGCCGCTCACGGAGCGAGAGGTGATTGAGGCTCTGAGTCTTTCATTCTCTGTCTTTGTCTCCTCTTCGTCTCTGTTTGCCTGTCTGTTTGTCTCTTTGTCCTACCCATAGGGAATATATGGATAATTATTCATAGCTCCTTAGCTCACAAGCCACCGGATAGTTACCAAAGTTGTTGAAAACTTGGATTGAAGGGGCAATAAAAATAAGGCATATCTTCCGGGCTAGATTCCGACATATTCTAGTGGATCAGCCCATGGGTAACTCACCAAAAGGTATCCATGATGGATGGCATCCCAAATTTCCAAAAAAAATCCGTGGTCCGAGTCATGTTTCAGAGTTTACCCAGTTTACTTCCTATTTTTATCCGTTTTGGGAGGGATCTTCTTCCTGAAAATGATGACTTCTTGTTGTGAAGGTCACCTTTAGGTCGTGGTGGTTGAATCCCCATTCTTGGTAGTAAAAATGCCAATGACAAAAAATGTTTTTAGAGATTAAATCCACATGTTGGGGGTTGATGGGGGTTTCTTAAAATTGGGGATCCCCAAGTCACCATGGCTTTCAATACTAAAATGCAGGACTTGAATGATTTGGGTTACCCGCATTTTTTGAAAGCTCCATTGCTGTAACTTCAGAATAAACAAGTCCCCAGCAGATTCCCCAGTAGTTTTCCAGGAAAAAAACACCGACTCAACATATAACAAATCCTAAGTATGGCTTTATATGGTACAGTAAGCCATGGCAAACGCAATTTTATAAACATCCCCAATTAATCACCATAGATCTGGGTAAATAATAATAATTCACTGACCTGAATTAAGGCCATTTGGGGATGATTCCCCTTATTAACCATGATTTCCAGTGAGGTCGCAGTGAGGTCGTTATAATTTACCCAGATAGATGGGTGGTGGTACATATCCAAGTTTGGTAGGTTTATGGCCTGGCGGCCATAAACCACAGTACCTCTAACATATAGGATCCTGAAGTCATGTTCATTCTTTGCTAGTCCACAAAAACACGAAAATCCTTTGCTGCTTATGGTGATCTGATTTTCCATATCTATGCCCAACAGAAATCAAAACAAAAAACATATCTCCAATTATTTGAGAGAGAAACCTATGGTTCTATCCCAACAAACCTCAAAAATCACGAAACCTGTGGTGTTTAGAATCCATCCCACTTTTGGGGATGGAAAATTTCCCACTCCATGTGCCATTTGCGTCTCGCACCAATCGTCCAGGATCTTCAACCCTTCCGGGGAGTTCCGTACCTCCACGGCCCAAGCCGCTTGGGGATGCTGTTGGAATGCGGTTTTGGTGGGGGATGACGCCCCTGGTTTTGATGGGGGCAACACAGCAAGTTATCATGGGCCCGGGAGTTCAATCAATAAAACTTGGGCTTCAACAAATAGTAAGTTCATCGCTTCGGTTTGTGGAAATCAAGATCCGAAGAATCAAGGAAGGGGGTGAACATATGGTGTTTCTATACAATCCAACATTGCTCTGTTCCCTGTTCATTCGGTTCGCATCGGTTCGCTAGACTGTACCTGAGCTCCAAGATATACGGAATATACGGTGATGTGTTAGAATTAGGACTATTTAGAAGAAAACAAAGCCGACTTCAGAAATGTGTTGCACATATAATCTGAATCCTTTGCTGCCAACAAAATTATGATATTAGACTTAACTATGTCATGTCTGTACACATGTGAAATCTAAAAATAAAGCCTCACTTGTGTTATAGGTACCTATGGGGCATAGCGCGCGTGCGCGTGAAACTATACTCACTCCCTCCTCTCACTGAGATACCGTTTGGGTACAGTTGGGTTAATGGGTATAATTATCACCATAATATGGATTTTTTGAAGCTCCATCAGTTGGAAAATAACCATGGTAAAATCGAACCCAGCGACAGTTACAGCCATAGTTCGATGCTTGTACCAGCGAACTAAATCTGCCCTCCAAAGGGTCGCCCAGAAATGAGGACACCAATGGGTGGGGTCCAGTCATGGTAGCTTTGAATACCATCTGGTTATTTAACATAGCCATGGTGATTTTAATAGGTAAACCATCTATTTCTATGGGCCATCTATTCCATGGCTATGTAAAATAACCAGATGGTAACTTTGAATCACTGGGCCACATTAGATCCTAGGCTTTCTCACGATGAAGAATCCACCATTGATGAAGTCCTGCTGGTCTTTCCGAAGGCCCTCTTCCATGTGATACTCCTGGCGACCAGGCTGCAGTTCCACTGCTGTTTTTCTTGCGGAACTGATATTTCACCATAGTTTTTTTGTGGAACCAAAGCTATTTTGGAATATACTTCCTTAATAGTTGGAATAGTGGTAATTAACTATTATAGGTAACATATATTTTGTTTAACGCATTAGTTGGGCATTGACCCGTTACCCTCCAGCAATGTAACATGGTTTGGAAATTCTCGCCGCCAGGTTGGTTGGTGGGGATTGGTTCACGTCATTCACGTCATTTTCCGAAACTGACCAAACATGAATGAAAAAAAACATCCGGGCAATGGGTGAACAGATATGCTTGGAAAAAATTGCTTAAGAACCATCCCGGCTTGGAACATGATCAGGTACTTTTTTCCTTCCCTCAAGTTTGAAACAACCCCAAGAAATTTCCCAGATCCAACGCACGGAGCCTGTGAAAAGAGGATCTGCCTCCAGGGAAGCTTGGCATTTTGTGAGGGAAAGAGGTCTGGATACCCTCTGGTAAACGTTTACAGTTTGCGAACTGGAAGCCGTGGCCATTGAGTTCGTTGATTTGCCCATTACCCTCTGGTAAACTAACATAACTATGGAAAATCACCATATTGAATGGGCAAATCAAGTCTAAATTGCCATTTTCAATAGCTATGTTAAATTACCAGAGGGTAATAGCATGGTGATTTAACCATGCAGTTGTTTGTAAAACATTTACCAAAGGGTAATGTGGGATGATGGATTCACCCTAGTCACCATAGCCACCATCCCCGATGGATGGTATGTGGATGATGTTCATGATGAGATCTCGTGAAAAAAATCATTCCAGAGTCCATCAATTCAGAGACTTGAACAAGCGAAATGGTGGTATAATGGGGATGTGACGGGGATAATCTCATTATCATGAATATAGACTTCTATAGATAATATACATGATACTTACTAGATTATGCAAATAATAATATATATATATATGTAGAATATACATATATATATATATACGCTCGGGGCCCTAGGTTTCCGCAGAGTATCTTGGTTCTCATTGATCCATATGTCAAAAATCACTGTTTCGCCACAGCGAAAGGTGGATTTTGCACATTCTTCTTTTTCATTCTTTAAGGGCAATTTGACGGACCTAAATTTTCAGGCCCGCGCAAGTTGCATGTTCTGACATGTTATCCACAGTACATGTCAATTGTGATTTTCATGTTTTCCCACACGAAATACCACTTTTCATGAATTTCTTTGTTTTTTTTATCAGGAATTGTCAATTTTTACTGCGGCACGTGGGGTAATATGAAGAGGTGTCTTTTTTTATTGGTATTTGCAGTGAATTTTAACGTTAGCATGAAACGGCACATGTTGATAGTCAGCTTTTTTTTGCTCGTTGTTGCTTCAACTTCATCAGCCTGCTGCAACATGTTCTTTTTCAAAGTTTTTTTCCTTGTTTTCCCACACGAAATAGCACATGTCATGAAAGTCGTTGATTTTTTTAAGCGGAAAAGTACTGTTTTTACTGCGGCTCGTGGTGTAATATGAAGGGCTGGGTTTTTTTTATTGGTATTTGCAATGTTTTTTATGTTAGCATGAAACGGGACATGTTGATAGTCACCCTTGTTTTTGCTCGTTGTTGTTTCAACGTCAACAACCTGCTGCAACATGCTGCAACATGTTCTTTTTCAAAGTGTCCACGGCGCTCGATCCCAAACTTTGCTGGCGGGCTGTAAGCTTGACATAGGCAGTTCCCTGATTTTTCTATATGTATGAAAGTATATGTATGAAAGTATATGTATGAAAGTATATGTGTATATATGTGTATGTATATATATATATATAACATCGTCAAATACACATCAGCATATGAACTCCAAAGAAACACAAGCATATCTATAGTACCCCGGGGCCCGACCCCACCCCTCCCATCAACGTAGCATCAACGTAATATGAACATGACGTTAACATGCCCCACCCCACCCCACCCCACCCATCTACGTACCATGAACATGACGTTAACATGCCCCACCCCCACCCCACCCATCAACGTACCATGAACATGACGCTAACATGCCCCACCCCCCCCCACCCCTCCCATCAACGTAGCATCAACGTAACATGAACATGACGTTAACATGCCCTACCCCACCCCACCCCTCCCATCAACGTAACATGAACATGACGCTTACATGCCCCACCCAACCCCACCCCTTGCGGAAACCTGGGGCCCCGAGGGTATATATATATATATATGCAGATAATCTACTATGGGATTTTTAGATGATTTACCCATGAAAAATAGTTAATATGTAATGTGACTACAACAATGTCATGTTTACCATCCCCCAGTCATCAGCATTTTTATGTGGTTTTTGAACCTTTCCCAAATGAGGTGGTTTATGACATTGTTTTACCCACATTGATCTGTGTCATGCCCCACTGGTAAACTAACAGTTCGCTATGAAAAATCACCATGTTTAATATGTAAATCAACTATCAATGGCAATGGCTTCCAGTTCGCAACCTGTGAGTTTACCAAAGGGTAACCACCATGAATACTATAGCACATACTATAGTTATATCCCCCCTAAAGTAAACCCTTTAAATCAGGTTGATTATAGATGATCCTATCTACTTCAGGATTCTTATACTTACAATATATCCTGAAGTATGTCTATACTATCCATGATTAACCATTTATTAACCTAATATCTATCTACAGTATATAAATGTCTTGCTTCCGAGCCACTTGTCCTCGTGCATGCCATAATCTTCCACGATGGCGCTCAGCGACTCCGAGGTGCGAATGAAGGCGTCCTCAGCGCATGTTTTCGGCCTCAAAAAGTTGATTTTAACGTGTAGGCTGCCCTCCAGTAAACTGACAAAACTATGGGAAATGGTTCGTTTATAGTAACATAACTATGGGAAATGCATTGTTTATAGTGATTTTAACGGGATTTATGGGGTTCAATGGGTTTTCAATGGGACTTACAGGGATATAAGGGATTATAGTGAGAAATGGTGAGATATACCCTCCAGGAAACTAACATAGCTATGGAAAATGGCTCATGTATAGAGAGTTTACCTATCAAAATGGAGATGTTCGATACTTATGTCTGTTAGTTTACCGGCGAAAATACATGAACATATTGTTTTTAAACTTATCTTATATACCTTACCTCTTCTCTGAATTTCAGGTGTCCACTTTTGCTGAACCGTTCTATCTATGTTTGAATTTGTTATGATGGAAAGCCTTCAGTACCGGCCCTGATGATCTTGTTCCCTACATATCTGGTAAGGTTTTTTCACATAATTTCCCACCCTGAAAAAAACCAGGAACACTTGAAACATATTTCAGGTTGGGAAACTTCTACCACATATCAAAGAAAACATCCCCAACCGCCCCAGGTAGTACACGTATTGGGCTGGTTCGGGGACGCGAGAGGTCGGCCCGTTGCTCCCAAAGAGGGGTACCAGGAATTTCTCGCCGTTTGCGAGCTGGAACATGACTATTTTAAATGGGTAAATCACCTATAAATCATGGCTATATAGTCATCTATAAATAGTTAAACCAGGAGTTTTACTGTTTATAGTTATGTAATTTCTGTAAATGGGTAAAACATGTATAAATCATCTATAAATTATATAACTATAAATATTGTCTACAAATGGCAATGTTCATTCAATTTTCTTCCATTTTCTATAGCAAACTGATGAATTACCAGAAGGTATCCGGGATCTTCAGTGACTCCAACATCAAGGATGACTAAAAGATTGTCAAACCGCCCGTTCCTTGAAAATGGTGACTTCAACGACAAAAATGCGTATATGATGGGGATAAATGATGATAAATCAGCCTATTTTTAACTGATTTACCTAAAAAGAATGGTGTATATATATATATTTGCCAATGATTGCCTCTCTTGATCAAAACCCCCATAATCTCCAATAAACAAATAATTGCCAACTAGTGGTATTTCTATCAGATCTATCATAATCCCCAATCACCCCCCAATCAACCCCCAATCAATCCCCAATAAACATCAATAAACCAAGTATAACTTACGGTCAGCATCCCACCAATCTCTCCATTACCAGTCTCCCTCCACGACGGACCGAGGTGCCGAGTCCAAGGACACCCCGAAGTTACAGCGCTCGGGTCCTCGCTCCCGCAAGGCATCATGGATGACCTTCACTTTGGCCCAACCTGGCGTAAACCCGGGCGCTTTTGGTGGTGATTCTATGGGATTTGAAGATATTTTGATGGGATTTTTCGGTGATTTCGTGGGATTTGATGATATTTTGATGGGATTTCATGGTGATTAGATGATATTTTGATGGGATTTCATAATATGATGTTGATGATATTTCCTGCTGATTTGATGGGACTTGATGAAATGTTGATGGGATTTAATGGGATGTTGATGGGACTCAATGGTGATTTAAAAAGATTTTGGCTGGCATCCATTCCATTAAGTATCAGGAAATATATGAATTTCTTCCTGGGTTCAAGTGGAGGTTGTGAGGTTCAACTGGTCACCTGAAGGGATTTGAAGCAACCACTTTCCTCAAGGTGTCCAGTCCCCCAGTGCTGGTCCCCTCAGGGTTTCGGGCCAATCTTTCTGTCGGGATAGTGATGGACAGGATCAGGCTGAACCTAAGCAGCTCGCCTTGGGAAAACACCACTGGCTGTCCTCAACTTGGCCATGTACCCTGGAGTAATTTAACCATGGCGCCATGGAAAAAACGCCAAGTTTCAAGACCTGATTATGCTTATCCCGGATATGTTCCAAATTTAACAGCTGGGATTTTCATTGATTTTCCCATTGTCATGTTCAAAAACGTGGTACTGCCACTCGAACAAAAATGGACCCCGGTTGATTCATACGGCGTCATACGGCTGATTTTGATCAAGGCCCCCTTTGGATTTCGAAGATCCAGTTCGCTCAATAACTGGCCAGTGTTTGTGGGCTCAGTTCAGCCACTACAATAAACCCACTGAGGGGGCTAGGCTAATTCACCAATTCATATCCCGGATTAATCCCTAGTTTACTCATTGGGCACCATTCATAAAGGGGAACATGGCTATTTTGGGGGTGCACCACAGGCTAGGTTGCCCTGACATAATCGATCTCGTAGCCATGATCCTGCGCATAGGCCCAATTGATGCCGTACGACAAGGTCCAATACCTGGACGATTTCGAGTCACGTTTCTTACGTTTGTTTTACAATATGTTGCAAATGTTGAATATGGCATGGTGAATTCATCATCAACAATTTGGGCATTAATGTGTTTTTTTGGTGAAAATTTAAGAGGATACAATGGGGTGTAACTGGGAGATGGCGGGAGTTACAATGGGAAAAGTTCGGATAGGACATGTTTCGGTGCATTGTTCAGACACAAAAGCACAGCCCAAGCTTGACAAACCGATTCCGAACCACCAGAAACGATCAATACTGGCAGAGCAGCTAGGTCGTAAATAGGGTGCTCAGTTGCCCACTTCCAAAGCCACAATTGGCAATTTACAATATATATATATATAATTATATATATAATTATATATATATAATTATATATATATATAAATAATGATATATATAATTATATAATTATATGTAAAATTATATATAATTATAGATATATATATATATAATTATATATATAATTATAGATATATATAATTATATATATAATTATATATATATGCTCACCCACCCCCCCTATATATATACATAAAGATAGACACACACACAAACATCATATAGTATAGAAATATAAATATATATATATTTATTTACATATATTATATTTCACCTTCGGAGGCATGTTTATTGGACATATACAACCAGGCAAACACCAAACACACACACACACAAATAGTGGGTCAAACATATCACGCACCAATCATTTAACACATAGATTGACAAAGATTTTGGTCATATTCCATTGAGCATCCGTTTTTTTGATAATGTCGACCCAGATCCATCTGGAAAACCTCCGTGGTTGGATTTTTTGTAGCAGCTCCGATTGGCTCCCCACTTCTTTCACAACCTCAGCCCCGATCATAGCTTCCTCCATTCACCACAGAAGTACAGTAGTTGCTAGTTAAAATAAGATGTTAAAGCACCTATTGATTGATTATTCTCTCTCTGCAGTTGATTGCTCATATTAGCCCCGTTTGTTTGTGATATTTTATAACATGTTATGATGTTTATACTCCATGAAAGTGGCACCTATATCCCCATAGTCACCTCTCTGGCGGGTGACGCAGCTAATCCCTTGCCCCTTTCAATACTTAGATCATCTGACTTAATAACTGCTTAGGGGACTTCCTGGGTAATTGACCAGTTGCGATTCGTATGATCCACCAAGCATGAAACACCCCCAAACAAAAGATGCTTTAGTAAGTCGAGTAGGGGATTTGCCCGCATATTTGGGATCACTTATGGGTGGTTGATATGAGGATTGGATTGTTCATAACCCATGTTCTATTGTGATAACATGTGATAACATGCGGTAACATGTGATAACATGTGATAACCCAGCATCAGTATTATTGATAATAATGAAAAACAGTTAGAATAGTCACCCTCTGGGAACATAGCTCTGGAAAATCACCCATGTCATCAATATTTTAAACAGGTCATCAATGGCCATGGCTTGTATCCGTTGGAAAACGTCACGCAGTGCCTGGCATTCAGGATGGAGGTGATATTCCTCAATGAAGACCTGGTCAAGCAAGCGCGCCCGGCGGCAGACATGGTGAAACACATGGCTATGCCTGGAAATGATCTGGTTATACCCCAAAATTCATGGAGAAACTGTGGAAGGTTATGATCACTCTCCATCAATGTCAGGTCACCCCTGCCCCAACTGTGATCAACCACTCTCTCATCTTATTCTGGGACGAATTGCTGTATTTTGAGAGGTGGATTCATCAGAGAAGTTCCTGATTTGCGGGCGTTAAGAATTGTATAAAGTCATATCGATCACAGACCCATTCTGATTGATGCTATCTGATGATTGTTAACTGTATCCATATGCTTCATCTGTCGATCTGCCTTAAAGCCCTTCAATAATTCCACACTTCACGCTCCATGGTTTTCCATGGTTTTCCCATGTTGAGACTGCAAGGATTTGGACAGACCATTCCCCAGTCGTTGCCTCCGCCGGTTATCTACCACGAAGAGGCAAAACGTGGAGTTCCTGGCAATTCGGAAGGCTACAAGGTGAGGCCCCAAAAAAAAGATAGCTAAGAGACAAGTTGACGCAAATAATTTGATTAACTATCTTAACTGTCTTAACTATATAGGCAACTGAAGGGTTCATGGCGGAATATGACCACAGTATTCATGGAGTAAAAGGCCCAAAAAAACATTTCACCGGGGCTGCTTCGGCCAGCTGTTACACACCAACCATCATCTAAGTCGGCCTGAAGTCTTGCGTGAAGACAATCTCGCACTCACAGGTGCGTGGGTTGGGCCTTGGCTGAATACAGGACCTATTAGACCTCTTTCATCCTATTTCCTGAAACATGTACCATCTTCAGAGAAAGCTTCCTGAAACATGTGCCCTTTGACGAAAAATATGGAACTTCCAATCGCCTCCGAATCTATGCATGGCTAGTCTTTCAGGCTAGCCAACGAGCCAACGAGCCAGCGGCTTTTTGTGGCTTTGAGGAGATTCTCTTGCCACAGAAATGGGAGTCTGTGAAAAACGACAAAAAAGGTGTGGTAATATAATATGTAGTTGAAGACTAATTTGTATGATGACATATATAACTATATTTAATTTTAATTTTCTGGGGCTTTTTGATCATGTTCGGAGGCTCTGACTCTATGTATAGCTCATTGGCCCCCAGTCTAAGGGGGAATATCTATTCAAACCAAAGCTCCTCTTAGCTCCCCGTAGCTCCCTCCATTCACCACCGGATTACATGGCAATTTGACACCCATTGTCTGGCTAGCATCATGAATATCAGCCAAACCTACTTGGGCTTATAAATCTTGACTTTTCCTTCATTTTCAGCAGGTAAAAACCCTCAAACATGGAACGCCCCCGCTCCCTCCGGTCAAAAATGGAACTTCTCCGAACCCAGCCATAGCTCCAGACTTCGAGGCTTCTCCCAGGCTACAAACCTCCACCGTCGATCACCAAGAGGCGTGAGCTCCTCTTTGCACCACAAGAGGCCGCAAGAGCCAAGGGTGGAGCGACCGTCCTTATCATCCTCGGCTCCAGGCGCCATGGACTGTGGAACTTTCGCCGTGGGATAGGAAATGATAGATAAAAACTCTGATGTGAGAGAATTGTCACCATAAATTTGGTAGTATTAAGTGGTTTAATCCTGAACATATGGCAAAGTCCACAAAAAATATAATATGAATTAAAGTGATGCAACCCACAAAAAGTTGGAATTTTGGCTGACTTCACCCTCACAATAAGGAACATTCACTCAGAAATTGGGGATCTAAAATGATTTGACCAATACATGCAGAGAAAAGATATGGAAGAAACCAATGGTTGTGGGGAAATAGCCCGGAATATATTGGAAACCGTGAAAGGGTTGGACATTGGAATTTTGCGCCGCCATTCAAGGGCGGGTTAACCCCTGTTACAATACCAATGCTCCCATCCCTGGCTAAAATCCTCATGATAGTTGGTATCTATCATTCTTTTCAACCATCAACCCTTAGTAACTAATAGTAACTTCATGAAATCTGCCTCTGTTCCATCCATTTTACAGAAGAAAGTTGGCTCCTGGGCCAAAATCGCCAAGTCACAACTCGAGTGGCCAGTTCGGCACTGATCTTGAAGAATTCCCTCAGCAGTTCTCTCGTGGAAGCTATGGACAAGGCCACATTTCCATGCATTGGTTTAAGGGAACATTTACGGGAAACTGGGAAACAATTGTTATTATTATCAATTAAAGGGGTATCCGGTATCCGGTTTCAATTTTTCCCTCAAACCAATCCATTGCATTTGCTTCGATGATACCTAGGAACTTGTTCCATATGTTCAATTGCCAGACGAACGCTCTTCATTATAGAGCTGCAGTTCAGATTTCCACGATGATTGGCGATTTTTTAATCTTAAGTACCTATAACTGGGGGCAATTGGAGAACAATATGATTGAGCCGCATCTATAGTGATTCTTGTGAACAGTCCTGGTTGGTGGTTGAGCTACCAGAAATTTCTGCTCGTCCGGAATATCCATGGATTGGGCTGAGGGAAAATCAATCAAAATCTGAACCGGAAATTGTGGTCGATTTTACCGCTCTTACCATTCAAATCTATAATTATGGTGTTTCCGGTACATTTTCCCCTTCAACATCCTTCAACCGAATTTAAAGGAATAATTATCGAACTGTGTGTTTTTCTCCCCGCCCTCGACATATATGAAAAATCTCGCAGAGATTCAATGGATTGGTTTTGTTGGGAACATCTTAACAGGACATCATTGTTTTTACCATGAAATATCGCCAACTCCCGTCCCCAACATCTCTCATCCCAACTTTGGGATCTGCATATTTCTTAACCCCCAGGTTATTTACCACAACCACGGTATAGATGGCCCAAAGAAATAAATGATTTGTGATGATTTACCTAGATATTTCACCAAGAAAAACCTATAGATTCCCCATTTCGGGTGGATTTTTCCATTGGAAAAACCCACAACAACAAAAAAAAAAAACAACGACGGCGAACAGTTTCCCTTCGCCAAACCTAGGCCCACTTTTTTCAAAATCCTGGTCCCAGATCAGCCCTGGTCTCGGACCACTTGGACAACATCAAGTTGGCCAAGGTGTAATTGTTCTTCTCTTGGTACCTCCTGAGTGGCGCTGGGACCAGATGCTGAGTCATGAGCTGCTGGCTAACTGGGTGAACTATGGTTTATGGTGAGTATAACTATACTTAGACTATAGTTAGATGGGTTTAGAAACAATCTTAGAACTTAGAACATCTTAGAACTTGCATACCCTACCCTTGTGCAGTGTCATGCTGATGTCCTGCAAAACAAAGAAGGTGCCACTTCACTGTGCTAAACCTACTGAAGTTGCCAGGGGGAACACACACGCATCTTTGCTGGATAGCCGGTATTTCCCTATGTGCAGCGTGAATCATCATTTCAAAACATCACAAACGGTGGCAATATGAAGCAACAAACATGCAACATTGACAGTGGGTAACACTATCAACCCACAATAATTTTATGTGCTATGTGTTGGATAAAACCAGCCAACATTACCCTGGGCAATTCAACATAGCTACGGAAACCATGGGCAATTTAGATCGATGGTTTTCCCGGCTTTTCACCTCCTCTTTGATGAGGATGTTCTTTTGCTCTCCATGTTTAAGGACGCCGGAGGGTACCCAACTTTCATATCGAAATGGTCAGAATATCCAAAAAGATATCCCAACAGTATATATATATACATATAAGTATAAAAATATATTAAAATTATATATGTATATGAATTAAAATATAATATAATTATATCACATTATATCCCTATATTAGTTGGTTAATTTCACATTATTAAATCCATGACTTACCGTCGGGTAAACTAACAGAACTAACACTTCGAAGTGGAAAATCATGGAAAACCCACCATTTTTCTACAGATATTAGATCATGTTCCGAACTTTCCGGGAGACCATTGGTTTTTCCACATCTAGGTATCAATGGATTGGCTTTGTTGGCATGACAAGACCAGAAACCATAGTAATTTTCCCATCAAATATGAGGCTTTCCTGTAATGCCTCCCCACCGCCCCGGTGAAACCGGTGACCCCGTGAAACCTCAACATCTGCTGCGCCGCATCGAGCAGGCTGCCCGAAAACCTCAGGCTTCACCGGGATGATGCGAGAGTAGAGTCAGGAAATATATGATCAACCATCCTACAAGTGATTGCAGATTCATATCATTAACAATGCCTGTAATTTGGGATAGATGAGATGAATCCCATCCCCCGGAAACGGGCAGTATCAAATACGCTATCAAATACGCTCATATGGGCCCCGAATCACTGTGAACACACCCGATACAAAGACAGAAATTGTTTTCTAGGAACTTTGCAAAAATTAGAGTGAAGATGAGTGAAGGGATTGATGGGAGGGTCGGGTTAACCATCAACCATATGTTCGCTTTGACATCTTTCAACAATCCTGACATGGGTATATATATAGCCAAGATGATTTGAATGATATACATACTACATAGACCTTCAAATTTGGGACCCTGCCAACCTCGAAAAAACATAAGTATAATCTACAGGCAGATCCAATACATTGATTTGTCTGAAAATTGATAACCCCTAAATCCAATGGTTAATCACTATTATTTTCCATATCAAAATACGTAAATGGCTATCTGGAAGGTATACCCCATGCGCAGCAGTTCTTTAGGAAAAACCCTTCGCAGGAGCTTTCGGGAACAAACATCCCCCGTTTGCTCCAGAGAAAACAGCGGATCTCCAACAAAGTTCCATGAATATGTTCAAAACAACATAAATAAAGAATATATTTCTAAAGCAGGTCCTCAAAAAGAAGCAATAGCTTCCAAGCCCACCCTGCGATGAAATCAAGGGTCACCCGGCAGAGCCGACGATGAGCGTCAGCTCTAAAATATGTGTGTGTGTACATGCATATACCTATACGTAGCTATATATATTTAGCTATATTTAGCAGTATGTAGATATCTGCACATATAACGGCCGTAGGCATATTCTTACACGTCAAGGTGTGTAATTATGCCTTTTTGACCACCAGCATCATGAACAGAAGGAAGAAACAAAGGGAATGTACTTCACAAAAAATATTATGTCATTCGGAGAACCTGGATGTTTTGCCCCAAATCGAAAGGATGGATCTTTGGGGACCAGTTTGCCTCATGCAAACGGCATTGAGATGTCCCAAACGGAACCTACTGGATCTGTCTGGTCTGTCCAGGTTCCTAGATTTGGCTCTTCCATAATCCTCAATCAATCACTTCGTGCAACATAGTCGACTGGGTTCAGCCCCATCCCAAGCACACGTGTGGGGCGAAGTGGCGCAGGTGCGGTGCTTTTCACACATGTGGAATGTCCTGGGTGAAACGCATCAGTAGCACAATCCATGTGGTTGCGGAGCTGCCCCGTCATTCTAATAGGTCACCTTCTCTGGATTGGACCAACTTCTTCACCAACTCTGTCAACTTCCTTTGACCGTGCGCGCGAAGGGTGAATGCTTTATGCTGTTGTTGTGCTGAAAGCACGCAATGTGCCCCGGAACAAACAATGAAAACAATGACACCAGAAAACAAGATTGCCGAAAACTGACAAGAGAAAAGAACGCATGTTGGGGGAACCAACTAAATGCCTCTCAAAGCTGCTCCTGCTCTGTTTTCAATTCTTCAAGTCGTGTCCTCACTTGTGGTGTTGGAAATTATTCTCGAGATGTTTGGTGCTTGCGAGGGGCCGTGGGCGTGGGAAAAAAAAACATGCAGCAAAACGAAGAACCACTGGCCCAATCTAATGGTGTCTTCACTGCACGACTACTGAAAGCTCTTATAGTGACTTTGTGAAAACTGGCAGGGCTCATAAATTGAACATTAAACCATTAAACTGAAAAACTTGAAATGAAAGGCTCGAGTTTCCTCAGCTTGCGATTCGATGACCTTAGTTGCCGATTAAGCAGAACCCATTGACAAAAGCCAAAAGCAGCAAAACCTGCCAAGTCACGCAACTGCCTGGCTAGCTCTTGGTTTTGGCTGCATGACACATGCTGACAGTGCGCAAAAAACGCTACAACCAAAGCCGAAGGTCGTCATCTCACTGCGGAGGCTCCTAAGTTCCTGCATGGGCGGCTCGGCCCGAACGACCAGCCCAATGTGGCAATCCTCCGGGCTCCTGCGGTCCTCTTCTCCACAACACCCAAAGGACACTGCCACCATATGGTAAACGCCGCTGAACCGCATTTGGAAGACAAGTCGGAAGAACATAAGGATCAAAGCAAGGCAGCCAGATAAAATGAAGAGCATAGGAGAGCACAGGAGGAGGAGGACAGAGCCACGGCACCCACCCTTCGCGATGCCCGAACGTATCACTTCCCCCAGAAACGTGTTCTTTGAATACTCAAAGAGGGGCACCAAAGGCCCAAAGCACAAGAGAAACAAAATGATAGTCACGCTGGAATGCTCTGATTCCTCATTCTCTGATTCCTCATTGTGCAAAAGCCTGAAAGAGAGCCACTGCAAAATGTATTTCCATGGCCGGGCCTGCAGCTCCAACATCAGTTTAGCACGAGCTCTGAGGAAGAGCACCGCCGACCGGTCTTCATAAAGTTCAAAGTTGTTGCTGAGAACGCCCACCAAGAGGCTCATCAGCAAAATGGTGATACCAACACTGGTGATGTAGAAGAGGATGTGGGCCTCAACCTTCCATGCGTGATCCAATGACAGGAAGCTGGTCTAAGTGCGGTGTTAGCATCAAAGTGACATGAATTGAGGTTTCAAAACACAGAAAAACTTGCTGGCTGAGCCGGCAGTTGACGTAGTTCGGTCCTGGGTCTGGGTCAACAGGTTCCCACTCCTCCCCGTTGAGCTTGTAGGTGGTGTCCAACCCTTCGAATTCGAAGAGATCGAAGTCCCCAAAAATGCCCAAGCGAACGACTTGCATCAAAGCGGCGTAGAACGGTGTTGGCTCCTCCCGCATTTGCAGGTTGTAGTAAGCATGGGCTGCTGCCAGAGTGCAAGTCCAAGTGACCAGAAAGAACGTCAATGTGTCTTTCAAAGCCGAAATGATGGGGAGTAACCGCGGACCCATCCACGTCTTGCCCCGCAATGAATACAATGCCCGGAGCCAGGCCATGGCGCAGAAAATGGACATCCAAGGCTTCTCCAGCTTGGTGGGGTCAAGGGCTTGGCGCACAATGGCCGCCCACCCAGCCGTTATGTATGCGATGTCGGCGATGTTGTCAAACTCGAACAGGTTGAACCTGTCTCGGTGATAGCGACACATTATCAAATGTTGCATCAGCTCCTCAAAGGACTTCTTGGCATGGAAACACAGAATCATCCATAGCGATGGTGGCACCTTTGTTAGTTCCAGGACGCAGAACAAGACGCTCTTGTTCATGCAACAAACACTTATGAGCTGGATCATACTTGTTTTGAGTAAACAACGGTGAAACATAAAAACGCTGAATGCAAAACGTTTCTTGATCAATGGCCGGGTTCGGCAGAGTGTGGTTGCTCGTGGCGTAAGGTGAAGGAAGCGTGGCACAGAAAGGGCACCATCAAAAGACTCACAAAAACCTCGCCGGCAGTTGCGAGCCTTTTTTGCATCCACGCAGCCTGCACCAACGCTGCAACCGTGTGGGTGTGAAAGATCTCGTCATTGGTTGTGTAGGCCAACGACTTCAGTAGCTCCGGGTTGCATGCATCACTTGCAGATAGACAAGGTATATATTTGAGGCTGGCTTGCACTTTTGGCCGTGTGAATAAATTCTGAGATTCTAAAGGTTCGTCTGTAATAATAAAACAAAATTTCTGAGAGCTTTCGAAGTCTATCATTTCTCCGTGTTCCAGGATCACCCCAAGCTGTTCCCGAATGTTGGCACGCTCCATGGGAAAACCAAGACTTCCGAGATGGGCTTCTTTTGGAATTTTCTCCAAGCATTCGACGGCGGTTGGGCCCTCAGCTTGGACCAGGAAACTGATGTCCTCGGCGGCCAAGTCCAGGCCACGTGCCTCGAGGAGCATCGCCGCCACTCCCAAGCTTCCTGTTGCAAATGCCAAAGTCAACGGGGTCTTGTCCTTAAGCTCACGGTGGGGTGTATCTCCGACTGGCAGATTCACATCAGCTTTCGCCTCGATGAGTTGCTTTACCTTCTCTTTACAACCAATCAGTGCCTCCCATTGCAGGGGAGTCAAGCCATCGGCTCTTACCTCGAGGAGAAGGGACAAAAAATTGCAGTCACTGCCGCATGCAAAGGATCCAAGTAGTCCCCAGAACATTTTTTGTTGTTTTTTCAATGTTTTGATCCCTAGGATTAATCCAGATTAACCCAAATCTGATTCATCTTGAATCTAAGGCATCATGTATTTATCAAATGTATCCTTTACAAACAATTACTTAAAAACATGTTTGTATTAAACATGTCCCTCCATTCATTGGCGTTCCTTTCCAAATAGAAGGCGCTTGTTTTTTTTAAGGAATATCATATTTTTTTCAAAAAACTGGTGGTACTCTCAAACATAAAGGGCAACTGAGACATTTTTTTTTGGTGAGTGAAGCCTTTCCTGCACATGAATGGGGTGCATTTCCAACGAAAAGCACCAGGACTTTTCAAAGAAATGGTGCTACTTGCCAAATACAGGATAGCAGTGCTTTTTTTAAAGGAGTGTGACATTATTATCCTTTAAAAAATAGTGTTATCGTCAAACATAGACAAGAGCTGAGCTTTGAAGGGGGTCTTACTTCTTTTACTGGACACATTTCATGGCCTGCAGCAATATGCACTCTTCATATTCTGCAACGATATTCTTTTTGTTGTTAAAACAAATGGCGGCAACTTTAAGTCAAGCATTCTTCTTTAAAGGAACATGTGTCTGGTTGCGGAAATATGTCCATCATCAAAAAGAGAGACAGGAATACTGCGGAATACTATACTTAAAATACAATGCATATTGTAGAGAACTAACGTCTTTTTCAAAAAGAACTTCTTCAAAGGGAGCGTTTTTCCTTAAATGTTATGCGCTAGCTCATAACATCCATCAGCTTTTAAGTGAAAACCTTTTTTTGAAAGACGTGGATGCTGCATATTTGTGAGGAAGACTGCTCTTCTTTGAAGAAGATCATCTCTTCAAAGCATTGCTTGCTGGAAATGCAGCACGGGTGCAAGTAAATAGATGGGATAGCACACATATTCCTCTTTGGACAATTGCTGTGCTGTGCAGCTCAAGCTACAAGTCTTGTTGATTTAACATTACATGTTCTTCCACAGTCAGCTGGCTACAAACAAGATATGAGCATCAGTTTGTGGTGGACTTTTGCTGGAATCTACTGATGGCACTGCATCAAGGGTAACCAATCATACCCACAACCTGTTGAAAACACCAGGGAGCTTCCTTACTTTTCTCACTGAAATAGGCATTGTAAATGAATTAAGGTTGTGCGTTCAACGATGACTCATTTCTTTCAAAAGAATGTGGTGCTTTACTACAACCATGTGGAAACAATACAGTAGTGTTTCCCCAGGCTTCAAAACAAGCATTTCCAATGTTCATGTTTGCCACACAAAAAGAAGGATCTATTGCTTATGAGAACGACATGACCTGAACCTATCCACTGCAACTTTCATTTTAGGTCACATACATATTCTACTGTAGATAATGCTTCAAAGTGGAGATATATCATATTATATCATGGTTTCTCTTCCAAGGCGGGTTTTCTTCTTGGAATTTGCAACATTTTGAACCTAATGACTACCACTGTTCTGGAGGAGTGCATTTGGCAGCTGAATATGTGTTTTTCTCTGGGTCAGGCCTCCTCCTTTTAAACATCATATTAGATTAAGACCATTTCACAAAGGATACAAAAACATGAGGAAGGTCCAATTTCCACCGCTGGCAACAAGCCCCTCCCAATTAGAAAATGGCTATGATTACCAGGGGAAGTTCAGGGTTACAACCCAATTTATTTTATAGATAGTTGTAGGGTTAATGAGTTTACAATTTTACAACCAGCTATCTCATTTACAACCCCAAGCGCGCATCTAGGGGGAGGGATTACCCGGCCACTCTCAGAATTGTGACCAGCTGCATTCCGGTCCAAATCCTTGGCACGAGGAGGCCAAAAGACGGGCGAACGAGAGGTGGCAAAAGACGGAGCTGAAAAATGGGGTCCCAAAGGCCCAAGTGTAATCAAAGTTCATCTTCGATGCCCCACAAAAATCAGTTAATTTTTGGAGTGGGACTGTCAGCAGTATCCGTTTATGGCAAGCAAAAAAAAAAACAAATCACCAACCCAACGAACCAAGGTCTTCCCTACAATGACTATATCCCCCTTTGACGGTGAACAATGCATGAATTACCATGAATGGAACGACAAAACACTGGAAGTTGATGAACAAATTACAGTATGTCAAGTTCGTAGTGTAAAAACGTCCTCCCCAAGGGACACCATCGCACACATCGGCACCAAAGGTGACTTCAGTCCAAGCCGCCTGTTTCGGATCCGATGACGCGGAGTCTGCCTTAGGCGACCCTTTGCCAATGGACGCGGGCTCCGGCATCACGGATGTGTGGCATGGTGGCCCCTTCTCTTCAGATGCGAATGTCTGCCGCATGACGATCGTCTGCCTCACAGCTGCGAGCCAACTTGGAATGGCAGCGAATGTGCAGCTTCCAACAGCTCAGATTGTGCACATGTTTCAACAGTCCCAGGAAGGTGTGGGTTAATGTATTATATCATATTATATCCCACGCGGTCCCTACGAATAAGTATTAATGTGGTTAAAACAATGTCATGTTTACCATCCCCCAGTCATCACCATAAATATATAGGTGGGATTCCAACCACAACCAAATGGGTAGTAAAAATGACATTGTTTTAACCTCATTATGTACCTCCAATAACTGGGCTCAACGGGCGAAAAGTCTGCAGTGTCTTCGTCCACCTCGGGGATCGATGGGGATCGCTTCACCCAATGCCATGGTCGTAAAAAAAAAAAATCCAAGTCAGCATCAATTGGGTGCAACAAAAAACAATTGTTTGAAATTTGTGGTAGGTTTATGATGGTTTATGATGGTTTATAACGAACTAGCTAATAACTTACCAGTAGTACCCGCACGAGGCGGGGCGGAAGTTGCCTTAAAGATATATATACCGTTAAAATGAAAGTTAGAATGCCTCCGCGAATTCCAAATATTCCTCCCCCTCAGTTAGAATGCGGCCCGCGCACGGCAAAAAATCCTTCAGTTAGAATGCCTCCCCACCCGGGTTTTAAGTTTTTTTGTTTTTGGAGAACCCTTTGCACAAATCCCTCACTTAGAATGCCTCCGCACTATGAATATCATCAGTTGTTAGAATGCAGTTAGAATGCTTCCCCCTTGAAATTGCTTTCTACCAGCATTTCAGCAATTAGAACGCTTCCCAGGCTTACATTTTCTTACCAATTTTGGCGCCGCATTCTAACTGTGTTTCTGCATATTTACAGGTGTTTCCTCAGTTAGAATGCGACTGCCGTGGGGGGGGGGGCCAAACGGGCCACCATCACGCGAAGCCAAAACCGCATTCTAACTTTGTTTTTAACGGTATATATATATAACTTTTCTCATCTATAGAACTTGCATGCGCCGTGCGCCAGCCAAGCCCGTGCGTGCGTGCACTCTGCGAAAGTGGTGTCCTGTTTCACATGTCACATTTGAAGGTCCACTTCGCCCTTCACACTTCTCACTGCACTCTTCACACTCCACACTGCACACTTCACACTTCACACTTCACACTCCACACTTCTCACTTCACACTGCACTCTTCCCAATCCACACTTCACACTTCACTGCACGCTTCCCACTGCACACGCCACACTTCACACTTCACACTCCACACTTCACACTTCACACTCCACACTTCACACTGCACTCTTCACGCCCCACACTTCACACTGCACTCTTCACACTCCACACTTCATCTCATCTGAGCTCTTCTCACCTTATCCCAGCTCATCTCATCTCTTCTCATATGTCACCTAAGCTTTCATGAATCACTTCCCAGTACTACTACTACTAAGGAACTTGCATGCGCCGTGCGCCAGCCAGGCCCGTGCGTGCGTGCTTTGTGCGAAGCTGTTGCAGTGTCGCGACCCCGGTAGAATGCAAACACTTTCCTCACACTTCACATTGCACTCTTCACACCTCCTACACTCCACACTTCACACTTGCACTTCATCTCAACTCATCTCATCTGAGCTCTTCTCATCTCATTCCATGTCTTCCCATGTGTCAGCTAAGTTCTTCTTGGCTATCTTTATTTCAAGTACTTCCCAGTACTGATGTCTACTACAAAAGCTTGCAAAAACCACTTCCCAGTACTACTTTGTACTACAAAGCTTGCACAAAACACTTCCCAGTACTACTTTGTACTACAAAGCTTGCACAAAGCACTCCCCAGTACTACTTTGTACTACAAAGCTTGCACAAACTACTTCCCAGTACTAGTTTGTACTACAAAGCTTGCACAAAACACGTTCCAGTACTACTTTGTACTACAAAGCTTCTACACACATCAAGTTCTTTCGCAGAGAAGCTTTTACACACAGCAAGCTTTTCAAGCAAAGAAGCTTTTACACACAGAAGCTTTTACACACAACAAGCTTCTTCACAGAGAAGCTTTCACACACAGCAAGCGTTTACACACAGAACACTTACACACAGTGCTTTTACACATGGCAAGCGTTTACACACAGAAACTTTTGCACAGAGACGCTTTTACACACAGATAGGCTTTTACACACAGCAAGCTTTTACACACAAAATCTTTTTCACACAGCAAGCTTTCAAACACAGCAAGCGCTTACACACAGAACACTTACACACAGTGCTTTTAAACATGGCAAGCGTTTACACACACAGCAAGCTTTTTAAACAGAGAAGCTTTTACACACAACAAGCTTTTACACAGAGAAGCTTTACACAGCAAGCTTTCACACACAGCAAGCTTCTTCACAGAGAAGCTTTTACACACAGCAAGCTTTCACACACAGCAAGCGTTTACACACAGAACACTTACACACAGTGCTTTTACACATGGCAAGCGTTTACACAAAAGTCTTTTTCACACAGCAAGCTTTCAAACACAGCAAGCGTTTACACACAGAAGACTTACACACAGTGCTTTTACACATGGCAAGCGTTTACACACACAGCAAGCTTTTTAAACAGAGAAGCCTTTACACACAACAAGCTTTTACACAGAGAAGCTTTTACACACAGCAAGCTTTCACACACAGCAAGCGTTTACACACAGAACACTTACGCACAGTGCTTTTACACATGGCAAGCGTTTACACACACAGAAACTTTTACACAGACGCTTTTACACACAGAGAAGCTTTTACACACAGCAAGCTTTTACAGAAAAAGTTTTTGCACAGAGAAGCTTTCTTGTACATAATCACAACAGGAATTGCAGCTCCAAAACTGGATCTCGACGCCAAAGCGACAAAAAGACGATTTTGAAGCACTTTTTAAAAGGAATCTTAAAAGGAAAATTATTAGCGCCAAAATTGAGAAAATCTGCTGACAAATCACTTTCGCAGCCTTGATGCAGCGATTCCAATACGATTTACGATCTTCAGAATCTTCAGCTGCAAAAGACAATAGTATTACGCATGCAGCCGCTGCACCAAGCAACCTTGACGCAGCCACTACAATGCGATCTGCAGAGACTGAGTTGCAAAACACAATAGAACTACACGCAATGGCGTCGGAAATTGCAGCTCCAAAACCGGATCTCGACGCCAAAGCGACAAAAAGACGATTTTGAAGCACTTTTTAAAAGGATTTTTAGAAGGAAAATCATTAGCGCCAAAATTGAGAAAATCTGCTGACAAATCACTTTCGCAGCCTTGATGCAGCCATTCCAATACGATTTACAATCTTCAGCTGCAAAAGACAATAGTATTACGCATGCAGCCGCTGCACCAAGCAACCTTGACGCAGCCACTACAATGCGATCTGCAGAGACTGAGTTGCAAAACACAATAGAACTACGTGCAATGGCGTCGGAAATTGCAGCTCCACAACCGGATCTCGACGCCAAAGCGACAAAAAGACGATTTTGAAGCACTTTTGAAAAGGAATTTTAAAAGGAAAATTATTAGCGCCAAAATTGAGAAAATCTGCTGACAAATCACTTTCGCAGCCTTGATGCAGCCATTCCAATACGATTTACGATCTTCAGCTGCAAAAGACAATAGTATTACGCATGCAGCCGCGGCATCAAGCAACCTTGACGCAGCCATTCCAATGCGATCTGGCACCACAGCGTCAAGAAACGCATAGATCTACGCACACAGGAACAAGCATTGTTGCAAAACACAGAGAAGGAACCAAACGACCCCAGCCGCAACCGCCGCACACACGAGGTACCTTTCATCGCCGGCTGCAGCCACTTTACACGGAAAAACACACGGTTTCGTGCTCCGGCTTCCTCCCCAAAACAAAGCCCATGCAACATTCATGCAGCCATTCCAATGCGATCTGCAACCACAACTTCAAGAAACGCATAGAACTACGCACACAGGAACAACCACTCGTTGCAAAACACATAGGAGGAACAATTCGCGCATGAAACGACCCCAGCCGCACCCGCCGCACAGACGAGGTACCTTTCTTCGCCGGCTGCAGCCACTTTACGCGGAAAAACGCAAGGTTTCGTGCTCCGGCTTCCTCCCCAAACACATTTCCCATGCAACATTCATGCAGCCATTCCAATGCGATCATACAACCAGAGATTCAGGAACCGCATAGAACTACACACACAGGAAGCACCACCGTTGCAAAACACATAGATAGAACGCAACGCGCAGAAACGACCCCGCCGCCCGCCGCACAGACGAGGTACCTTTCATCGCCGGCTGCAGCCACTTTACACGGAAAAACACAAGGTTTCGTGCTCCGGCTTCCTCCCCAACACAAAGCCCATGCAACATCATGCAGCCATTCCAATGCGATCTGCCACCACAGCGTCAAGAAACGCATAGAACTACGCACACAGGAACAACCACTCGTTGCAAAACACATAGGAGGAACAATTCGCGACAGAAACGACCGCAGCCGCAACCGCCGCACACACGAGGTACCTTTCATCGCCGGCTGCAGCCACTTTACACGGAAAAACACAAGGTTTCGTGCTCCGGCTTCCTCCCCACAACACACGGCATGCAACATTCATGCAGCCATTCCAATGCGATCTGCAACCACAGCTTCAAGAAACGCATAGAACTACGCACACAGGAACAAGCATTGTTGCAAAACACATAGAAGGAACCAAACGACCCCAGCCGCAACCGTCGCACAGACGAGGTAGCTTTCATCGCCGGCTGCAGCCACTTTACACGGAAAAACGCAAGGTTTCGTGCTCCGGCTTCCTCCCCAACACATAGCCCATGCAACATTCATGCAGCCATTCCAATGCGATCTGGCACCACAGCTTCAAGAAACGCATAGAACATCATAGAACTACGCACACAGGAACAAGCATCGTTGCAAAACACATAGAAGGAACCAAACGACCCCAGCCGCAACCGCCGCACAGACGAGGTAGCTTTCATCGCCGGCTGCAGCCACTTTACACGGAAAAACGCACGGTTTCGTGCTCCGGCTTCCTCCCCACACCACACGGCATGCAACATCATGCAGCCATTCCAATGCGATCTGGCACCACAGCGTCAAGAAACGCATAGAACTACGCACACAGGAACAAGCATTGTTGCAAAACGCATAGAAGGAACCAAACGACCCCAGCCGCAACCGCCGCACAGACGAGGTAGCTTTCATCGCCAGCTGCAGCCACTTTACACGGAAAAACACACGGTTTCGTGCTCCGGCTTCCTCCCCAACTCACCACTTCCCTTCCTCACCGCTTCCCATCATCACCACTTCCCATCGTGACCACCTCCCTTCGTCCACTTCCCTTCGTCACCACCTCCCTTCCTCACCACTTCCCATCGTCCCCACCTCCCTTCCTCACCATTCCCCTTCATCATCACTTCCCTTCGTCACCACTTCCCATCGTCACCACTTCCCTTCGTCACCACTTCCCTTCGTCACCACTTCCCATCGTCACCACTTCCCTTCGTCACCACTTCCCATCGTCACCACTTCCCTTCGTCACCACTTCCCTTCGTCACCACTTCCCTTCGTCACCACCCGTCATTATCACCACCCTTCATCAAAGTCAATTCCACTGCTTCTTATTCTTTTGTTATGTATTGTTATGTTATGTATTGTTATGTGATCTACCACCCTGCATCATTTCAAGTCGCAGAATTCTATTTGTCCGCAACACGGAAGTATTGCTTCCCAACTTCCTTTGATGATGGTTTATGATGGTTTGTGATGGTTTATGATGGTTTATGATGGTTTATGATGGTTTATGATGGCTTATGGCATTGGGAAGCCCCCACATTGTAGAGGTTTTACATTGATTTACCTATTAAAACTGGTGATTGTCCATAGCTATGTTAACTTCCCAGAGGGCAAGTTCGAAAATGACACCAGTAAACCATGAATTCGAATACCCTCCGGTACCTTGACAGTTGGCCAACTGCAGTAACTGGAAGCCATGGTCCTTTCTCGATGATTTAGCACACAATATGTTACATGGCTATTTGAAATCACCGAAGGGTAGCAGCAGTGCTGAAAACACTGCATTGGGGATCTCCAAAATACATCTTCGCCACTGAGGGTCGCCATCTGTGAACATTATGGCTCATTATGGCAACTCCAAAAAGGCTTTAATTGACTAAATAGATAGACAAGTTGGAAACCTGGAAATTATGAGGGAAACATCATCGAACTAACCGACTAACCTCCTGGAAACACATGTCCATCTGGTGGTTACCTGGAAATGATCTTGGGGCCATTGGAAGAACGCCCCCTCCTGTGATTTCTGTGCCATGGTCACGCCATAAAGGGATGAAAGTCGTATAGTCATCCATCCAGGAATCCAAAAATCACATTTTATTTCAAAAAAGTATAAAAACGATGCGAGGGAATTGAGGACCCCTGATCAATGGCTATATCATGGCTGTATCATCCAATATATACACATATATGTATATATATACACAGAGTGTGTCTGTATATAGTGCGTATATATATATATATATCCATCATTATCCATCTATCTCTCTCGCAGTAGATGCCCATTGATTTGCACTTTTGTTCAATGGTGGAATCCAACAATTTTGACGACATTTTGGCAGCAAGATCCCTCCAAATTCGCCTGAGAGAAGGCCAACACGCTCGCCACGTGAGCATAAGCCAAAGGGCAGCGATGTGCATCCTCCTGGCAATTTCCAGTACAGATTTATTGGAGGTACCGAGGTACCTTACCATTTTTGGCCGATGTTTCAGGGCTATGTAAGGGAATATACTATGATATACCCCCAAAATATGGCCGAAAATATGGCACCTCCATTCTAGGATCGAATTCCCATTGAACATATGAGCACTAGATTCCCCATTCCTCTTGGATTAAGACTATAGTAAAATTGGGAAATTAACTATGATTCATTTACTGTACCCTCCGGTGTCATCAGCTCCGTTGCTGGAAAATCCACCACCAATTACAAACTTCCGTTGATGTAGGGGATTTCCCATTGCCACGCTTGATTGCAGAAGGGGATGAGCAGTAGATTCCCATTTCTCCTGGATTGGGAAAACTGGAAATGATGGCAAAAAACTTGCAAATCTGATTGAATGACTGCCATTTAGAACTCCATTTAGAAGGCCTGGGATTGGCATGGGATGTTTTCAGATTGGAAGGGGTTGTACCACATAATTCTTTTTTAAGAAACCAGCAACTGGTCGATGGTTGAGCCACCGCCTGTAAAAAAACTGGAAAGTCATGGGGGTTCATCATGGTTGAGAATTTAAAGAAGAACAAACCGCAAGCAAATCATCGGTTGCATATCACTGATATCTCCATTATTCCCCATTATTCCCCATTACATCCCTAGTACATCCCTATTACATCCCTGTCATACTCCAACACTACGTAATTTTTTTCACCCATATATCCCCTGGTAATGAGACGTGGCTGGCTGGACAATCCCATTACATCCCGTATCCCCATGATATTCCCATTGTTTTACAGGTACACTACAGCAGTTTCAGATCATTCAGTGGGCTTATCCCATATACAAATATCCCTTTTGAATATACATAAATGAACCACTGGCATTATATAAACTAAAACATGTAACAATGTGTAATTTAACTCAGGAATAAGCTCATGGTATATTACTGGCTTGTATCAACTATGTATGTTCATACAACTGGGTTAAATTTACGAACCATTCAGGATTCGTGAATCCTCCAAGTAGGGCATAGTAGGGGTATACCCTGCTACCCCCATCCGCCTCACTCACACTATCCAGCACCTTTACCAGCTTTTCCCTCAGTGAGGAGCAGGGCAAAAAACTGCGCTTTTGGAGGCTTGAAACCTCCGGAAACCTCTATTGTTTGATATGAATCCCTTCCCTCGTTCATGTTCAACACCCCGCAGAAACCATGGTTAGTAGGAATATTACACCACCTCTTGAGACCATCGAAGGTGTTTGAATATTCGGGGGATGGGATTGTTTGGATGGGTTTCACCATCAGTATTCCATTCTGTCCCATGAAAAATCACCATTGCACCACCATTCTTGTCAGCTCCTTCTTACCCTCCGGTGTCAAACATGGCAAACACGCATTGACTTCGATGAAATGTTCCCACGATGCCAATTTTTCACGGGGGGTTCCCAGCCAGCCATGCTTGATGGAGTCATCAGAGCTTGATCCATCCACTCTTTGTCATTCAGCTGGCATCATCATCCCAAGTACGGCCGAGGGCCGAGGAAAAACGGCCGGATTTAAGTTGCGTTGGGGGCAGAATGAAACATATTCTCCGTAGATTCCCCAAATATTCCCAGATTCCCCAATTGTGGATTGACTATAGATGCAAAAAAACAACACATATTAGCATCTGGCACTCAAACATTGCAATGGAAAATCACCCATTTAGTTCGATGATATCCCATTAAAATACATGTCCATTGATACGTGATTTTCCAGGCAGGCATGTTTGACTACCAGAGGGAAATATCCCTCTGGTTTGATGGTTAAATTTTATACGTACTTATTTGATGGTTAAATTCCCACAGAATATAAGCCAGCATTAATCAACAATATTGCATAGATAATTCATCTATAAATGTTCAATTGATCATCATATATCTCCATAATATACCCATTCTGCAACCTTTTTGTGTTTTTGTTGTTGAAGTCACCATTTTTAATAGGTACCATCTATGGAAATCACTAGTTTTAATAGACAAATTAGTACATCATGTACATCAGTTACATCATCACTCACTACCCTCTGGTAAATTAACATAACTATGGAAAATCACCAGTTTCAATGGGTAAATCCACGAACTAAATGGTCATTTTCAATAGCTATGTTAAATTACCAGAGGGTAATCATCTATAAATGAACCATGTTCATCCATTTTCCATAGGGGGGTTCCTAAACTGAAGGAACCCAACAATGGTTTATAATGGAAAGTCCCAAACAAAAATGGATGAGAAACGGGGGTACCCCCATTTCAGGAAACCTCCATAGCTATGTTAACTAACCAAAGGGTAAATACAGTTATGGCCGTTTACCAATTATAAGTGTTTGTAACTGGTTATAGATGGGATTATACCTTCCATAAATGGGGTTTTGTTCATATTTATAACTGGTATTTCGGGCCATAACTGTAGCTATGTTAAATAACCAACAAAAGTCACATCATCATTAATCTTCTATAAATGAGCCATGTTCATCCATTTTCCATAGCTATGTTAAATAACCAAAGGGTAAATAGGCAGCTGGAAAATCCCGGGTCTTGAGCCGTTGGCCAGTAAGCCATAGTTTCCGCGGGTTCCATCTCCTGAACATCGCGGCCCAAGTAGCTGCGATTTAGTGCCATGTTTTTTCTTCATCAGCTCCTGTTTAAAACAAAGTAGGAAATTGTTTGCTTTTTGTTTCAACAAATGGGAAATTGTTTGTTTTTGTGTTTAAATTTACCTGCTTTTTATTTTTATGCCTGCGTATGTGTTTTTAAAAGAATCCAAGAAAGTAGATGACTGAAAGAGCCACGAGCCAATAATTCAAATTCAATCTTTTAGTTAATGGGTTAAATCCCCAGCAATAACCACTAATCAACCACTAAAATCATTAAAATCAACCAAATCCAATCTTTTGCAGTGCACTCCCACGTGTTTTTCCTGGATTTTCCCTTTTTTTACCTCTTGGATGTGCATCCCACTTACGAAGTGGGTAATAACCCTAGTATATGCCAGCTATATATTTCCAATATCACCAGTTGTATGGACTATATCATTTAGTATCATCTATATATGTATATGATATAGTCCATAAACGATATATGTCCATCTATCTATATATACACATATAACCATGGGAAAAACCATGGGAATTCACACATATAGTGGTTATAAACCAGTTATGTGTGAATTCCCATGGTTTTTCCCATGGGTTTTCCCGATGAAATCGACCCAAAAATCAAAAAAACATCTCCTGCATCTCGCGTGAGCTGTAGACCCGTCCAACGCCCGGCAGCTCCGTACAATCCGTCCAGATCTGGAAGGGGATGGTGGCCCCAAGAAAATTTAGATGAAAATCTATGGAGGGTATAAATTTCTACAGCTACAGTCTGATGATAGTACAATGTTAATTATTTTTGGGCCATAATTGTAGCTATGATTAACCTTAACTAAATTAATGATAATTGTTCAATTTCTAATAGTATGACTAACAATGTACAGTCTGATGCTATTGATATATTGATATTTCTATGATTACATTGATTGATTGATACTACTATGATTGCATTGATTGATTGATATCATGATTATATATAATCCCCTAAAAAGAAGGAACCCAGTAGGGGTTGATTACCCTCTGGTAAACTAACATTGCTGTGGAAAATCACTATTTTTAGTGGGTAAATCAACGAACTAAATGGCAATGTTCAATAGCTATGTTAAATTACCAGGGAGGGCAAGCATTTTCTTGATCATACTATGGGAAAGTTTATGGAAAAACATGATGACAGTGTGATAAGATTGCGGGGTATAATTGATACAATAAGGACTACTATGACTAATGATATGTAATAGGGGTTGACAGAGTATGATAAGATTACAATACTGGTTAGTATGGTTAAATATGATTAATATGAAATATGATTTATATGATTGATGTTTGATTATTATGATTATTATGATTACCATCTGGTTATTCAACATAGCCATGGAAAATCACCATGCTATTAATAGGTAAAAACAGTTTATTTCTATGGGCCATCTATACCATGGCTATGTAACAAATAACCAAAGGGTAAATATGATATGATTGGAGAGTTTGGCAATCTCAAAATCTACGCCTGGATGGAACAAATAGTCAATGCGGGCGGGGTTGACCTGATTGACGGTTACCCAACTATATCTATATATTATTGGTGAGTGATGATTCACCATCTATAATTGTGGCTTATTTTTTGAACAATCTATGCTTTGAGGTTAATAATCAAGCCAGTCTGTACTGTAGGATTAATGGTTAATCCGATCCATACTTCTCTATAATTTCAATGGATTGGTTTTGCTGGGACAATTTTGACCGGAAACCATTGTTTTTACCATGAAAGACATGGGGTTTTCCGGTTTCAATTTTCCCAACAAAACCAATCCATTGGTAATTGGGATAACTTATGACAAATATGGATCCAATGGGCTCTATCTCCTGATCTCCTGAATAGATCCCACACACGTTCCACCAGGGTTACCTCGGTATTTCATGATGTTTTTATTAACAATCTGCAATTTTTTTTTGTGGATCATTGTGGCTTATACATTGTATATACAGTAATTATCATGGGTTATAGTTATAGAGTGTACACTATTATGGGTTATACTTCTGCTATTGTAGGTTGCACATGGTTATACAGTGGACACTATTATGGCTTATACATCTGCAATTATTATTGTAACATATTGTAACAATATCATTGACCTTTAAAAATACGATATCTCACTTCGAAACTCTTAAAAGTATCATCAAATCACCTCCGATGATCATTCATCAGCCGACCGGGCTGGAAAGCTCCCTGGAAACCATGGGAGTTTCCATGGTTTTTAATGTGGGAAACACCCTGGCTGCTATAGACAACTACCATTTGGGGATGGTTTATAGCAGCCATGAAAAGAAAAATGATTTTGGGGACGGCTTCTCATGGGTTTACTACAGCACATGTCTTTTCCATCGCATTTATTCAGTAAATTAAATTTAGAACTGCCAAAAACGTTCAAAACCATATTGACAGGGAAAACAAGACATGAATTGGAATCACTTTGAGATAATCACATATGAAGGGTCCATAATCTTAAGGCAGTATCTTGTAGCCTTTACCCATTGGATGTTGAACAGGAAAAACGGCAGAACACCGTAGATGTACATGTCGGAAATTCTTCTCCCAACATGCAAATGCCTTCCGGTAGTCAAACATGGCTTGCCGGAAAATCCCTCATTGATTTCAAACTTCCGTTCGTATAGGAAATTACCCGGCTATGTTTGAAGACACAGGAGGGTAGCTGTTCCAGGCTCAACTCCCTGAAGTCCCAGCTCTGGTAACCGTGCCTTGTCCGGATGTCGCCTAGGCTCCAAACGCGATGTTCGGAGTAAGAGTCAAAACCCCAGTAGTTTTCTGCTCGCCATATGTTCATAGCTTTATCATAGCTTTATCCAAACTTTCATGTTGGGAAACTCTTAGCAGTTTTTGCGTTCCCAAATTTTTGAGATACTCTGATCACAGTGATCACAGCTCCCACCGGATAGCCCCTGAATCCATTGGTGAATTCTCAGCATCCCTATTCAAATGGCCACAACTGGGTGACCATTTTCAAGAGACACCCAACTATCAATGGCCATGCAACAGGAACCGATTGATTGGAGGTACCTACCATCTATTTTTGAGCCTATGTAAGGGGATATACCCCAAAAATATGGTCAAAAATATGGTACAGTAATTACCTCTTTTTTAGGATCCTGGACTTCACCATTGAAACTATCCTATCAAGTTGGTTATAATATATATATATACACATGCCAGTTGTCTTCCCACAATATCCCAAATATATACCCAAAGCAGCCTTTCCAGTTAGTTCGAAAACATGTTTCCCTCCAAGTTTCCATACCTCCCTGGTAAACAAAGGGTTTGCGAACTGGAAAATCACCATCTTAATGGCTAAATTAACGAACTAAATGGGCCATGGCTTCAACAGCAAACTGTAAACGTTTACCAGAAGGTAACCCCCATGAATACTATAGTATAGTTCTATCAAGTTCTATCCCCCATAAACCCTAAGTTCACCAAGCAACCAAGTCACTTCCCATCTTTTTTTTGGGTAAGTGTCCCACTTTCCCGTTGCCAAAAACCTCCATACCGCTTGGTGCCCAGGCAGGTGCATATCGGTACCAACCAATGCCCAGGACCTGATCTGTAACTGGAGGTTTGTAACTGGAAAGAATCATCGGAACATACCCTCTGGTAATTTAACATAGCTATCGAAAATGACCATTTATAGTTGATTTATCTATGAAAAGTGGGGATTTTCTATAGCTATGTTAGTTTACCAGAGGGTATGGGAACCTATGGAAAAACTCTGGAAAAATCATGGAGAAAATGGAGAAATTCTCTATAAATGGAAACGTTAGTGGGAAAATCATGGAACTCAATGGTGGATTTTCAGCAAGAAATTGGGGACGAGGGCACCCAATTCTCAAGTCCCAGTTCCAATGGAAGGTTGGGAACATGATGTGGTGATCACTTAATTCCAAAGATAGGGAGCACACAAATTCTAAAGGTTTAGGATCAACTATAACATCAACTGCATGTGAATGAACAACATGAAAACTGCAGGACTATTCTGATGTGGTTTAGCACACAAAAACTACATCTAACTACGAGCAACATCAAACTATATATCAAACGACCCTCCAGTGCCCATGGATGTATATGGCTGGCTGGAAAGGTAAAGCATCTTTGAGATCATCAAAGCTATTGGCAAGACGTACAGATTCCCAAAAATCTTGGAGTTGCGGAAGGAAGCCCCCCAACAAAATATCGAAAAACAAAGTATCAAAATATGTTCATATATTATCACTATTATATATTATTATATTAAAAACAAGTCAAGAAAACAAAAAATGTCCGAAACGTCCACCCCCAGTATATTATTATATATTACCCCCTGGTAAATTAACATAGACCCTGGCAGATAGGGGTTGGAAGATTAGTTTCCATTAAAATTAGGCTATTTTCAGGGTCTATGTTAATTTACCAAAGGGTATTAATATTAAATCATATTGATTATGATGTTCCCTTCAGATTCCCCAGTGGAACTCCCATTGATTTTTTGTTTGATCAAAAAAAATCTCCTACAGGCTGAGCCAAGCAGCTGGAAAAAGATGGGAGCCCATCCAGTCTTCAACTCAGCAAACTGACTCTGTTTTCACCGCGTATCTCTCAATAAATCTGTCCATATGGCTAATTAATGAATATCAAGGACTGATACAAACGTCACTAGAATTCTCTGGTTCTAGGCTTTGATACAACAGCCAAGCTGAAGTGTAGAAGCGTATGAAGCCAGCATGTTCTGGATGAAACAAAATCACCTTCCATCAGTGGCGGCACCATTGAAGGATATTGAAGGCCTTGGGTCTCAGCTCGCCACCAGAAGGGACCACTTGAATTTTGCCACCATGTAATACCAATCCTCGGACATCTGACAGAAGCAATCTGCACATGGTGAAATCGCGCTAAAATTTGCTAAAACAACGATCTTGTTCATCAGAAGAGCCATGCTGTCAAAAAAAAGGATACTCTCCGGTAATTTAACATAGCTATGGATAATTAATTATTAGTATGTCCACTAGGCGCTAAATAACCTCTAAATGGGCCATGATCCAGAGCTATGTTAAATTACCAGAGTGTAAATCACGGCTCCCTCTAGTCATTTTTTCTCTGGTTGGGCCATTTGAATCCATCTCTGACGAAAACCTCGCCCGTTCACCATAAAGACCAAGGTCGACACTCACGGACTAGACCCAGTCATAAATTCACGCGGGAAACTTCGTGAGTACCTCCATAGGACTCTCCATGCCTGATAGGACTTTAATACCTTCACAATAGTTTAGCAACAGTCATCCATGTTCATGTTCTAAATGTCTTACATCCTGGCACCAAACAAGGAAAATGTTTACGCCATTGCTTACGCGCACACACACACACAAGGTTTGCTTACGCGCATATCTTGTCTTACATGGAGCTTACGCTGGCTTACGCTCACAAGAGTTTTTCTTACGCCGCACCCTTACAAGGGGCCCCTTCCTGAACATGAATACAATACAAGGGTTTAGAACGTGGCTCGATTAACTATAGAGATATCATGATATATCTATTAATTAATCTGTTTTTCTGTCATAGTTCACCTTGTATTTAGTTCACCAACTTACCCAAGTATGGTGGCCGCACCACCTTGTAGCTGACGCTTAGCACCCATCAATGGTTGTATTGTGTTGTATTAACGCATGGTTACAACATTACATGCGAAAATCACGTTTTTTTGATTCATTCGTTTTTCATTTGTCAATATTTTCCATTTTCCATGGATATCAATGGACTGGTCCACTTAATGGTAATGGTTTGATTAATACTGGTTCAAAATAACCATTATTTAGCCATGGGGAATGGTTCAGTAAGGCCCCCCCATTGTTTCATCGCCAGTCCCGCGCGTTTTCAGCGCCAGTCCCGCTGCTGTCCCAGAATCAATGGCCAAGGCGGTCTCGTTCATCAAGGCCTCGTCTCCTCAAAGCGATGAGGGGTTGACCCTCCCAAAGGATTCATGTACAAATACCCTCTGGTAAACTAACAGTTTGCGAACTGGAAAATCACCATCTTTCATAGGTAAATCAATGAACTAACTAAATGGGCCATGGCTTCCAGTTCGCAAACTGTGAAATTCCCAGAAGGTACCCTCTGGTAAACTAACATAACTATGGAAAATCACCATTTTTCATGGGAAAACTCACTATTTCAATGGCCATGGCTTCAATAGCAAACTGTAACAAATTCCCAGAGGCTAGCCCAAATTGGGCCTTGGCGTTTCCAAGAGTCCGGGCGATAGGAAGCACCTTGGATGACCAAGTAGAAGAAGCGAATCGCCATCATACCCAGGATGCAATCCTCGGCACCATCTGAGGGTTTGGACTGACAAGCCGTGCTACCCTCTGGGAATTTAACATAGCTATTGAAAATGGCCATTTATAGTGGATTTTCCCATTAAAAATGTTGATTTTCTATAGTTATGTTAGTTTACCAGAGGGTAAACCCAACAAGAATTGGATATCGCAAAATATGAATGAGAATATTGATTGATATAGGACAACGGTGGTTAATAGTGGGATAACATTGGATAATCATGGGGTAAGTATAATGTACTATAATAAACCATCCCCAATAATTAGATATTTTTTGTTGGACGCACCCGTATTTCAAATGATGTAAGATGAACCCCAAATGGATGTTTAATACTATTGTGTTGACCACATTGCACTGGCTGATGAAAAGGTATCCGTCTTTATGGCTGGCACTTATCTCAAATAAACCAGGTTATATAATTAGTATGATCCACCATGTGAATCAACCAAGAACAGTAATTATTTCTTATGCCTCAGATGGACTTTCTTGCTACAAAGGGTTCTGGGGACCCCAAAAAAAAGAACACCTTGTAATGATTGTAATGTAATTCAGGTCAAAATTGCTGCCAATTACATCGATCTTCACACCCCATTTATAGCAAAACACCTTTGTTATGGCTCTACTGTTTACCCATTGGATTCTATCCGACTTTGGGAGAATGTCGCAGTTCAACATTGAAGCCCAAACCCAATTTCCTTAACAGAAGATAACAAAAAGTCTGGACCCAAGAAATAACAGGAATGGATCAGTATAAGAAATACATATTATAGAAATAACCATTCCTCTAATATCATTCCTTTTACATAAAAAATATCTCCTGGACCCATCTTTTTTTTGCCACAAACCCCTAGCGATTTTGGTTATCAACCCCCAAGCCCTGGCCACCCCCAAAAAACTGAGCTGCTCTGGAAGTAGTCAGGTCATGTAGGCTGATCAAATTCGTCAAAGCCTCAACCAATCGGCCAATGGAGCTTTGAAACCTTGGGATTTGGGTTGTAAAAAACATGTTTTTTTGGCTAAAAAACACGTGGTTTTGGTTCAAATAATATCCATAGGACCGTTATTGATGGATTTTGGATGGCCATAAACCATCATAAACCATGGTCCTACTGTGGATGGAAGAAATCCTGCACCAGTTGATAGATGGTTTATCCCACTATTTATAGGGTTTCAACCGTCCAAGGTGGTGCAGGATTTCTCCCATCAACAGTATGGGATTTGGTTCAAATAAACCATGGATCCATGGGACCCTCCGAGAAATTTTGAATGCGGAGGCAGGTGCTGTCAGGTGCTCAGGTCGAACTGAAGTAAACTGCCTTGGAGGATCATCCCACTTAAGAAGTGCTTAGTGTTTACATGTGTTTACGGGGTTGGTTCGCCCACTTGAATACACACACACATATATATATATATTATATTAATATATATATATATATATTTATTTATAATGTGGTGCCCCCCAGCTATAGATTGGTTATATATCGTATATATCTACCAGTTATTTGCACCAACTTAGCTATCTTGGAAGCACTTCAGCTTGGATGATTCTAAGGTCCAGGCGTGTTGCAAAGGCCGGATCTTTTCCTAAGTTTCAGCGTCCACTGAAAGCCCTTGAAGATATCCTGGGATATCCTTGGATCATTTTTGGGGGGAACAAAAGTCATAAGTCATTTGGAAAGCCTTGTCAGACCACCAAAATCAGATTGGCTGCTGTGGTTCATAAGTTAAACTGGATAGCTGGATCAAGCGGCCCTTAGTTATAGTATATCAGACCCTCCAGTAATTTCAGATAGCTATGTAAAACGTGGCCATTTAGTTTGATGATAAATCCCCATGGCCAAAATCGAAAATGGTGGGTTTTAATTGCAAACTCTCGAATTACCAGCGGGTAGTAGCAAAAGCAGTCTCATATCCTGGTCCTACAGCGAGGTGCGCTCTTGTGCTGTTGGACCTAAACTGAGATTCGCAGCGCAGAACGTCCCAGTCACAACCCGTTTGGGACCAGGAAAAAAACGCTTGACACAATCTCAGCAGCTTAGTACTCTCAGTAATATATATATATATGTATATATGTGTGTGTATTATATATATACACCTGGTTCTTTAACATAGCTATGGAAAATGGCCCATTTAAACATGATTTATGATGGTTTACTTATCAAATGAAATTGTGGTTTTCCAGTTCGCAAACCGTTAAAGAACCAGAGGCTATACCCGGCGCACAAACGTACGACAAAACGAGGCACCCAGTGGATCTGCAACACTTTCTCCTTCTTGTACCTGCAATGAAAACCACTCCCTGCATCCGCCAGAGATTTTCTAGAACAAATGTCAAAGTTCTCCACACATCAATTTGTTGATTCCCCATCTGTATTCATTTTCCATAGATTCCCCATCTGTATTCATTTTCCATAGCAACATTAGTTTACTCAAGGGATCTGACGTATACTTCTTGATTTCCCAATCCTGGCGTAGTTGCCGATAGCCAAAAATTCAACTTGGAATGGGACGTGGGAAATCCAGGCAACTCCCACCCCATCGACATCGGCTCGACATCTGCCATCTCCGCTGAGTGTCCAACATCGAAGCTCGCAACCACAGCGCCATGGATTTCTTCAGATCCATCCTGACAGCGTTTGTTGAAGCATCTTCACCCCGGTCCCTGCAATCATCATGACTTTGAATGATGTTGAATGAAAATAGTAGGGCATCCCATGGCGTATAATATATATATACATATAAATATATTTATACACACATATGTTAAAAAATGTATAAAGAAAAAAAGTATTATATATAATTGGATATATATAACTATACACACATATATATGTGTTATATAATCTATATATATGTATGTCCGTTTTATGATTAGTGGCCAGCTTAGCATCATGATACACCATCAACTTTTGGGGAACCATCCTGAAGTATCCACCCCCCTCGTGCCAGTCGAAGAGTTGGTCGAAGGTGGTAGCACAAGATAAGTGGTCCGCATTTGTGTAGTCTCCTTTCGCCAGGCTCCCTACGAGGCTACCATTTGGATGCTCTATGCATCATGGTTTTTGTGTAGTCATCCCAAAGATTCCCAATCTTCTCCGGCTTCAAATTCGCCAGTTGGGGCAAACTAACAGACCTCTAAGTCAGTGGTGTCTTACAACGGGGAGACCCCAAAAGAAAAACTCAATGGTTTAGGGGTCCCCCATCAAGAAAAAGCTAAGGATTGACAATGTTGTAGTTCTGAGATACCCTTCAGTAAATTCATCCCAATGTGAAACACCCTAAATATCTGTAAATTCCCTACTAAACCATTGTTTCTGGTGTTTTATATCAACTAGGAGGAACACATCTTATGGAAAACCCGGTTTACAGATCTACTTTAGATATCAAGGTCCCCAAAGGACCCTCGACCCCCAAGGGGTCCCAATCTCCTGTCCACAGTGGCGTCTTCTTATTTTTCTCCGTGTCCCATGGCACAAACTCCATGGGTTTGTCCACCCGGATGTTGGTGATGGGAAAGTCAGCATAGTCAGCCTGACCATCGTCAATCCTATCTGGTTGGTGGTTGACCTACCATTGTGGTTAATATATGGTTAATATATGGATATTATATGGTTAATGAATCAAAGACAAAACGTATGAACCTCGCGATGAACCCCAAATCAAGGGTCGCTAATTATGTATTATCATTTTTTCGACATTAATTATTCATTAAAATTGGGAATGCTTCAAATTGGCCATTGTTAAATATGTGCTAAACATGTACTAAATATGGAGACCGGTGGATTGGGGGGCCAGACCATTTCCAAACCTCACAGAGAGCGCGTGTGAAGCAGCAATGGTTCAATTGGAGCACTATTTTCTCATGGAGACTGGATTTTTTTCCTTTTCCGCAGTTTACAAATACCGTGACAGGGTGCTTTGGCCAAATGACCAACCAGACCAATACCACCACCACCGTCATCATCAGCAGCAGCAACAACAGTAAACTACACTACACAAGCAACAACACAAGCACTAGTGAGTCACTAGTGGTAATATTGTATCATCAAATAAGCAACCAAGCCACCAAGAGAGAGACAAAAAAATACCCAAGAAGCGTGGTGCACTGGTGATCAGCACAGAACCTCTCAGGAAGGAAGCAAACAAAGAGATTAAGAAAGAAAAGAGGAGCGGCTGGTGTGTCAGCTAAAGAGCCCAGTGGATCTTTTAAGGAATGCTCCATTGACTTCGACACGATCGCAGCGACACTCAAGAGAAAAGCGCAAAAGTGACAGAAAAAGCCGAAAATGAAAGCGACAAATCGTTTTTGTCCGCTGACCAGGTGAGAGTTTCAGCATATTTTTGAGGATCTGAAGAAATTATTGTTTTTCTTCAAAAAGGCAATCGCTAAATATGACATATATATGACATAAATAATACATACATATAGCATAAGTAGTGTCCTGCCCCTGGGGGTCACCTAGCGTGACATACCTTTGGATTTTGAATGATGGTTAATAATAATATTCTATATATCCTGGTTGGTGGTTGAGCCCGCCACCCCTTTGAAAAATATGAAAGTCAGTTGGGATGATGACATTCCCAATATGATGGGAAAAATAATCCAAATGTTCCAAACCACCAACCAGATCCTATACACAATGAGGGAATAGAGACATACCAGGAGATGGTGTCAAACATGGCTGCCTAAAAACTCTCGAAAATCAAGGTTTTAGTGGAAAAATCATCGATTCTCAAACTAAATGTGAGGGATGTTCAATTGCCATGTTGGATGACACCGAAGGGTATTTGAGCTGGTTAGCCAATATATAGTCAGCACTATACCCAGTGCATGAAAATGGGATACATTTTAGCTTGTTCGGCTCATATTTTCCCCAAGATCGCCATTTCCACTGCACTATAGACAACCCTCCCAAAACTGCAAGGTCACGGGCGGAGTTTCATCGTTGTTGCGGTGGGCAAAACAGGGTAACTCAAACACAATAACTACTTCCCCCCTCATTTTTAAACACCACCCATCAACGATGGTTTAGTACAGGATTCACATGGATTAACATGGATTAACACATACGGATGGTGACCATTTGGGTGTTTCATATTAGGAGGACAAGATCACGGGGATCACGGGATGGCTGTGGAGGTAGCCCGCTTCATGCGGGGGAGCCGCCATACTTCTTATGACAGCATGGTAGTAAAGCAATGTCATAAAACCACCTATATTTTTTGGATGGTTTCAAATCTTTCCATCAAATCCCAACCAAAATGAATAAAAATGGTCAACTTGGGGATGATGCTATTGCTTCGCTCACATCATTCTGATTTATGATGATTCTTGTTGCTTTTCATTGACATCTTCGGGATATGTAACTAAGATTAACTTAGTAATAGCTCAACTAGCCTCTGATCTCTCCCAAATCACTATGTTGGGGATAACCCTCCACTGGTTATCTAACACTTGGCTATATCATCCACCTTCTGGTCAACTAACCGTTTGCTATGGAAGCCATGGCCCATAGAAATAGATGGTGTACATCGGTTTACCTATAAAAAATGGTGGATCTTTCCATCGTTTTTTGTAAACGTTTACCAGAGGGTATATCTATATCGGAAATGGGTCGATGTCAAGAGCACTGCACCCAACTCGGCCCCATGAAATCTTCATCTTTTGAGCCCCATTTGTTCCGTTCCCGTGGCCTGTGGCACCTGGACATCGCTCAAGACTAGACAGGGTAGGACCTTCGGTCGAGCTGAACTAGGACGATTTCATACGATCTTCAGGATGAGGAGCTAGTTGAACTATGTTGAAACCCAAAACCGCTGACTTCATGAAGGAATTCATGAAAATCTTAGGCAATGGTAGACCATATGGAATCCATCATCCCCAATGGCTTACCGTTTCTATGGGGATTGAAACCATCAATTTATATGGGTGGTTTATGACATGGCTATGCAGCTATACTAACATTATTCCAGATTAAAGAATGACCCTTATTGACTCATTGACCCTTGACATTTTGAGAATGGCGGATGGTTTTGAATTTTTGAATGCAAAAAAAACAACATAATCTTGCCCCTTTAATGGGAGATGCACTCAGAGCCAAGGAGAACTAGAGATTCTTCAAATGGTGTCTGAAAATGGAGGATTCGACCAATTTGACCAGAAAATCACATCAAATCAGCCGCAAGGCCCCCGGTGCCGTTGCTGAGATCCCAGACATGGCGCAATTTCATGGTGTCATGACATGGTGAAATGGTCACCGACTGCGATGCTGTGGTGCCACTGAGGTGAATTTGTTGCGGGAGACGTTGATGACAATTGGTATTGGTATTGGTTTAACCATAATGGCAACTCAGAATCTGATGGAAAAGATTCTGGTTGCCAACTTAAGTAGTGGTGGATGACTTTTGGATCTTCTGTTTTTTTCCTTTGGATGTGCCAATCCCAAATGCCCAGCGTGCGGTTAAGGCTGTTAAGGTTTGCGGCTATGGGACCATGGTGGACCCCATGGAGGTGAGGCTTGGATGGCTGTTTACAAAATACGGACTTGGGATCTCCGTTCCTCCGTAGATTCGAGATTCTCATGATATTTCAACGTGACATAAGGCATAATATCTTGGAATTCCCCTCACTAAGCATCATCCCAAATTGATGATCTTCTGCTTCTTCCAAGTGCAAGTCTCAACCTGTCTTCACATGAGCCGCATCGCGAAATGGAAATGGAGCATGGCTTTCAGACTTTCAGGAAGAGATGGTTTCTCAAAATCTGCAACGGATTGATTTTCCGGAAATTTCATGGTAGCCCATGGTTTTTCCCACCAAAACGTAGGGCGTCTCAGGCAGATTCCCCAATCCCTTCGTCCGCTTCTGGGAGGAAACACTGCAAATGCTACGTGGGGAAGCGGTTCCACAAGTAAGTTCTTACATAATCGAAAAATGTTTAAATTGTCAATTCCAACTTTTGGAAGTTAAACAATCCCATGTTTTTTTCCATACAAAAATTACACAACAGATCACAACAGTCCTCCCAAGTGCAAGGTGAGACCCCGTTCGAAATCGCTAAGTTGACTAATGAAACTTGGCTACTTCGTTGATTGGGCTCTTTCTGGGGCATATAACATGACATATAACTATAGGAATCATGGGGTTTACCCTCTGGTCATTTACAGTTGATTTACCCATTATTTTTTTTGGTTTTTCCATAGCTACTGTGGATGGGACAGCGGGATTTGATGCACCACCTTGGATAGTTGAAACCCAGTAAATACTGGGATGTTGACCATCTACCAACTGGTAAACGTTTATCAAAAAACTATGGAAAATCACCATGCTATTAATGGGAAAACTCACTATTTCTATGGCCATTTTCAATAGCAAACTGTTAGTTTACCAGAGGGTACCAACTGGTGCAGGATTTTGCTGCACCATCCACTGAACCCACGGTATCTTCGTTTATCATTTTGGGTTTTTGAAGCAACAAACATTTCACTCAAAAAGCGGCCAAAAACCGTGCACCACACTGCAGGAAACATCTGTGCAACGATTTTTTTCAGCTTCCACTGCTAAGGCGCCAGCAGGCCCCAAAGATGTGGGGGCCATCTAGTTCACTAGCAGTCACTAGCATATAGCAACCCCCAAAAAGATGCCATACCGTCCGGACAGCTGGTATTTCTGTGGGGAAAAACATCATCACTCTTCGAACTACCATGTTAGAAGAAACCATGGTTAGAACATGGTAATATGGGTATTTATATGGGGAAACCATGTTAGAAACATATTTCTATCTTTTTTGGGGGGTTGATATAGTCTAATCTAAGAGAGGTCACTGAGAAAATCGGCACTCGGCCACCACTTGAACCACCAGACGACATCAAGGTTTTTCTCAGAGACCCCGGGAATCCGAGAAGTTCGCCGAACGCACCAACTTCAGCATGAAATTCGATAATTCTTGACCAAAAAACATATAAAATCCCGATGAGCATGGAAGATTCTGATTCTTCCTTGGACTTAGAGAGCTTTAATGATCAAAAAATGTGCAAATGTGTGCCAATGTCCATGCACTTGAGCACCAGTCATCGTATCAACATACTTTGATGCCTCTTTTCGCCCATGAGCCACCTCCACCTAGGATTTCATTTTTTCAATCGTGTCCCCATGTTCCGGGTGTCTAATCTGTAGCTTTGAACTGAGCACAAAAACATGTTTTCAATGCAAGGGACGCAGCTCCGTGTTGAACTTCATTGCTTTTACTATCACACATGCCAAACTAGGAAACTCTATCCAATATATACACTATTATGTGGGTACAACAATAATAGACCACTCATTTGGGAATGGCTTATAGCGTACTTATACCACCTATAAACATGGTGATGACTGGGGGATGGTGCAAATACATTGCTTTGCCCACATTCACATAGTCTATACATCAGAGTGTAGCTCCTGCAGGATGGGCCCCCCCAGTTAAACCCCCATGAAAACTAGTTCGATATACCATAAACCCAATCGAACTCAGCCACTTTTTTTACGCAACTGAACGCTATCTAGGGTTTCTCCATGATTTGGGGGGATATCTAACATATACTAATATAGACATATACTATAATAAATAGTCACCAATACTATACCTATACACATAATACTATACTATAATACTAGTCAGATACTAATATATACTATAATACTATACCTATACTATAAGCACTTATGACAACTAGTTTGTTATATCTACCATAAACTGCCATAAACCCATTGTTTTGGGACTCCAAACCATCACAGCCATCGCTAGCTCAGCGGGTGCGCCGTCCCTTGGGGATCAGCGACTCTCGACTCGTTTCCGCGCCTGTTCGGCTTTCAGATCCAGGGCCTGAAAGTTTCAGCTTTCACCACCAGAAACCGATGGAAAAAAAGGTGGGAAACCAAAATTTAGAGCAATCCCCCCCAAAAAAATCAAAGAGATAGTTAGAAAATAGCAATGTATCACTATTTTAGTAGGATGTTATTGACTGTTCTGTCTATTTGGGGATGACTAAAGGCATAAGCCTTGGAAGTTTCTGTATTGTCTATGTTTTTTGCAACCTTCCCCCCCAAACAAATAGACAACTCGGCTTCGGAGGCTGTTTGAGGCTACGAGGCACCAGCTTTTGGAGTTCGCTTTAAGCGCTCTGAGCCTCTCCGTGTTTACTGTTCAATATTTTTCTAGATTTCATCCACATCAATAAACCTCCAAAGGTTTTAAGCCCCCGATTTTGTTCAAGCTCCCATGGTAAATGTAAGGGATGCAATCAGATATTTTGGACCATTTTTCATGGGACTGTTTCATTTGAGATCGGATGAATGGCAACGCAATAATAAACCACGCGCATGATTCTGATTGTTTATACAGGTTTATACCTCCTATTTTTGGTAAACTTGGGATGGTGTACTATTGCTTTACTAACACTATATTGAATTATACACTGAACATGTTTTTTCTCTTGCCCCAACATCTTTTCAGATGCAAGGTATCCAAATCCGCCCACCACTCATCACCACTCTGTCCGCCTTTTCCAACATGGGTACCGTAAGTTCGGTCTTGTAGCCTGATTTCACCATCTGTTCCACCAAAGGCCTCGCCGCGAGCAAAGCGAGTATGCCAGGGTGCTGGGCCAATCAAAAAATTCCACTAGATTCCCCACTTCTGGTGGATTTCCCATGACAAAAAACTAGAAAATCACCGACTAAGACTAAATCCAAGTGAATCATTTCAGGTGAGGTTGACCATTCAACATTGGAAACCACCCACCGTTTCCAAGCATCACTGGATACCTTTGGCCTAAGCTGATTGCTCAAAGCAATTTCCCTCAGTGAGAACTGGTTATAGCTCACATCCACCCAAGTTATGGCAATTGTTCCCCTACAGTACTTAATGATATTGGAATATAAATAGGTATAGCGATGTATAGCATATAAATATAGTATAATATGACTGAACTGGCTCAATTCCAGCCTTAACTGAATTCTAACTCGAATTGTGCCAAATTATGCTCGTTGTAACTTTTTCCTCTCTAGCTATTTGTTGGGATATCTATGGCTATACTGCTGCTCCCAGCTTTGCTCCTTGAGCCGCCAGGGGCATCCTTGGGTCAGGGACCTATTGAGCAGCAGGTCTTGTTCCAAATTTCCCGGCCGTCGCAACTTTTTCATGCCTCAACAAACTGCGCAACACAGAGTGAATACGGAGTGACCGGAGAAAACAGGACATATTTTCCATGATATTTCATGCAAAAGGGAAAAACGTTTCTTAAATGGATAAATCATGATAGATCCATATAGGTCCAATACTACATTCCACCAAGGCTTTGAATAGATGTCCTATTATGTTCTATTGGTTTAGGACTTCAATCGGATCTGATGAGATTTTTCACTGGGGCCCCAGCCAGGGGTTCGGCAAAGTTTGGGGCTGATCGGATGATCCCCGGGTGATGTCCACCCTTTTTTGGGGGATACCCAAGTCAGTGATTTCACATCATCGGAAATCACCAGGTTTAACAAGTCAATGGCCATTTCAGGAACCTAAATTGGAGGTACCTACCATATATAAGGCCTAGTTGAAGGCCTATGTAAGGGAATATCCCCACAAAATATGGCCTTATATGGTACTAACGTACCTCCATTTTAGGATCCTGAAATTCCCATTGAACAAGTAAGTCATCAGTCATCTAAAAATAAGCGATGTTCCATCGCATATTTTTACCAGAAGAGAATCTTCGTGGATCACTGAGGTACCCCAACCTGTGGTTTTCATCATGTCTGCGAAGAGTTGCTTGTCCAGCTCCTCAAACTGAATGATCAAAGGTACTGACTTTAAAATGTCTTTCTTCGAGTGATCCCCACCAACTGAAATTCTATCTGACATATCTATTCTTACATCCGATCTGGCATATAGTCTGACATTCTATCTGGCATTCGATCTAACATCTCTTCTGACATTCTATCTGACATCTTGCACTCGCAATTGAGGTCCCACAGTGCCCACTGAGATCTGGCGCTCGCGGTCGACACTGATATTTTCCATCAGTATATCATCATATTGACACTGATTATGATGTTTACAATGATTATAATCATCTTCAAAGCCAGCATATGTTTGGAACATATTTGGTGATGGGTCAAAACCCTGGTACTTTAGCTACCCATCCTGATGTGGTTTCTATATATGCCTTATCAACCACTTACTCTACCAGGTGGTGATAAAATGTTATAAACCCCATCCCTAGATGATTTGATATTCCATTGGAATTGTGGCTACCTGGTATTTTTCCGACAAACGGCTTAAACAGATGATAAAAAGCCCATGATTCAACTTCCATCCGTCGCCAAGTTCACTCCTTCCGCGCTTCTCGCTTCAGCATCTGCTTCTTGGCTTCCTCAGCTTCGGCTGTCTCTCTGCTCTGACGCCAAACCTCCGCCTAGAGAGCTTGGGCCGTGGCGTGAAAGTGGTGATTTTCATGGGAAACATGGATTTCATCAAGAATGATGGGAAATTCATGGGAATATCATGGGAATATCATGGGAATGTGAATTCTGATTGTATGCCCAACTGTTTATATTTCTCATGCTTTTCATCTGATCCGTTCATGTGAAGACCCTGCGACTCGACAAACTCTCGTTGATCTCGTGGAAATATCACGTGACAAATCGCGAGGCATGGATGAAAAGTTTCTGGAAGCATTGTTTGCCCAGCTTGGGGGGCCACATATAACTCCAATTTCACGATGTTCAATGAATCTTTATGATACTTCTAACTTATAACAATCCTTTTTGTATGCATGGGGATAGTAAACCAACATGTAGCTGGGGTGTTACATGATAATTCAATGATCCACTTCTCGGATGTGCTTCTCAAGCTGAGGTTCAACTGGATGTTTCAGTTGAACATTTAAGGGAACATCTCTTGCTCAAATTTTACAGATCTTCCCTCGTCCCGATTCGCATATACACGGCGATCATCATTGGAGAATTACCGTGCTCTTAGGCTCTTACACCCAATTCCTTCTTGGTGGCTCATCCCACTTAGTAAGTGGGTTATAACCCCAGTTATAAATGGGATAAGTAGGGTTAATCCATTTTAATCCACTTATAACTGGGGTTATAACCCACTTACTAAGTGGGATGAGCCACCAAGTTTGCAGTTTGCCGAACATCTTTGGCCCAGTGCCCTACTTCTCTGGGACAGCTGGCGGCATCAAACACCAGGACGCTGGGGCTGGAAAAAGGGGCCGGGCCTGCCATTGATCTGCAGCCTTTTCATCGGCGCCCTGGAAGCGGAAAAACCGCAGAACTGGAGACGACTTGTTGGAGGAAGTACCCGGCCTGGTAAACGTTTACAGTTTGCTATTGAAGCCATGGCCATTTAATTCTAGTTGATTTACCCATTAAAAGTGGTGAAAATTGTGATTTACCCATGAAAAATTGATTTGCCCATGAATAGCATGGTGATGTTCCATAGTTATGTAAACGTTTACCAGAGGGTAATTTCTGGAACATGAACTAAAATCCGCACCATGAATCATTGAACCATGTTGGGACTTCAAGAGACCCATGTCAAAAGATGCTTAATAATGCTTAAGTCATCATTGTCATCTTGTCATCTTGGCAAAAATGAACTGATCATAGTCAGAACATGATTGCCTTCTGGTTATTTAATATAGTTATTGTAAACCACAATTTTTAATGGGTAAATCATCATAAATCATCTATAAATCATCATAAACCATCACAAATCATCCAACAATATTCTATAAATGGGTCGTTTCCCACAGCAGACTTTTATTTTATAGGGTGTAAGGTTCAGGAGCGCACTGCCGTCTTCGACATCTTCGATGGGTCGGTTCCATGGGCTTTAAGGCTGGGAAATCCCTTCGTTACATGATGGTTCCATGATGTTTGGATGAATTTCCCGGCTCTAAACCACTCATATTCCATGGAATATATGGTTAATATATGGTTATTTTATGGTTAATGATGGTTAATAATAATATTCTGGTTGGTGGTTTTGAGCCTGTCCCTCCGAAAAATGATGGAGTTCGTCAGTTGGGATGATGACATTCCCAATATGACGGGAAAAATAAAAAATGTTCCAAACCACCAACCAGCCATTGTAGTCCCATTATTCTAATAATTTATAGTACTATTACTATAGTAAATAGTCCCATTATAGTTTATAGATGTTTATAGTCCCATTATAGTTCCATTATTCATGTTCCATAGTCCCATCAGTCCCATTATTTCAATGGCCACTTCAGGAACCGATTGATTGGAGGTACCTACCATATATAAGGCCTAGTTGAAGGCCTAAATTTCGGGGAATATCCCCACAATTCATATGATTTAGGATCCTGAAGATTTCCCATTGATTTGGAGAAATTTCCCAGCTCTAAACCGATCATACCCTCTGGTAAACTGTCCCATAACTATGGAAAAAACACAATTTTTAATAGGTAAATCAATGTAAATCAATGTAAATCAACGAACTACAGGCCAACTTCAATAGCCATGTTAGTTTACCTGAGGGTATTCCACGGTTTTTCATAGGGATTTGATCCAGATTTCCCATGTTTGATGACACAAAACTGACGGCGACCTGGGATCTGAGTCCTCCATGGATTAATCTTCCCGGTAGGTGCCAAGCATCAATGGTTTTGGGATGTTCTTGGCAGAAAAAATCTAGGGAGTTCCTGGTTTCTGATGGTTTCTGAAGATATAAATACTCCAATCCCCGAGTTGAAATGTGCGAAAAATATTTTGCTGTTTGAAATGTTCGAAATCCTCCATATTTTCGGTGGTTAACGCGCCCGCCTTGTTGCCCCCTTCCTGGATTTTCTTGCGGAATCCCTCGGCCCTGGCAGGAGATATCTCAATGACTAGCTGATGCTTGAGCTGCCCTTCAAAAAAATGGATAAATCAGAGCCAAAAATGGGGCAGCTCTTATGGTAAACTACATAGCTATTGAAAATGGCCATAGAAATAGTGAGTTTTCCCATGAAAAATGGTGGATCTTTATCTTGTTCTATGGATATAGACAGAAGACACCTCCCAGCCAATCCATCTGGGTAAATTCCAATATTTCACCAGCCTGAAATAAGGCCACCAACTTGTCTTAGCGGCTTAGCGGACCCGGACATACCCGGCCCCCGCATGATGCCAAGGCCTAAGACCTGAAATATTCCAGTGAGGTCCCGACGTGAGACGTGAGGTTATGAAAAATATGCTTGAGTCATTGGGTATCCCAAAATAAAGTCCATCAAAAACGAAAAGAACATCTTTGAAACCACCAATCAAAATAATCAAATACACAATATCCGTTTAAAAAAAATGACGAGGAAAAACATGTTCGAAACCAGTAATCAGATCCAATCACATGAACATGGTGGTACTTGCATCTGCATAGGGGTATCCTTCAGATCCAACTGCTCTGTCCGCGTAAGTTTGCCGCGGCCACATTTCACGCGTCCGCCGGGTTCGCTGGTCTTGCCTGACGGTGAAAAACATCGCCGGTTTTGAAGCAATGGTTCCATGTGTGACATTGGTCCATCCTACTCTTTACCCTCTGGTAAACTGTCCCATAACTATGGAAAATCACAACTATTCACAACTTTTAATGGCTAAATCAACTATAATTAAATGGCCATGGCTTCAATAGCTAACTGTAAACGTTTACCAGAGTGTAAATAGATAGAAAACAGTTAGAAATCCCCATTACCTGCAGGTTCCATATAATGGGAATCCTTGAAAGTTTGAGGGATTTTCCAGCCCATGGCATCGTTTTTTCTTGGTGATCCATGTTGATTGATCCTGCTCAGGATGTTTCGTAACCGAAACACGAAGAACTCGACAAAAAAAACAAAGCTCCATGATTTTATAGTTCAAATGATGCTCGGACACCTTTGTTTTTCCAAAAATGCCCTCCAGTCAACTATCATAGCTACGGAAAATCACCATTTTTATGAGTAAAAGCGCTAGAATGTTGGTTCCACTCTATTGACTGTTCATCCATCTTCGAGATTCAGAAAACTGCTGTTTTTTTGGTTCCCAGAGATTGGTTCCCAAGTCCACCTCGCAAAAAGCTCCTCAAGTCGTTTCTTTTCGTAGGCCCTGAACTGGATGAGCGAAACTGGGATCTGGGACGGTCCTGATGACTTTTCGCCGGGAAAGTCATCAAATCATATGGTGTTTGCTTGTAAAGTTCCTTCCACGGACCGACACCCCAAATGGACCATAGCAGAATATGTATGAAACTGTTCAACTCTTGGTAAAAATGACTTCATCGAAATGGAAAATCCTGGAAATACCTTTCTCTCCATCTGGGGGTTGCTTGATATAATTATCTAATATTTACCCTATGGATCCCTATGGTAGGTTAAGATAGACCCTGAATATAGCCAATTTTGAGTGGACACTTATCTTCCAACCCCTATCTGGCAGGGTCTATGTTAATTCACTAGAGGGTATTTCTGATAGCTAACTCAACGAACTAAATGGCCATGGCTTCAATAGCAAACTGTTAAATTACCAGAGGGTCAGTACCACATATTCATATATTATCATATATTTGTTAATTGAGCATCTCCCAATTATCATGAATATATGGATACTTATCCTATATCATTGGTTAATTCTTGCTTATCATGAATTGGATATATATAACTTATATAACCAATATATCATATATTTATCCAATGATCTCCTGGTTTTTGGTGGGCCCAAATTACGATTCCATGGAAAAACTGATGCTCTCCCAGTTGATGGGATGATCTGTATGGATCTGTTGATCTTCGCCATATAAGCAATATTGGTTTGTCATAGCACAGCACAACATAGTACAATTAAAATATATTAAAAGTCATGTATTGGCTGTATTGGCTAATCAAAGCCCATACGTTATGTTGGTGAGCACAAATTTGGTTTAGCAGCCACTGTCTCTATGAGTGACCATTTCCGACAGAATCACAGCAAGATAAAGACATCTCATCACATCTCTATGAGTGACCGAAAGCAGCCGCGAAACGCATCTCCTTGTCAATGGCCTGGCATTTGAAAATGCTTGCTATAGAAAATGGATGAACATGGACCAGATTTATATCATTACGATATCATTTATAGTTGATCTACCTCATTAAGATGGTGATTTATATCATTTATTGTTGGTTTACCTTGTATAAATGGTGATTCTCCATAGCTTTTTTTAAACGTTTACCAAAGGGAACACCTGCCTGCAATCCCGTTCGACGCGTTGCTCCTCGGCAGCGTCCTGCAACAACAACAACAACAACAACAACACACTATTAATGCATTAATACTTCAATGCATCCTTATATAGCTATCTATAACTGATAGAACCATAATTAATATAAACATTGTGTTAGTAACTCAGGTAATTCAACATAGCTATTGAAAATTGCCCATTTATAATTGATCTACCTATTAAAGATGGTGATCTTCCATAGCAAACTGTTAGTTTACCAGAGGGTAACATTATTGAAGATCAGATCAATTCATCTCTGCATGCTGGATTCAACCCATAAATTGAGCGTGACACAATGCCATCATGCTTCAACATGGCATTAGACATACCCAGCCACATCGTATTTCTCCTGGTCTTCCTAATATGGCACCCTCTGGTAAACAAACATAGCTATTGAAAATGGCCATTTGCAGTGAATTCTCCCCTTGAAAATGGTGATTTTCCATAGTCATCTTGGTTTACCAGAGGGTAAACCCAGTTGAAAAAACCATCCCCGATAATTCATCCATTTCTGTGTGGTATAAACCTCATAAACCCTTCCAAAATTAAGGTTTAGCATTGGGTAAGCCCACATGATCACATTATCTCACATTAATGAAATTATCACATTGGGTTTACCTCATAATACGGTAATATCATTGGGTATTTGCTAACATGTTACCATATTAATTGCCATAAGCATTGGGTTTACCTCATAATATCATCATACACTATCCTTATTTTTGCATTCTTCACTTTCCACCCCACGGAGGTCGTCTTTCAGTTTTCCGGTCGAGACTGGCTCTGTCTGAATCCTTGGCTGTTAGTTGACACACCTTTTTTCGGCAAGCACTTCATCAGATTCCAGCATTTGAACCATATCTTATAGAGAAATTAGAAATCGACAATTCGGCGGGAATTCCAGCTTTTGGAGATATCCTGATTCAGCTAATTTTGGGATTTGGCCCCAAACAAAGATGTCAATGTCAAGATATGGTGGTTTCCATAAATGGGGTACCCCCAAGCTCGCTGGATGGTTTATTTCATGGGAAACCCCAAACAAAAATGGAGAGAACCGGGGGTATCCCTATTTTAGGAAACCTCCATATGTATAGGGGTTATCATCATCCCATGATGGGCTATCCCTAGAAATCAAGATCCACAGCCACTGAAGCCTTCTGAAGTGCTGCCCTGGTCGCTGTGGATCAGACTTCCAGGTCTTTTCCAAGCGGCGGTCGCTGCGTCTCTCTCAAGATTCTGCTGAACCAAGCTGGGACTATGCTGAGTTTCTCACAGAAAACATCTCCAAAACATGAAATTCCACCCAAACACTCAATCCTCAACTGCCACAAACAATCAAAAATCAAACATGTTAACAAATAATTTCCACCCCACATTCACATAATACCCTGAAAACGACGATCTACTTTCGAGAAGAAGGTAGTCTTCCAACATTTCCAAGCCCAAACAATGGCAGGGTCTATGTTAGTATAAATCACCTGGTTCCGCATCTTTTCCCGATTTTTTACAGATGGGGCCGACCCCAAAACCTCTAAACGCTCTCTTCGTCATCTTCGTCATCTGCGACGTCGATCGCGGGAATCGTCCCGACCCCCCCGCCTGACGTTGATGAACCATGGGATTATCGTGGGCTATATTTGTGGGTAAATCATCATCATTCACTCACCTATGAAATATCTGGGCATATCTGGGCAGCCACTCACCGGAAACAAAGGTATTCCAATGAGGTCACGACTTGAGGTCACTTTTTTTTTCAGCCAGATATCTGCTGCCAATTATCAATTGGGATTTCACATGGAAATATGTCATGAAGCATGGGGAAATCGTCTAATTCTGGGGATATACCATCCCTCATCAAACATGACACTTAAAATTCCCCAAAATGGTCTGCTTGGTGGTTTTTCGCCACCCCTCTAAAAAAAAAATAGTCAATTGGGATTACTATTCCCAATAGATGGGATGATTATTCCCAAATATGATGGAAAATAAAATTCATGTTCCAAACCGCCAACCAGAAAATGGTGCTTTAGAGCTGGGAAACTAACCGAACTGGGATCCATTGCTATGTTGGGATTTACCCCAGGGACCCAAGGTCAGGTCTCCACAGATGCCAAAAGATGTCGGCTTCCAGGGCAGTGAAATGATGTGTTCCCCCATAGCCTCTGGTCAACGTTTACAAAAAAAAACCATGGAAAATCACAAGTTTTAATGGGAAAACTCGTTATACATGGGCCATTTTCAATAGCAAACTGTTAAATTACCAGAGGGATAATTTTCAACATGTCCAACTTTTCGAAGTCTTTTTGAGTGTTGCTGCACATGATTTTTAGCTGCTGATCATTCAATATACTGTGGCAAACCCAATGCAAAACCTCTCATTTGGGGGAATGTGTATTTTTAACCACCCATGTCTGACAACATTGGGCATGCTTTATGGTTTATCACCATGAAATGATTGGAGTTGTTAATCATCGTTCTAACTATAGATACCCTCTGGTACACTGTTATCGCTATGGAAAATGGCCCATTTACAGTTGATTTGCCTATTCAAAGTGGTGATCTTCAATAGTCATGTTAGTTTACCAGAGGGTAGTTGTTGTTTATAAAAATCTCATAGTTGTCTGTTTTTGAAATAATAGTCACAAAACATCGCTGTGAATGAATATCCCAAACGCAGTTGCTAAAAGTCAGCTGGGAGAAACACTGTGTATGTCATATTCTACATAACCCCCATCCATTAAGGGCCCATCCATTACCCTCTGGTAAACTAACATAGCCGCTATGGAAAATCACTATTTTTAATGGGTAAATCCACTATTTCAATGGCAATTTTCAATAGCTTTTTGTTAGTTTACCAGAGGGTAGGGGTTATTTTTTGGACTAACAACCACCTGGAAAACCTCCAGATGAGTCCAGGCCTGCCACCGCCGCCGCCCGAGTTCCCGTTCTTCAGGACGATGTTTTTGGCCGCGGCTTTCCCCTTGGTCTCATCCAGCACTGCCTCGTAGGTACATTCATCCCCGATAGCCAGGGCATCAAAACTACCTCAGCGATGGGGCCTTCAGGTGAAGTGCGACACATTTTGTGCTCGAACTCAAGGTGAAACAAGAACAAGAACAAGAGCAACAACTAGAGCAACATCTACAGCAACAGCAACACGACTAGGTTAAGGCAAAGATGATAAATGTGTGAAAGAAATCGTAGCTCAGGGATGTCCATGGATTCTGACAATCATTGAAAATCCATGATATGGTGATGTTGCTAACAATGGCAAAACAAACGTGTCATGGTAGCAGTACAAATGCATACAAATGCTATATCTACAAGCCAACCTCTGTCTCCAAGCAGCCCGTGCTTGTCAGATGTTACCATCCTACTCTTTACCCTCTGGTAAACATACAAACAGCTATTGAAAATGGTGATTTAGTTCGTTGATTTACCCATTAATAGCATAGTGATTTTCCATAGTTTTTTGATAAACAAATTACCAGAGGGTACCATCAATGGGAAGGATGACATCCCATATATGAAATGGAAAATAATTACAGTAATCCAGTCATGTTTGAAACCACCAAACATTTTACCATCATATGTTACCATCCACTTAACCATGGAAAATCACCATTTATAATAGGTAAATCAATTGTTGTCATGATCCATTTTCAAGTTCGCAAACTGTAACAGTCATTACCAGAGGTTAAGTCATATTCATCCCAAACAATCAGCCACTATCAACCATTGTCAACCATTATCAACCATCATTAAACATTATTAATGGATATTGATGGATGTTACCATCATATGTTACCATCCACCCAGCTGCTGTTCTTGAGAGCAGATTTGTGGAAGAAGAGGTCTTTGTCATCCACCTTCCCCGAGTGAGGCCGAATGAAGCCGATCCCCGCAGGCTTCAGCTCCTACGACAACATACGACGACCAGTCCACGATGGGAGATTGTGAAATGTGAACTCCATAAAAACCGGCCTGGTAAACCTACCCTCTGGTAATTTAACATAGCTATTGAAAATGGCAACTTATAGTGAATTTTCCCATTGAAAATGGTGGATCTTTCCATAGATATGTTAGTTTACCAGAGGGTACAAAAAACGATGGAAAATCATCATTTTTTATGGGTAAATCCCTATAAAATCACCATTTTATCAAATATTCTCTGGGAGATTTGGAAGAAAATGGTGGTTTGATATCCATGAAAATATCCATCAATAATGTTTAATGATGGTTGATAATGATTGTTGATAATATTGTTTGGGATGAATATGACTTACCCGGCCTGGTAATGACTGTTACAGTTTGCGAACTTGAAAATGGATCATGAAAACAATTGATTTACCTATTCACCTATTCCAAATGGTAATGTTCATTGATTTTCCAGTTCGCAAACTGTTAGTTTACCAATGGGTTTTCTGGTGGCATTTCTGTTGGCTCAAGCCAGGCATCATTTTGGGTGATTAGATCCCATCGGCTGCGAGAAAACACAGCAAACCTGAGCCCTTGCAGACCCTCCATATCCATGTTTTGTCGCTTCATGTTAGAAATGGTTTAGATGTTTATTTAAGATGCAGAGTTTGGATTCAAGTGTTTAGATGTTTAGATATTGACGTGTTTGGATTCAAATTTTTAGATGCTTAGATATTGACGTGTTTGGATGTAAGATACCAGTTCCGGTCTACAAATCAGCCATTACATTCATGAGCTAGGAAAGCAGAACCTTGAAATCCGGAAAAAGACCATCTCATTTGATCTTAATTCGCATTATTTTAAGTCCTGGTTTCTGTCTTGTTTTTTTTGGCTCTGACACACTTGACCTGCCCCCACCAATCGAAGCCTGGATGATGCCTATGGTGCCCCATTCGGGCAGGGGCTTGCCAAGCTTTTCGTCCGCCTGAGTTGAGGAGGGGCTTGGATTAGTTGGGACTACCCCAAAGATGGGATAAGATGGGATATAATATAGATTTATAATTTATAATAATATGAATATAATATAAATATAATATATATAATAGTGGGATAGTGGGAAATATGATATATGACTTAACCAACTAATATGATTTTGGATGATATTGGGATATTGTTGTGCATGTCCAGAAATGAGGTCGGATTAACGCTCCAATTCTGGCCACATTCTTTGGGAAAATGATGATCAACCAGTGAATGGAATCTCTCTCTCTCTCTCTCTCGCACCAGTAGATGGAACGTGGTATCCTATTTTCTGCCAAACCCACTTGCACAACTTACTCTTTTTGGATGCAGGGTGTGAGTTTTTCTCCCATGATCAAAAACTGTGGTTCTGGAGTATGTCGGCAAGTTGTATCCCCTTTTTTTACTAAGGAACATGTCTATTTTGATTCTCTTTATCAGTGAGCTTGGTTCAAAATCTCTTTGCAAACAAAGAAGCAAAAAAGTACCATCCCCCTAAGATTAATACCCCCTCAAGAAGCCGTGTGGTTTTTGTATTGGATCTGTTGATTTTATTGTCCAAAAAAATGAAGTTGTTAAATTTGACATACTATAGGGAAAGGGAGTGGCACGGACGCCAACATCCCAGGATATCCCGGGTATTATCACCAACATCCACAGCATGGCCGTTATAACACCAATGCTCAACCATAAATAGTAAGTGGGTTATAACGGCCATCCCTGGGTTATTGCCATGTGAGCCTACTCATCCCTGGTGTTATAGTTAACTCACAATTCCTGGGAGCCAAGTATTCCAACAATAACCATCAATTAAAAGTGTGCAAATGGGCAATGCATCATCAACAGGAACCATCAATTAACAGTTTGTATAACCATTAATCACCATTAATCAACCATTTTTCATAGGTAAATCATCTATAAATCCATTAATCAACCATTTTTTATAGGTAAATCATCTATAAATCCATTAATCAACCATTTTTCATAGTTTTTTTTTAAAATAAATTGGCAGTTTTTCCTACATATACCCACACGATATCCTCATTGTTTTCTACCATTTTTCTTGGTTAAGTCGCCAATTTTCAAAGGTGGCCATTGACCCTCTTGAAGAGTTGGACGTAGCCTATGTATGGGTATTCATATCTGATATATAAGATATATATATATATACATATATACCCTCCGGTAAACGTTTACATAGCGAACTGGAAAATCACCATCTAATTTTCATAGGTAAATCAACGAAACAGATTTTTTTTAGCTAGGTAAATCATTTTTTTTACGTGGTATTATGGGAATATCTGATGATTTTTTTTTTACCATTTTAATAATCCCCATAATAATGATCACCAATATATTTGATAACAGATTTGTACCATTTACCATTATTTTGATATGATTTTGATTTTTCTTAATGATCAATGGCCCATTTATTGATGATTTACCTATCTAAATAACTAGATGATACCCAGAAAATGACCCGTTCAACCCTGTCAGATAGGTTGCCAGATGAGTTTCCACTGAAGGTCCACTGTCCAGCGGTTAATTTATCACAGGGTACCCTCTGGTAATGACTAACAGTTTGCTATTGAACATTGCCATTTAGTTCGTTGATTTACCCAGCTATAAAATGGTGGATCTTTCCATAGTTTTTTTTTTGTAAACGTTTACCAGAGGGTAAGCATCATAAACCAGTTATAAATCATGGTATTATTGGAGTTATTGAAGTTGTTTTTTGTAGGTTTACCAGAGGGTATATCCAACAGGTTTCTTAAGAGGATTTCCCATGATGAACCAGCGATTTGATTGGGGTAGCCCCATGACTTATGAAACCACCATGCAACCGTTATCACTATAATAACCATATATGCTATATAATGGTATAATATATGTATATATGGTAAATACCATTTATGATGGTTGGTCAGTGTTATATATATATATATACTACAATGATGGTTAATATACTCCAATGATATGATTGTTATCCAAAAGATAGGGTTCATAATGATATCCATATAGGATTCTAATTTAAGAGGATTTCCATTATGAACCATTAGGAAAGATTCCCAAAAGATTGAACTATATCCATATATGGTTCATAATAATGTAAATCATCTGAAAAACATATCCATATATGGGTATTAATATCTGATATATATATATAAGATATATATATATATACACCCTCCGGTAAACTAACATAGCTATGGAAAATCACCATCTTTATTAATAGGTAAATCAACGAACTCAATGGGCCATGGCTTCAATAGCAAACTGTTAAATTTCCAGAAGGTAATATTTTGGTATAATGGGGTTAAAACAATGCCATTTTTACCACCCATGACTGGGAATGGTTCTAAAACCACCTATAAAGCTTATACCCATACATATATATATATATAATATTACATAATGATATCCATATGGCAGTGTGTCAAAACCTTGTACCCCTGTAGTTCACATCAAAATAGATGGGATTTATGGATGTTCATTCCCCTAAAAATGGTATTAATAGGTATTGATCCCATATATCTGGGCAAATTACAATAATTCACTAACCTGAAATAAGGCCATGTTGGGATGATTCCCCTTATTAACCATGATTCCAGTGAGGTCGCAGTGAGGTCGTTATAATTTCCCCAGATATATTGGAAACCACCATCTCCTTTTTGTCGCTTACATGCGGGCACCTTCTCGCGACCATCTCTTCCATCTCGACCATCGCGGCCCCTCCGGGACCTACTGCGACTCTCCTGGCGCGGGGCCACGTCTTTCCGGCGGACGGCCACGGCCAGGGGAGAGCAGGAGGGAGTCACCACCAATTTTGGATGGTTGAAACATGTTGAAACCCTATAGATCATGGGATAAACATGGATAAACCATCTATCAACTAGGGAATAATGATAGTTAATAGTAATAATGGTAAATAAAAATGAATGATAGTAATGGTTGAAACCCCATCAATAATGGGATAAACATGGGATAAACCATCTACTGTATCTTAACTGGTGGATTTCGCAACCATCCACAGTATGAAGATGACGGATGATGAATGATGATAAAAGATTATGAATGATGAATGAGGCTGTTGATGCACAAAAATGTAGAATGAGTGATAATGAAGTTACTGGCATCACCATCATCATCATCATCATCATCATCACCATCATCACCTTTTTTCATATGTTTCCATATTATCATTATTATATGTCATTATATGTCATGATATCAGACGTGCATCTGTATATATCAATGCCGTCTATTCAGATGACTGGGACGACCCGATGATGGTAATGATGGTAATGATGGTGGTGATGTTGACGGTGATGAATGTCGGTCACCTTAATAAGGACCTTTTACACACAGAAGCCTTTACACAGAGGAGCTTTTACACAGAGAATGATGATGTTTGCCCAAAAGAGGGCCTAAAATCCAGTTTAGGTCCTTAGGTACCCTCTAGTAATTTGTTACAGTTTGCTATTGAAGCCATGGCCCATTGAGTTCGTGGATTTACCCAGCTAGAAAATGGTGGATCTTTCCATAGTTATATATGTTAACGTTTACCAGAGGGTGCCTGACATGGCCATTGAAATGGTGATTTTCCTTCGAAAACCACAGCTCTCCACGGATCTCAGGCACGCCTTCCGTGACTTCCGTGGAGGGGAACGTCGACGAGAGTCTGACCTGCCAAGTCGCTTCAACCACGTCCAGTTTTCTGAAGAAACGGCAAGAAAATCCTGGAAAACAGATTTAAAAAAATCGTGGGTTTAATTGATGTGCTTTCTCGATTTTGTGATAGTGATCGTGTATTTCTAGAATCACCATCAAATAGGATAAATAGGCTATCCCGATACCAGCATCATCAGCCTGTAAAGGTTGACCATCTATGGATGACAAACGCTGCCATCACCAAGCCGCGAACTGCGGTCCGAAATTTCTGGATTGGTGAAAGGGAAAAACTTACCATGGTTTTTACTATCAAATCAATCAAATCTAAGGGTTTCCGGTTAAAATGTTCCCATCCAATTCTGTGATACTAAGCCCAAAAAGGATAGAACAGACATGATGAAATCCCAGAAAAGTAGCGATGATTTTCATGGGCATTTTTTCAGGGGGGTTACCGGTACACCCCGGTAGTCAAAGATGGCACTGGAAAATCGCCCATGTAAGGCCCATAGATGATTTTGCCAGCTATAAACCTCCAGAAATTTCACTTCTGGGTAGTCGGTTTATTGGGCACCCCAATGAAATTAGATCTGCAAAATTTACTTTAAATTCAAAACGGTTTCCTCGTCTTAAATCTACTTTTCCCCTCTGATTAAATCTTCAGTCCTCGCCTCGTTACATTCAAAACGGATTTCAGCCCTCGTCCCATTTCTTTCTCGACCGCAAGCCATTCGAACTAGTCCTCTGCCTCCTTTTGGGTTGAACTTTTTTGAATTATCTTTGTCGTCGTTGCAGCAACGCTCTGGGCTCCAGAGGCTTGGGGATCCTGAAAAAACTTTTCAGGGCCTAAAAAGTTTTCCTGTTTCCGAGATGCCTCTTTTACAAGCGGATTTGCAGGGGCTCGATTCCCCCCAAATTCGACCCCAGAGAAGAGAAGCTGCAGCAGCAGCACCAAGATACCCCGCCACACCTCAAGCTTTAGCAATTTTAGAATCTAGTCGCGCTACCTGGGAAAGGTGAATAAGAACTATTGACCAAAATTTCAGGGTTCCCTAGGGTTCTTATTTCAATTAGCTGGTTGACAGAGTTGAATCCAGCAATCCAGCCCCTGAGTTTCTTAATGCAGTGGGTTCTTAAACAGTGGTTTCACTGTAGAACAAATACGGAAGTCCTGGAACAACCGGGCATGCCACCACAGGGCACTTACTGAAATTACGATAAAAAAAAACTTTTCGGGCTCCAGAAAGTTTTTTTTTCACGGGGTCTGAATGCACCCTAAATTCAAAAAAAACTTTCTGGAGCCCGAAAAGTTTTTTCACTCGTTACACATGCTTTGAAAGCAATTTCTGCCCACCTCGTTTTCTGAATTTAATTAATTCACCTCGCTTAAATTGCAAAGATTCACCTCGTACCTCGTCAGCCCTCGCTAAATTACGCAGATTAGATGGTATTTATTTATACTAAACATATCTAAACATAAAGATCTGTGGCCCCCTAGGGCTTAAATACTCATCCCCATCTGTTCTGGGGGTTATCAAAAACCGCCAAAATCATTGCCGCAATTGCCAATCTTAGATACCCTGCAAAATATTAAAATCTTAGCTGGTTAGTAGATATTCCTAATGTGGGTAAAACAATGTCATAAACCATTCCCCAGTCATCACCATTTTTATAGGTGGTATAAACCAATGCATTCCGAAATGGGTGGTTTATAACATTGTTTTGACCACATTATACCAAAAGATTAAAGGACGAAATGACGCGTTCAGGTCCACTCGAACAGCTATTGCTGTTAGGGAAAAAATGGCCACAGCTGGTGCCACGATTCAAGGATTGAACTACCTATCCATCCTATCCAGTTGGTTGACTTAGAACTCCCATCATTCGGCACCGCGGTACCTCGAGGGCGAGCGTCTTCGCGGCATCAAATTCGGCGCTGGCGCCGCACGCCCCGCGCCGCCCCGCGGCCGAGTGCCCGTTGAACGCCGCGCGAGGCCGGCCCCGTTTTGAGCTGCGTCGGTCGTGGTCAAACGTGGCATGGACACGTCTGGGAAAAGTGACGGGAATCCACTGGTTTTCCCATGGAAATACAGATGTCATAGAATTTTCCACGATCGACATGGGGTGGTTCCTGTGTTGCATTGCCTCATCCCAGTTGCACAATTGAGTGGTGGATAGTGGTGGCATGGCCCACATCCCCCAACTATATCATTACAGTAACTATTGAGGATATCCTCTTCATAGACCACCAGGCTGTTTTGGGCGACTGTTCAACGGATTTTTTGAGGCCTCGAATAGACTTCGGGGGAGTCGCTGGGATTCATGCGTCCGAAAGACCCTCCGGTAGTGAAACCAAGCTACGGACATGGAAAAAAAAAAATCAGCATAAACCAAAATGTGGATTACTATGGTTTTTCAGCAGAAAATATGATTAGTTACCCAAATAAATGGTGGATTACCTATGAAAAAATGATGATTTCGCATAGAAACTCGCAAAGTCACCAGAGGGTATGGAAAAAATGATGAGGTGGTCCACAAAAAAAAATCTGCATGTTCAATGCGTCACCGTGACTGTCATCAAAATAGCAGGGGTCTGATGGAGGTGAATCCCTGAAATGTGGTAATTCAGGATGAGATATACCATCTGGTAACCTTATTTACCTTATGAAACAGGCTGGTGAAATCTTGGAATTTAGCCTCTGGTAAACGTTTACAGGTTGCTATTGCATCCATGGCCATAGAAAGTTAGTTTGTTGATTTTCCCAGCAAAATAGCATGGTGATTTAACCCATGGTTTTTTGTAGGTTTGCTTCAAAGGGTAAATCATAACAGGGGATGAACATAGCTGGGGCTTATGGAGGTTCATCCCCCAATGGCTATTTTGACTCATATTAGGTGAGACATAATCCTATTGTGACCAAAAAAACACTATGAGCTGGGTAATATTGGGTAATAATAGGATAATTTTTGTAACAATAGGATTAGGATGATTTCCAGCTGGGTAAACAATAATCCGTTTGCATATCTCATTTTAGCTGGGTAATTGGGGCAATAGACCTGGTCCAGTCCTGCGCCCTCTGCTTCTGAACCAGGGCCACTCCCATGGTGTCGACCAAAGTATCGACGCCTCAGCTCAGTTGCACCGCATCGGCCGCATCGCGTGCGAGAAAAAAGGTCGGAACCGGCAAAAAGGGATGGATACTTACCAGGTTTTCCCAGTTCACTAGACATTGGTATAACATGGTATAATATGATATAATATATATATATATGGTATAATATGGTATCTGGTTGGTGGTTTTTCGCCACCCCTCCGACAAATGATGGAGTTCGTCAGTTGGGGTTATGAAATTCCCAACTGAATGGAAAGTCATAACATTCCATGGTTCCAGTCACCACCAAGCAGATATGGATTTCCAGAAACAGCTTCAGGACACTCGCAGTTGTAGGGCTGACTATCATCGCTCAGCAGGTTTTGGCATCAACACACCACACTATGGGGGGCATACCCTCTGGTAAAACTAACATAACTATGGAAAATCACCATTTTCAATGGGAAAACTCACTATAATAAATTGCTATTTTCAATAGCTATGTTAAATTACCAGAGGGTAGATTGTGGAGAACAAACTCTTCAGAGTCAGACTAAGGATTGGAAAGAGTCAGTGAATGCACCGCATGAAGCGCATGAATCACCTTCAAATCGCGATTGTCTCTCTTCTTCAAACTCATCCACCAAGAAAAAAGACACATGACCTAATATTCAATTCTCCATGACAATTTTCAAAATATTCATGCACCCAATTTAGTTGGTTAAATCACCAGCTGCCCACTGGCAAATGAACATAACTATGAAAAAACGCATGTTTTTTCTGTAAATCCTCTAGGCAAGGTGCATAAGAATGTGCATTTATGTGCATTTTCCAGTTCGCAAGCTGTTGGTTTACCAGGGGAGATATATCTCATCATTTCCCACTGTAATCCCATTATTATCCCTGTAAGTACCATTACAAACCCATTAAAAGACCCATTAATCCCGTTAAAATCACTATAAACAAACCATATCCCATAGTTCTGTTACTATAAACGAACCATTTCCCATTAAAAACAAAACCATTCTACTCATATCTTCATTATTATGATTATCCCTGTAGGTACCATTAAAAACCAATTTATAAACCCATTAAAGTGCATAACTTCCATTACTAACCCATTAAAAACCAATTATATATTACCCATTAAAAACCCTTGCCCTCCGGTTATTTAACATAGCCATGGAAAATTACATTTTTTTAATAGGTAAACCCAGGTAAACCATCTATAAATGGTAAATAACCAGGTCCGTGGGGCTCCAAACGTTTCTGATTCTCCCGGATCTTGTGAAGCATCCCTCCGGGCCTTGGTCGGCAGAATCGATGCTTCTTAAATGATGCTCCGGAAACTCTATATGAATATATTCATGCATATGATCATATATGATTATATATATAGTATATGAATATGTGATTAATCATATTATATATATAGTATACGAATATATGATTAATCATATGATTATATATATATATGATTACTAGGATGATTATCATATATAATAACAATATAATACCTATTGTAAGGTGCCCAAAGCCATCCCTTCACTTCAAGGCCCATCCACAGCCGAATAGCGTGACCGACGTCTCTGAGGCCATGGCAATTCGGCTTCCGGAGGCTTAGCCCTGGGCTACCGATGGATTTACCGAAACTAATAGAGGTACCCTCTGGTAATTTAACGTAGCTATTGAAAATGACCATTTATAGTGGATTTTCACATTAAAATTGTGATTTTCCATAGTTATGTTAGTTTACCAGAGGGTAATTATAGAGATATGGTACCATACTATATGCTTATATAGTTAAATATTGTATCTTTAACTATGTATGGATATACTGAAAACATCTGAAAACTATAGAATATGGAATCTGTACAGTATCTCTAGTTGAATAGACAATGGTAATCATAGAGATATGGTACACCTATAGTATGGCATTATACTATGTATTATGCATGGTTTGCTCATACTATCTGTTTAATACCATGTAATCATAGATACATAGTATAATGCCATACTTATAGTTACAGATACCATATCTATGGTATATACTATAAATGTTTAAATATTTAAATACAGTAACTAAATGTATGATTTCTACAGTTCTATTGATTTATGGTGTATAACTCTATGGTTTAGTTGGGATAGCATGTGTAATATTGTGTAATAATACCACTATAACTCAACACTGTGATCATATAATTCTCATATTATAGTAAATAATACCACTATATGATTATATATATGATTATATATATGATTATACATATGATTATATATATATGATTATATATATGATTATATATATTATATAATCATTAACCCACTATATCATATATGTAATAATATATCACTATAACTCAACATAACACTGTTTACTGTTTACCAGTTGGGAAAAGGTGGAAGAAGTGGGACTCCAGCAGAACACTGGGACCATAGCGGGATGATCATGACATCCTATTTCTGGTGCAGGATTTCTGAAGCTGCAGAAATAGGATACGCCAAGTGTAATAACATCTTGCAATATACACACCGATAATAGGTAACAATGAACATAAAAACCATACAACATCCCTATAATATGGTACGTAACAATCTCCAATTTTTATTCAAGTCCCTACTACGAAAATGGCGATGGCTGGTTTATGGCAGTAGGCTTTACCACATTACTTAGAACTGCAGGGCCGAAAGTCCCAAGTTGATTTCGCACGTCGATTTCAAACTTTCCCAAGTTCCCAACATCCTGGATTCAGCACTGGGAACATCATAAATACAATGGGAATTTCAGGATCCTAAAATGGAGGTACTGTACCATATAAGGCCATATTTTGGGGGTAGATCCCCTTACAAAGGCCTGACCTTATATATGGTAGGTACCTCCATTTTAGGATCCTGAAATTCCCATTGATTAAATACAGAAATTAATCATCAAAATCCAGAAATCCAGAAACATCTGGAAGAAATTCTGGATTTCTCAAGTATTTATCATGGCAGTAAACAAATTTATCCTTCGGTGGCCTTGGAAACATAGATACCACCGACTTGATGTACTGCCTCGAGTTGAATGTCTTTAAGAGCTACTGGGGGCCAATAGCCCACCAAGTTAAACAAACCTTTCAAGACCTTGTAGATAGACATTACCCTCTGGTAAACGTTTTCAAAAAACGAACTGGAACATCAGAAAGATCCACCATTTTTCAATGGCTAAATCAGTAAATCGACGAACTTTCGAATTATGGCCATGTTGAATCAAAAAAGTCGCCTTGACCTCCTCCCGTGCCCTGACGCTCGGAATCTCCACGTGCCCCGACGCAATTCGCTTCCACTCCGAGGCCAATCGCTGGTCTGCCTGGCGTCGAAACAGCTGGGGCGAGATCCAAAGTGTCCAAGCCCCGCGTCGTTTAAGCGATAGCGATGTAAGTTGGTGACAATAACTCCAATTGGACGATTTATGAGTGTTGATGATACTTATAACATCCTATAACTATAGTTAATGGATGTTGATTGGATGTATAAACAAACTTATCATTTTCACCATGGCTTATGAGATACTTTTTTGGTCGAGTTTGTATGAGTTAGGGGGGGAGTTATGAAATGTTATAAACCTACAAACACAACTGGGGGGGAACCAGACTTATCCAGTAGTTTTACCAATTCTGGTGGGTTTCCCGGAAAAAAATCACCACTTAAACGTTGATGCTGGAAACCATGGCTTTGCTGTGTTTCGATGGTTTATCCATGTTTATCCCATGAAAAAATCCCATGATAATCCCATCACTACCCATAGTTACCAATGGTTTTTCCTTTTCATAGTTGCCAATAGTTAGCCACTGGTAGAGGATTTCTTCCACCTATGTTTTGATGGAAGAGGCTGTTGCTACCAGTCCAGCGGCCTCCTTTTCTTTCTGCTTGGAGTCTTGCTGCGCAGCTTGAGAGGACTCATACCTCCCGTTCATGGGGATCAAGGCTATCCAAAGCTCCCCCTTCAACAAACGAACTATGGGTAATGATGGGATTATAATGGGATAAACATGGATAAACCATCAAAACATATCAAAACAAACATGCCAACAATCTCTATTTTCGAATCACTGCTTGAGTCAACATAGTCAACCTTGACTTTACCTTGACTTTAAATCAAGGGTGAAATGTCAGGTCTGAACATCCAGCCAAGGGTAGGGCGCTGTCTTCGCATGAGCAGCGACTCGTCTTCCCGATGTTTCTGTTGCTTGAGGAGCTCCTTGGATTCGTTCCAGGGGTCAGAGTTTTTGGAGTCCAAATTTAGTGAATCCTGTGTTTTTTTGTTGGATTTCATGAGATTCAATGGATTGGTTTACGGGAAAATCTACAGGAAACCATGGTTTTTACCATCAAATATAGGGGTTTCCGGTTTCAATTTTCCCATCATCCAATTCTATGAGAGATTTTATTCTATGATTATTTCATAGGAATCATGGGGAAATACTGACATGATAATGAGAAATAGATAGAAATAGTAGGACTTAGCCATATTTAGCTTCCGTAATTTGTCACATGGTTATGGAAAATTGACCATTTACAGATAACTGTGCCGTTCGAAAAAATGGTGAGATTTTCATGACGCTATGGCATGTCGAAGGGATCTCGCTTGGGTACCCCCAATACGGGCATGGCAATTTTCCAACGGAAACAGAACAGGTTCAAATCAAAGGATTTTGGATCGTGCCAAATGGACAACCACAACAGCTGTTAAAGAGAAAAACTTGGCTGTTTATCATAGCAAAAGTGGTTATATATGGTTATATATGGTTATTTAATGGTTATATGTGGTTATTTGATGACTATATATGGTTATTGAATGGTTAATGTGGGTAAAACAATGTCATAAATACACCACCCACGACTGGGAATGGTAAGTTTATACCACCTATAAAAAATGGTGATGACTGGGGGATGGTAAACATTACATTGTTTTACCCACATTAGTACGGAGCATGAATCTTCAAAAATGCGCAATAAAACCAGGTTAACTTTACTACATCCCTTAACGCATATTAACGCTAGACAAAGTCCTCTCCATGTACCCTCTGGTAATTTAACGTAGCTATTGAAAATGGCCCAGTCGAAATAGTTGATTTACCCATTAAACATGGTGACTGTACCATATAAGGCCATATTTTGTGGGGATATTCCCTTACATAGGCCTTATAGGCCTTATATATGGTAGGTACCTCCAATTTAGGTTCCTGAAATAGCCATTGATGCCAGAGCATAAGCATCTTGAAACCACCGGTACGGTACCCAGAAGTGTTCCATGCCGTCCCTTCACATCCCATAAGTTGCGGCCCGGTACTTCGAGGCTGTGGAAATATGGTGGTAATATCCCGTCACATCAATCTGGGAAAAATAAATGATATCATATTTCACAAGTTTTTTTTTTAAGTAATCTGGAAAAAATAGATCTTTTTCCCTCACTAACCTGAAGAGTTCGGCTGTGGAGGATTCCCTTATAGATCTTATAGTAACTACTCCTTTGAGGTCATGATATGTCATGATGGCCCCGCTTCAGGGATGAACCACCGTCCTGCTGGCGATATTGTTCTTCAGCTGCCAGGGTCCTATCCATCCTTGGTGGGCATGGATGGGCATGGCCTTTCCAAATAGGAACCCCTTCAGTTTCGTCACATGTGCATTTCAGCGAGATAAATCAGGACAAAGCAAACTTGACAGATTCGAAAATCATGATTTTCGGGGTACCCCCTGGTAAACTTACATATAACCATGGAAAATCACAATTTTCAATAGCTATGTTGGTTTACCAGAGGGTAGAAAGCCTACTATGCTTGATGATAACTATTCAACCTGCGTAACACGCCCACCGGGGGCCTATCGATCTACAGCACAGCGACCAAAAGGCACATCAATCCACACGCATTGATTGATATGTATATACATATATAATTACACATGTATAGTGTAATTATATATAATGTATATATATATATATATTTATGTAACATATGTAATGATATAATATTGTATATATTCAGTTAAATCCTTATCATTGGCACATAAATTCGCAATGCAAAGTGTTGATAGCCCAACCATTTTCTTTCAAAATCCAAGAAGATCCATGATTATCCCACTATCATCCCGCGCCGTCCTGCTACTATCCCAGTAAATCCAACTTATCCTCCCGCTAAATCCTATAGAATCCCATGAAATCCCACTATTCTTCTATTAAAACCCGATGAACTCTTCCATTAAGAAACTAAATCCTACATCATCCTACTATTCTTCCATTTCAAACGAAATCCGATCCGAATTCCCATCGAAATCCCATCGTCAAAACCGAAAAGCCATCGACAAATCGCTGCCAACTGGGTCCTCCCTGCGCCATTTTGGCCACCTGCAATCGCTGCTCTGCGGCGCCTTTCTGCTTTTCGACTCGGGCCTGGATGGTAGCCCCCTATCCCATTAGGGGATGCACTACGGCATAGTTTAGCCGAGGGTAAAAGCCACAAAAAGATGTGGAAAATCCATGGAAAACCCCATGGATTTCGGAAAATGATCCACAAACTCTGGATTTTCCACGTCGAACTGTTAGTTCACCCTAGGATAGATCTTTTAGATTCTTTTAGTAATGCATCATCACTTGAAAATCCATCCGAAAAATAGTGGTTTACTGTTCAAATTACTATTCATTTGAGATTTATCATGATTTACCTATCATAATAGTTGATTATGAAAGTTCACTATTCATTTGGGATTTATCATGATTTCTCTATCATGTGGTTGGGAAACCTCTGAGTGTAGCTCCAACTGGCTCCCCACTTTTTGTCGAAAGTTGAACGCCCGGAGCTCCAAAATATGCTCCCGACCACTGGATCACTGGATCATGTTCCCACGAGATCGTAAAAAACTGATTGGTTAATCATACATCCAATTCAGATATACACTGAATATCCCACGAAAATATAAAATATCAAAATTGGATGTATGATTATAATATTGAATGATATTGGATGTATATCAATTAAGATATATCCCACTATTAAACTATGATATCCCCTTAATATATCTTAATCATATATACACTGAATATCCTATTAAAATATGATATCCCCTTCATATATTAAGATATATTAAGTGTACCCCACGATTTCATATTAAGATTCACGTGGTAAACCAAAATAAACCATCAACAGCTAGTCGACCCAGCCAGCTCCGCCGCTTCGCCCATCCCAGAGGTACCAGCAAATCCAGAGCTGCCTGGCAGGGTCTTCGCAACGATGCTGCACCATTGTTTTGGGGGTCAACCCCGAACAAACATGAATAAAATAGTTCCCCTGGTTGACTTATGACATGTTTTTATATGTTTTAACTTAGATCTAATTCGAAGAATGGAGAGGTTCCCCCCATGTTCCCCCCATAAAAAAACGGAAATTCTGATGTCATCTGCTACGAAAATCTGCTACCTGCCATGTGATTTCACAAACCATATGACCTCCTTCTGGAGCTGCTTCTTCTGCTGTTTCTTTTGGAGCCTTGGTCACCGTGTCACCGCTCCACAAAAATTCAGCCCTTGGGAGAAGGATTCAAGTGGGGTCGGTTCCCAAAAAGCACAAACTGTCAATGCCACAAATACACCCAAACTTAAACTGGTTGGTGGTTTTAACATGTTTTAACCATCTTGAAAAATAATAGTCAATGGGAAGGATTATCCCATATATTATGGAAAATAAAAAATATTTAAAATTACCAGCCAGTAAATGTTACGGAGTGTTATGACATTTCATGTTCCATAAATTAACTGCAATGTGGGTAAAACAATGTCATGTTTACCATCCCCCAGTCATCACCATAAATATATGTGGTATATATGTTTACCATTCCCAGTCATGGGTGGTTTATTTATGACATTGTTTTACCCACATGATTCTTTTGTGTTGTATCAAACCTGGCTTAAATTACCCAGTTCCAAGATTCGTTGCAAGGCTGTGATCCATGGATTCTGGATGGGTAAATTATCATATTTCACTAACCTGAATCTTGCGGCCATGGGGAAGATTTCCCTATATCTAAACTGCTTGGTGGTTGAGCCACACCTCTGAAAATATGAAAGTCAGTTGGGATTAATATTCCCATATATGAAATGGAAAATAAAACATGTTCCAAACCACCAACCAGTTCAAGATTTTGTAAGATTAATATTTGGTATATATAGCTCCATTACCCCCTGGTAAACAAACAGTTTGCTATTGAAAATGGCAATTTATAGTTGATATACCAAGATATACCCATTAATAGCATGGTGATGTTCCATCGTTTTCCCATTGAAAATAGTGATTTTCCATAGTTTTCCCATTGAAAATGGTGATTTTCCGTCGTTTTTTGTATGTTTGCCAGAGGGTAAACCACGATTCCAGGCTTCGGTCGTGAGATGTCGTGAGGTCCTAAGGTTTCCCGCTCCGCACTGGCATTCCTGTGGCTACGCTGTACCTGGATCCGACCGGCGCTTGGTGCTTTTTCTGGAACCGCGGACCTCCGGTAAAGTAGGATAGCTAGTGAACATGGCCATTGATAGTTGATTTACCTAGTAAAATTATGATGTTCCATGATTTGCCTAGTAAAAATTATGATGTTCCATGATATACCTAGTAAACAATATGATGTTCCATCGTTTTTTGTATGTTTACTGGAGGGTACGTCGCTCAGAAACTCTTTAAGGTGAGAAGGTCAGCCTTCCTTCAAACATATGTGATGTGTTTCTACATGGGGATTATCATCCCCCAAAAAAACGTAAAAACAACGTCGAAGACGATGTGACATCGATGTGTTTGAAACGCCTTGAAACCATCATTTCCAAGGTCAAAAAGCGTTGAAAACGAGCATGTCCACATAATTTGTCCATCGGAGAAAAGCAATACTTACCATAATATGTGTTTGAAAAAAAAAAGATGAAAACATGAAAACCATGAAATCATCATTTGAGGGTTTCCTAAGTCATGACCCCAAAAAACATCCAAGTCATTAGATCATTTTAGCATTGAAAAGCCATGGTGACTTGGGGATACCCCATGACTTCTGAAACCCATTGCAATCCCATTATTAGATTCCATGATTGTTATATTCCAAAATATGGTAATAATCAATGGGAGATCCCCAGGATCCTAAAATGGAGGTACGTAAACGTACCATATGTTTGGCCATATTTTCTGGGGTATATCCCCTTACATAGGTCATGAAGGCCTTATATATGGTAGGTACCTCCATTCTAGGATCCTGAAATGGCCATTGAAATAAGTGGTTTTGACCCATCCCTACGTCAAGAACAAGTATTGCCCTCCAGTAAATTAACATAGACCCTGGTAGATAGGGGTTGGAAGATTAGTTTCCACCACAAAATTGGTGATTTTCAGGGTCTATGTTAATTTACCAGATGGTAACCAGTAGAAAATCGGGGATCCCCTCATGACTTCAGACCCTTGCCTCCTCCAGAATCGCTTGCCGATCCCGCTGCTTCTCTACCACCTTTTTCCGTTCGCGGCGGCGAAGCATTCAGGTGGATGAGCCAACCGTCCCACAGAAAACCTGGAAAACTCATAGAAAACCCATGAAACATGCTAAAAACCTATGAAAAATATAGGCTAGGATATGAAGAATTATCTCACTTATCTTGAGGTACACATAGAAAACATATGGAAACCAAGGGTTTATCTAGTTGAACATGATCTGCACATGGTAAATTGCTCGAAATTCTGTTTGTATCTGCTAAGTCAGTTTACATCCACAAGGGGAACCGGGCAACCCCCAGCATGATCATCCCCGAGGAAAAAAACCTACCCCACATCCTTAAATGCACCCAACAAAAGCCAAACATCTTGAAAAAAAATCACAAATTCATCCGATGATCTCTGAAGATTGCTGATCATCCAATGTCTTTTTGATTAGTTACTTAGTCCCTATCTTCAGCCAACCAACTGCTCGAAACATCGAGGCAACCCACAGCGACATCTGACATCGCCTCTGCATCTTTCCGAGCTTGGGCCTAGGCGACAAGGTTGACTCAACTCCCAAAAGGTTCTTTTATTTGGGGTGCCCACTAAGTAGCATATCATCAATCATGTTATGTTATGTAATGTCATGATAAGATATGATATGTTATGATATGATATCTTAATCATATTATCGATCATGTTATCATGATTTAAGGAGGGCACCCCCTAATCAACAAACCATTTTTGATTACAGTAGGTGTATGAATTGATATGAATTGCGGGGTTCACATTATGAACTTATCAAAGAACATAAAACAACAATAGTTACTCAATAGTGAGAAATACCCCCTGCTAATCAGCTCCATGGTTTGCTGGAAAAGAACCCAACTACAGTTGGATGATTTTCCCAGCTACAAACCTCCATTCTTGATGGGGATGTTCAACTGTCATGTTTTATTGCCACAGGGTTACTGTATACGAAGGTAGAATACACAATGGCAAACAATAACAACCGTTAATTTATATTGACGAGGTTTGTTCGTGTGAAATATGACCGTCATGAACAAACCATCGTTTTTTTTTTAAATAATAACATTAATGACCGTTCATATCTGTTCATGACGATGGTTTGGAAGGTTCATTGTGAAGTTAAAAGGCGCTGAAGCAAAGTTGATCAGGTTCCCCATGGTGGGTTCCCCATAGTGGGTCCACCATCATTGAGGCGTCCGTGAAACCCACACCTCTTTGACAAACTATTTTAGCATATGCATACATACATTACATATTTATATATATAGAGATGTGCCTAAATAAATAAACAAAAGTGTATATATATATATTATATTCATACATTTGTATGCATGTGCATATGGATGTGTATATAATTATATATAGGTAAATATGCATTTGTTGGTAAATACATATATATATAATTATGTATATATATATATATGTATATGTATGTAATCATATATATATGTATCATTTCGCATCTATAAGCAAATAAAATTATTTGTTCACATGCGTCTGTAAATATATATGAGTATATCAGTATATGCATTTATGCATCTGCATATATATATATATATATATGCATATACATGCGTCTGTATACATATATAAGTTGCATACATACTACGGCCATTCATACATACATATACATAGATATATATATATATATCAAATGCATATATATATATATATATAGAATATATATATAGAGAGAGAGAGAGTCCTCCCATCTTTACACACACACATACATATGTATATATATATATAAGTTTATATAGATAATATATATATATATATATATATATCCTCGTCATATTCCGATCAAATGCTGGGCTGCATACTCTCTTCTTACTCGACAAATCCAACCGTTCCCGCTCCTGTTGCAGTTGCTCGTTCAACGCTTCCAGGTATCTTTTGGCTTGCGCCTGGTACAACTGTACAACTAGAGTTTATATGGGTTTATGGTCGGTATAACCAACTTGTAGTTTATGATAGTTGAATTAAATGGTAGATATACCCAACTTATATATCTAATATAAATAAAGAAGTATATACATATGTATATATATCATATATCTATAATTTCTATTAGATATTAGTTCCTATGATTTATAAACCAACTTTTAATGGGGGCACCAGCTTGTAGGTCATATCATCGATAGACTTAAATAGTTCGTCAAATAGATAAAACGAAATAAGACAAGGCAAGGTAGAAAAAAAAACACCGCCAACAACATATTAATTAGAATAATTGCGCTTCTACTTCGAAAAGATTCAAAAAGTACTGCGTCAAGGTAACCCATTTCATCATACTTCATCCATTGTCCAGCTCAACGACCAGTTCTGGGTCTGTCACAAAGGCACCTCCTTCGATCATGGATTTGTTCCATCATCTTAAACTTACCCATCAGAAGCAAAGTGGTCCAAAACCCAGTTCTGGGATGTTCTGGGCGCAACACTTTTCGCAGTTTTTTTTTAGTTTGAACATAGCCCCAAAATGGCCTTAAATGGAAGGGTCTAAGCCCCTATGGTTGGTTTTAGTATGTTTTACCCTTTGGTGAACTGACAGTTTGCTATGGAAAATCACCATTTTTACTCGGTAATTAAATCAACTATCAATCACCATGTTCAATAGCAAACTGTAACAAATTACCAGAGGGTCATAGTGTGCGACAGCTCAATTTCTGGGTTCCAGCGATACCCTCTGGTAAACCAACATAGCTACTGAAAATGGTGATTTAGTTCGTGGATTTACTCATTGAAAATGGTGGATCGTTTACCAAAGGGTATATATTCCCATTATTATAAATCCCATTAAACCACCATTAAACCACCATTTATGGAAAATCACCATTTTTAATGGGAAAATCCACTATAAATGGTCATTTTCACTATGTTAGTCATTACCAGAGGGTATTTTCCAGCTCATTTCGCACCTGTTTGTTCCTCCTCTTCTCCTGGGAGCCGCCCAGATGTCCCCAGTGTACCCAGCATCCCGAGCCGCGCCGCATCAGACGTCGCGTCGTGCAGACGTCGTTCTGCGGACAAGTTGCGGCTTCTTCACTGGCATGCTGCATGGAGTCAAACCTCAGGATGGAAAAATCAAGCCATGCCCAATCTTGGGGAGGTTTGTTGCTATTTGTTGCTATGGAACTGATGCTATCAGAACATAACCATAAACCCAAAAACAGCGGTTGCAACCCCCATTTTTTGGTGGATTACCGAAGGTTGACCATGACACGTCATAAACTGGGGCCATTTTGGTGCCATTTTTCATTGGTCAACATCCCCAGTGGCGCCAACCGCTTGGTGACCAAAAATGGGACGGCTGCGGAAAGCGGATTCTGGGATGAGGATTGGTGTTCAGCCACAACTCAACGGCTTCACAACCTGCTGTTTGATATAAATAAGTAAATCATATTAAATCATATTAAATCATATTAAATCATATTAAATCATATTAAATCATATTAAATCATATTAAATCTATGTTAACGTGTTTCCAACATTAATAACATTAATCTTCGGCAATTTTAAATGTATTGAGATCATTCCCAGATTCGAAATGGTCGTCATTATTGGGTGAGGCCGTAAACAAATTGCTCAGTATGGATGGACTGCGTATCAGGAACAGTGAATTCCAGTGCCTTTTCTTGGAACCTATGAAACAAAGTCTTCTCTTTCACGGGATAAAACTTAGGCTTAATGGCTTAGAGATTTCCCAAGATTTTACTTGTTAGGTTGCTTAGTTGTTAGGTCCGGGGGCTAAACAAGCGTTTTGAGAAAACATTTTTCTTTCAGTATGCAACAAGCGTTTTACACCGTTGGGTCAATGTGTAAAACGCTTCTTGCAAAAAATGCTACCTGTCCAAAAATGCATTTTTTTCCCATGTCACGCCACCCCTAGCGTGTTTAGGCTTGGGCATGGATCTTGTTTTAAAGATCTTGCCAAAGTTGAAAGATTGTGCCATTTTATGGCAAGCAAAGCTAAATCCCTAAAGGAAGTCGGCCATGCTTCGCTGCTTCTTCGTGTCCGCATCTTTTTTCTTTTGCTTTTTATCCTTTTTCTCCTTCTCGGTCTGGGTCTTCTCAGGTTTCTCCTTTTTCGGCTTGTTCTCCGTTGGCGCTTTTCTTTTTCGTCCAGCTGAGTTTTCTTTTTCATCCACCTGCATCTCATCCTTCTTCGCTGGGTTTTCTTTTTCCTCCAGCTGCATCTCATCCTTCTTGGCTGGGTTTTCTTTTTCGTCCAGCTCCATCTCATCCTTCTTGGCTGGGTTTTCTTTTTCGTCCAGCTGCATCTCATCCTTCTTCGCTGGGTTTTCGTTTTCCTCCAGCTGCATCTCATCCTTCTTCGCTGGGTTTTCTTTTTCCTCCAGCTGCATCTCATCCTTCTTCGCTGGGCTTTTTTTTTCCTCCAGCTGCATCTCATCCTTCTTCTCCGTCACATCCATGGCCTCCACCTGCTGCTCAGGCTCCAACGGCACGGTCTCAGGGAACGGGAAAGTCTCAGGTTTCTTCTCATCAGGCAAAGTCTCATCCTTCTTCTCATCTGGCTGCGTCACCTCCATTTCCATCGTCTCAGTTGTCTCAGTTGTCTCGGTTGCCTTCTTCTCATTCTTCTCATCCTTCTCAACCTCCTTTTCATCCGTAGCCGCTGTGCACTCCATCTCCGGAGCCTCGATTGTGCTCTGAACTTGTTCAGGTTCATGAGGCTTGTTGTCATTCTCAGAGGGCTGTGCCTCCAGGTTCACGTTTTCCAAGGCCAAGGGCTCGATTTGGTTGTCGTCATCCAAACCCTCCTCCTGCTCTTCCTTCACAAAGCCAAAGCCAGGCAGCTTCGGCTTCAAATCGTCTGCCCGCTTTAGCTGCTCGAAGTTTGGAATTTCCAACTCTTGGAGGCCCAGCACCCAGGCCACCAACTCACTGCCGCTGTTGGGCTTGGCCTGGTCCATCACAATGGCCAGACTGTACTCGGTAAGCTCCGTGAAGAAGATGGGGGTGTACCTGCAGGGCTCCAGGTTCCAGGGTAGTATTAGTATCAACTATCAAATAGAGATAAATAGAGAGATAAGAACAATAAAGGTAAAATAACGGGAAAATGCAAAATCAAAAGAGTTGACTGAGTCGAGTTGAGAGTCAAGAGAGAGAGAGAGAAGGCAAAAAAAAAAAACAGTCATTATCAGTCTGTCAGTGCCAATGTCAGTCAAGTGTCAAGTCGAGTCCGTATACCTTGAAGCCCTAAGTCTAATGTCCTGAGTCTGAGTCCCAGCTTAGTCTGGTTAAGTTGTTAAAGCCAATAACTGTAACACTTTGTCGACTTTGTCACTTTGTCGTGTAATAGTGTACACTTGTGACACGACATCAGACATCACGACTTACTTGTGAGTGTAAGTGAAAGTGACATGATGCAAAATTTAACTGAGTTGTGTCGTGTTGTCCCGCCTAACGCTCACGTTGTTGTCCACCATGTTCTTTTCGCAAAGCATGTAACCCATCGGCAGATAGAACAGATCGCCAGTGCGCAAGAAGCCAGCGGACAAGGTATGAAGTTTTCCTCACAATGCCGAGGCCGAGGCTACAAGTCCCAAACAACCAAAACCCTAACCCAAATTATTCAAAGTTTCCATATTATATCATCTATATATATATATATCTGTCCACAACCATCCGAATCATTATCCGGAATCATCCGTCCGTCCATCAGTCCTTCAGGCAGGGCAGGCATTAGAACAGTAGAACAGATCAGAACACAGAACATTAACTGATTTAAGTTAAATAACCCCATCATATTGAATCTAATCCCATAATCCCATTCAACAAAGTCTTTTTAGGATGTTTAAAATGTTTAAATCCACTCTCACATTTACCCAACCACCAAACAACTTAAACCAGTGAACCATTCATAGTCATACACTACCCACTGCAAGAAAACAGAACACATGCCCAAGATTCCGGAGCTGGGGTCAGGGATGTCCGAAGCAGCCATTGACTGGAACAAATCCCTGGCCTCAGCAAGGCCATTCACCCCGAAGTACTCCATCAATTCGCTGATGGCGGCGGCAACGATCATCTTGGATCCCAAAACCTTGGTTTAGTCAAATTAGTTTTTTGAGTCAAATTAGTTTTTGTTTTTTGAGTTTTTTGTTTTTGTTTTCATGTGGCCTGTGGCCTGTGTGCGTGTGTGACCTGACCCACCGCCTTCCCCCTTCCCCCCCCCAAAAAAAAATAAATAAAAAAGTCCACAATGTCCAATGTCCAGTGTCTCCATAGCCAGGGAGCCTGCAAGCGAACTGATGGCAAGCCGCAGTTCTCAATGCCGCAGTAGGCCACGCCTGACTTGGAGCCACACAGGTACAACGAGGTAAGATCTTTGTAGCCCTTCTCCATGTCGGCCTTCTTCGAATGCACCTCGAGCTTCTCTTCGTCCAAGAGCGCGGTGTCCTGACAATGTCTTTCTGATCTTGGAAGTTGGAACCTGGGTCCCCAAAACAAATTAAAACAGATACACAGCTGCAGCAGCGTGATTTACTATCAAATCCAAACATTTTAAAATAAACTGGTCATTGAAATTGAGTCGAGTCAGTCGAGTCTGAGTCCGTCAGTCTGAGTCTGAGTCTGAGTCATTGAGAGAGGTCAGGTCTCTGATTCTGAGTACACTCGAGTCAGAGTCATTGTCGTTGTCAGTTGAAGTCGGGTCCGACGAAGTTGAGTGACTAAGACGGGCGGGAACAACCAATAAATCAAACAAAACCATACAGTAACTTGTAATTGAGCTGTGTTTGTGTTTTTTTTCACCACCTGCCAGGTGAGGGTTGTTAGATTAGGACTCCTGGACCTCCTGGTCACCAGTCAGGTCATGGTCACGTCCTGGTCCTGGACTCCTGGTCCTGGTCATCCTGGTCCTGGTCACTGGTCCTGGTCCTGGTCACTGGTCCTCGTCCTCGTCATCGTCCTCGTCCGTCCTCGTCATCGTCATCGTCACTCGTCCTCGTCCTCGTCATCGTCGTCGTCGTCGTCATCATGATCATCAACCGCCAACCGCCAACCGCGACTTCCAGATTGCAGCGGGCACTGCCGGACCTCAATGGGAAGAATGTGAGAAACGATGTCAGATAGAATGTCAGAAGATATGCCAGATAGAATGCCAGAAAGAATGTCAGAAGATATGCCAGACAGAATGTCAGAAGATATGCCAGAAATAATGTCAGAAGATATGTCAGATAGAATGTCAGAAGATATGCCAGATAGAATGCCAGAAAAAAATGTCAGAAGATATGGCAGATAAAATGCCAGATAGAATGCCAGAAGATATACCAGATAGAATGCCAGGAGATTTGACAGATAGAATGCCAGAAGATATGCCAGATAGAATGCCACATAGAATGCCAGAAGATATGTCAGATAGAATGCCAGAAGATTTGCCAGTAAGAATATGTATAAATGTCATGGTGGGGATCATTCGAAGTGAAGTAATTTATTTAAATTGAAATCTGAATGAAGTCTGAAGTCCGTATGAGTCTGTATGTATGTCCTCCTTCCACTTCGAAGGAAACTGCTCCATCAGCTTCTCTTTCATCTCATTGACAGCGGCAGAAGCTTCGGGATCCTCGCAGCCAGCTCCGTCGCAGGTCTTCAGCACAGACCTGAACACGATGATACTAACTGGTCTTTCTTTTTGGATCCCCTTGTGAATTAAGTGAAAGTGTTGTTGGTGTGAGTAACTTTGTAATGATTAACCTGGAGACGTTCACCCCTGCCTTTTTGAAAATGCATCTTTAGAATCAGAGACCCATGGCATTTTCAAGTTGACAATCTCTATAGATTTGTTGTCACTGAGGTTGTTTATGAGCATCATTTTCACTCTCGTAAAGCCTTTTTTTTTGGGTTGGGGGGGGTAGTTGGCCTTCCATGGGTCCGATCACCAAGTCTCAATTCACTGACTTTCACTGACACCTGACATGAATACGTCAGTTGCTCTTGCTCCCAAGTTTTCAGTGTCAACCTGTTTTCAACATGAAATCTCTATCTCGACTCGACTCAAATCATCTAGTGAATCGAATCTAATCAAATCGAATCATATCATATCGTCATTAATCACCAAGGTCCTCTAACAAATACTAACAAATAATCAGAAGAATAAGAATAATAAGAAATAATAAGAAACTCAAACACCCTACAAATAGCTACAAATACCAAACTTGCCATGAATAAACTAGATTCGTTGGTCGGGTCAAGGTGAGCTTCAAGCTGGGACAGGAAGGCATCATTGCAGGTTGTGAAGAACTTTTTGATGTTGTCCTTGTGTCCGCACAACATGCTAAGTGTGTTCCTGCCTTTCCTGATGATCGCAGGGAAATTCATCTTGGCCTCCCCCTCCACCAGGTTCTGCACGGTCTTCATCGGATATGCTGCGTTGATCTGCCTCAACTCAACGAAATGTGAAATGTGACATGTGACAAACACAAATGGAGGAAAAAAAACTGTTTTGCCTCACATTGCCACAAATACCTCTTGCAAGACCTGTTCAACTTGTCGTCAGTCCACATGAGTGAGTCAGTCAGTTCTTAGGGAGTGAATCTGAGTCTGAGGGAGTTCAGTCAGTCAGTATTGTCCTGTCAGACTCTCAGACTCAGACTCTCAAACAGTCAGTCAAAAAAAGTTAACTGTGAACTGAACTGGCGTTTGTTTGTTTGTTTCTATTGTTTACTTGTTTTCAAGATTCAAGTTGTTTTTTTCCCCCGTAGTGTATCGAAAAAAACAAAAAAAACAAAACAGCAGAAACAATCAGGCACACCATGCCACATCTCATTTTTTTTACAGGATCACATGTTATAAACCCGGGAAAGTAAATATGATTAATGATTATGGTTAGGTTATGGTTACCGTTTGATTTTAATTTTAATGGTTTATGGTCTCGGTTTCATTTTATTTTGTTTCAGCCAAGAGACTTCCAGGCACGTAGTACTTCAGGATCGTCCTTGTCCAAGTTGTTCAGGTTTGGTCTGCCATTCAGACTCGGATTTCCACTCTTGCTGCCAGCCTGTGTGCTTCCTGAGCCATGCAGCATTTGGTAATAATTGTTGACATATTAATCCATATGCAGCCATCATCATACAACCTTATATATTGCTTACATATTAGCTTACTGTTGAATTTGGAATTGAATTGATTTGAAGTGGAATTGAATTGAATCGAATCTAATTCTAATTCAGATAAGCTATTCACAAATAATTATATAACACATAAATAATGGTAATTGTATGATTCGGTTGTATGGTTGTAACTGGTTGTAATATGTTATGTGCTGCTTAGGCTTATGACTAATGACTTATGTGCGTGCTGCGTGCTGTGCTTATGTTATTATCAATCATTAACATCAAATAAATTATAAATTATAGTCGTAGTCATAGTCAAATAGTATCCTATAATGGTGGCCAATATTGGTTCCGGTTCATGTCCCAGGTAATTAAGAAAATCCCATGTACCAGGGAGCCAGGAAATTCAGATTCCAGTCCATGTCAGTGACCCATGGGTAATGGATTATATAAGAGATTGACATTTGATGGATGGATGGATGGATTGATTTGACATGACATGACATGACATGACATGACATGATTCCATGACATGATGGCGGGAAGCACAATACTAACTAGGAACCATTCCGAAACATACATAAAAAGCCAGTTCTCAACCCAACAGCAGTTGAACTGAATGACTTAATGAATGAAATGTAAATGAAGTAACGAATCAATGTGTCAATGAATCAGTCAATGAATATGAATCTCAATTTATGTTTCTCTAACCTTGTGACATTGACTGGACTCTCAATAATCATGAATCATAACTGATAGTTCAGCCATACATCATAAGGCATAATGCAATGATCCAAAATCTCAATTAATTCCAATTCCAATCCCCAATCCCAATCTGATGGTCCGGTCGTCACCGTCACCGTCACCGTCCAGTCGACTGAATGAAACATATACAAATTATATGAATTGGTATTTGGGAATTGGTTCCTGATTGATTGAATGCTGAAAATGCAGATTGAATGTTGAAATGGAATCCATTAACTCCAAAATGTTTGTTGCAGTCCGGATGGTTTAATTTGCATTACTTCCCTGACGTAAAGGTGAAGTTGGGGGTAAGAGAGAAAATACCAACATCCATCATAAACAATCTAATCAATTCAATAATTGTTTATTAAATTTATTATTATTATTATTACTATTATTTTATTTTCAGATTTTCAGACTTTCAGATCATCAAATGAATTACATTAACATAATCATAGCCATAGTTCGAGCGAGCTGGTCCTGGTATCTCTGCCGTGCTTTCTGGACCGACTTGATCATCTGTGTGCAATCCTGCGAACACAAGCTGCTGGATGAGTTGAATGGCAATTACATATGGTAATGGAAAACTATTTCATAGAGTCATAGGGTCCCATGACTATCTGACTGTGAAATGAAAAATGACAATCTTGATCATATCATCTATATATAATATTAAAATATGGATGTGGGTCAAAATGGAAGACCTAGGGGACCAGCCACAGATGTTAGTCTAGTTTAGTATTAACCATCCACTTATTGGGGTACCTAATTTTGACCTACACCCATATAATAGTATAGCATGGTCACAGTGCCACAGATCCAATTGTTTTTAGTGGAAAGTTAATCGATGGAGAATGGGAATGATGGAATTCTGGAATGGCTGAAATGGAATGGCAATTGAATTTTGACTGGACAATGTCATGAAGCCAGTCATCAACCAATCAACAAACCAATAATGAGATTGGGAAATTTACGGGTTGCTAGTTTATGATCGGTGGATCGGGTCCCAATGAACAGTGGTCAGTCAGTGTGGTGGCAGGGGATAATGGTTTTAACTGTTGTTGCCCCATTCACCAGACATCACCGGGCACATAAAAACAATATTGTTCCTGTCCTTCATAGACCGTTTCAAAGCCGCAACAGCTGTTTTGGAGTGGCTGATGCGTTCCAGGTGTACGGTTTCAACCTCCTGTATCTGGGTAGGGGAAGTGCACGGAGCATATAGTCCCTCGGGGTCACTGAGCTCCCTCCAAGGAATCATCTTGCTAGCCTGCTCCTGCATGAAGGGATCCTGTGAGATCTCCTCTGCAAGCTTTGCATTCAACACATCCAGAGTCATCTCAGTTTCATCTTTGCAACCTGGCAGACCATTGCCCAGCAGTGACAGCAGCTTGGATCTGGCCAGGATTGCATAGATCATTTTGATCACGCTGGCGTTGTCCTCGAGTCCGAACACCTGAGATTTGCAGACCGCATTGCATTTCGGTGCAAATTCATAACCATCAAAAATAAACTGGGGCATATGGTTGTACTTGTTGTTGTGATACCAAACCAAGACCAAACCCATTCAAACCCAGACCCAGGACCCGACCCAGGACCCAGTTCAGTTCAAAGTTCAGGGTCCAAGGTACATCACTTTCAGCAAGCAATCGGTCCTCCGTGACTCCTTTTGAGACCAGATCATTGGTCTTGTCGACCAATTGCTGGTGCTCAGCGAACCATGCCTGCCGGCCAGATGAGAGGTGTTGAAGATGCAAACATGTCGGACATGTCGAAAGGATGCATATCGGAATATCAGTAATTGGATTTTGGATGAATTGAAACTCAGAAACTCAAGACTTGAAAAAAGGAACAGTCAACATCTTACAAGGACCCTTCTGTAGTCAGACAACCACAGCATCACCAGGATCAGGACAAGATTTGAAAACAGTGAGAATCCAATAGAATTCAATGGTGTCAGAAAACACTGAGCTAAATTCATTATTGTGTGATATATAAATGGGCCCACTACCCAGGTTGGGCCAAAGTCCCACCTTGCACTTCTCATTTGAATCCTGCAACATGGCGGCAAGCAGCTTGCGCTGATTCAACAGCTTGGTAGCAGCCCGCAGACGCACCGTGGAGATGTCCGTGTCCTTCTTTTTGCTCCCCTGGCCCTTTTGTTTTTTTTCCCTGCGCATTGTCAAGAGAGGAGCTGGGCTGGTCACGTCCAAGTCTTGCCGTCAAAAAAAACAAAAAAAACATAGGTCATTATTGTCATTGACGCTGTTGATCACCTCACCATCAGAAAATCTAAGCAAAACTAAGAGTAAGATCACGATTACACAGTGAGATGATGGCAATGACGATGGTTCAATGAGGGCTTATATCATGTAAACCTTAGTGCGGCCGTCACCACTCACAACTTGATGAAACCACGATTTGAGTCCTGCCGGCATCAGCATCGGTGTCCAACTTCGTGTCGTCACTGGCGATTTTTCCCATCCATTTCAGAGTTGGTTCCTTTGCGATGTGCAGCTGCAGAGGGGTAGAAGGCTGTCAGGGAATCAGTAAGTAAAAAAAACATGTGAATGAAACAAACATAGTGTGATCCCACTCGACTCGACTCAGACCCGAACCAGAATCAGACCAGACTGACTGACTGACTGACTGAAATGGAAAATGATGCAAATAACCTATCTATATCCATCTATATTTTACTGTCATTACCACCACAAACAACCAAACAAAATGATGTGTATTCCGAATCAATTGAACCAGCTCAAGGGGATAATGGTGCATATTTTGGAGATGGAGAGCCAATGAGTTGGAGGTTCAGAAGTTCAGCCCAGCCTAGCCTACCCTAGCCCTAGCCTTAGCCTTAGGCCTTAGCAGTTCATATCACACATATTATCGACTATCGAACGACATATATATATATATATATATATATGTTCCTAGTATATATATATTATTATTATTACTATTATTATTATTATCACAAATACATTTAATGTAAACACACAAATAATCAGCATAAACATGATAAACCTTAACATATACAGTGTAGCTATAATTAAGTCGGTCGGTTATCCCCTTTCTCCCTGAGTCCCTTCCTTGTTGTGCAAGTCGGTGAATTCGGTCAGGTCAGGTTTGGGGTTTTTGATTATGGTATCTTTCATGTGGAATTCTGTTGTGGCTGTGGGCCGTCTGGTGGGGCCTCAAAATTATTTTCAAAAAAACAAATGCATCATTAGTCCGGTATCATTCCCAAAAGACTATTTCCATCTATTACCTGGAATCTGGACACGTGTGTGTTTCTTTTTCTGCGGCCAAATCTCTGCAAACATGTCATCGTCAAAGCTGTCGGAGATTGCAGTCAAGACCTTGGCCCTGGCAGCATCAATCTGCTGTTCAGTGGCGTTGTTCACCGTCTCAACCACTTCGGTAGCAGTATGCCGCTCAGCGCCAATGTGCTCATTGTGGCGGGTGAGGCCAGTTGCCACTGACACTACCTCAACTTCTATCATTTGTTGTCTCTTGATGCTATAGACCTTAACCCTTTTCTTGGGTTCTCTCAAGAACGAAATCCTGGCCTCTGCCTCTGTCATCCTCTCGTCAGGGTCCGCTTCCTTCGTGAAGAACTCGATAAACCTCCCAAGACGCATATCCTCAAAGTTGTTGGAGAATCGGCTTTGTTTTGTCGCCTCAGTCACCTTGGTTGTAATCAATTGTTTGGGTTTCCAAGGTGTCCTCTTTTTGGACCTTCCTCCGGTCTCGTTCGGCACGTTGTCTTTGAAGTCCTTGAACACCTTCTTATATTCATCTGGTTGTTCTCGCTGCAACTTTCGTAGCCAATCGCTGGTTGCAAGTGTATCCTGAGTTAAACAGCAACAAGTCTTTGGGAGTCGGACCGGACCGGACCGGACCCTTGTGTTTATTATAAGAATGGTCGTGTCGTTGTCGTCAGACTGAATTGAATGACTTATACTTCTTAATTATTTATTAGCAATCCATCCGATTACATAGGTTCAGGTTTCAGGTTCCTAAGGACTCCCCGACTCCCCGACTCCCTCCCAAACAAAACAAGTTTCCATATGGGTGATGTTGCTCCCCGCCGTGGTTGGTCCCCCAGCAGCATCACCCTCCTCAGACTTGGCGGCGTTCATGATCTTTCTCAAATCCAAGCTGCAACAGGGACAATGATCTGCGTAGCGGGTCACACGCTTCCCTCCCCTGGAAGCAAAATCTTTTTCTGAGTACTCCTGCAGGAGATATGGATGATTGATTGATGTCGGTGTTTGTCAATGAGTCGGTCCACTCATGGTGATGGTGATGACGATGACGATCATCATGATGATTGATTGTGATGATCATGATTATGATTATCATGATGATGATGATTATGATGATGATGATAATGATGGTGATGATGATGATGATGAATGATGATGAATAATGATGATGATGATGGTGATGATGATGTTGATGCTGATGCTGTTTCTGAACATCGGTCGATGGTGGTACCACAATATGTATTATCAACATAGTATGTGTTCCTGAATCTGAATCTGGTTAATAGGTTTTTAAATTGGTAATAATAATAATAATTATTAATAATAGTAATATTATTTAATTTTCAGTGAGACAGTGAAGGACAATGGAACATATCTCAACAGCAGTTCCCCCTTCTTAAGGATTGCATGATGTGAGTGGCATGTGTCACAGTTAGAGTCGAGTAAGATAGTTCATACTTTTGTCATTTGTAATTTGAAGAAACTGATCGAAATATTTATCAGATTATCATCATACATAACATTAAAAAACAAACTGATGAACCATGCATTTGAATTCAATACTGGATTTTGATATGCTGTTATCCAAGAGACCAGGTCCTGATCACATGCAGCGCAAATTGACTTGTCGCCGACCCCACCCTTGGCATCGATTTCTGCAAGGGCAGTCGACATGGCGCCGCTGCTCTCCTCCCCTTAGAGATCAAAATCTCAAAATGTGCCAAACTCAACTGATCAAACCACGATTATGTGAATTATATGTTTGTCATTACTAGTTACTACTACTGTCGCAATTGAAACATATTAAATTTTAATGTCTAAGTCTAGACACACTCACTCCTATTAGACTATAGATATCAGCCACCCCCCTGTGTTCTCTTCTGTATTCTTCTACTTCGAATAGTCTTCTAAGTTGAAAAGTTTGGCCTGATCAAAAGCACCAGGAGAGCCAGTCGGAGGGACATGGTTCATTTGATTATGTAGCATGTCAATCCGACCCGGTCCGATCCGATCCAATATCCAAACTTTCCAAATTCCAAAAAAAAAACAGTGATGATGTTTTTGAATCATTTCTCACAGGTTCAAATGTCAGAGATCAAAAGGTCGGTCAGGGTCAGTCCGTCTCAGTGTCAGTCTCACTGTCATGCCCGGACCGGACAAGTCTGATTCTGATTTTAATTGAAGCAGAACTGAACATGAAAAACACCAATCTAAGTGTTTTGATTCCGATTCTAATTGAACTTAGTAAACTAGAATTCTCTCTCTCTCTCCACCTATCTCGCCACACACCCTGTACAATCGCAAACGGCTTTTGATCGTGAAGAATGAAAGTCAAAATCTGAGAGCACCACCAAAGCCATCAATGGCTAAACATTCCAATGCTCTATCGGACATTCTGCCTTCAAGGCAGTTGGTTCAGTTGCCAACCGCATGCCGCAGCCATGCCAACAAAGAAAGAACACTGAACACACAATGATTGAACTGATTGAGTGAACGTTCTGAAGATAAATTTTACCTTTGAATTTTTATTTGAACTTGAACTGGAACTGGAACCTGGAACTGGAAACTGGAACTTGTACAGTTTTCCCCAACAAACTAGAACCACATAACAAAAACACATGTTATAGGATTCCTGAGAGTCAGTTCATTTCGGATGTCTTTGATGATAGAATAAAGTAAAAACAAATAAGTGGTTTCGTCGGCCAGCGGGATTAGCAACAGCGGAATATACCATGACTCAGCTGATGTCCTCAGCTTCTTCGTCACTTTGGTACATCTCTGCATCATTTTTATCGCTCATATATACAATATGACTGGTGTGAGATGAAGCAGCAGCCGTTGGAATCACATTGGCGTCAGAAGCACGTTTGTGCTTCAAATGGGCCAAAGAAAATGCGATAAATGCTGTCATGCACGGCTGACTGAATGAATTTCCAGCCATTTTCCGCAATGCAGATGCTGAGACAATTTTGTGGTCAAACAGTTTGCCCTCAGCGCCACTTGCAAATATGGCGTCATCAAACATCGGAACCCCTTGCATCTCGATCATCTCCTTGGCGTCAGGATTCCAGAAACTACATATGCTATTGTATCGTCATAGCTGTGTACCCCCCTTGTCTTGAATATCATGTCATTGGATCGGATGTTCAAACTGAGAAACAGTCCAGATCAGTCAGTCGGTGTCTGAAGTATTGGGATTTGGTTGAACTGAAAACCCCAACTATAGGTCACAGTCTGAATGAACATCACTGTTTTTTTTTTGTCTTACTGTCTTATTGTCTTACTGACTTGGAAGGAATGGAATGTGGAATTAGAACTGGAATGGAGTTGGATTGAAAGGGGAAAAAGTGTCTTCAACACGGTTTTGAAGCCCAGATTCAAAGAAGTCCTTTTGTAATGGAAATTCTTATGGATACTTCTGGATACTTATGGAAATTCTGGTCGTGATCTTCTTATTGATTGATTTGTTTTTTGGGGGGGATCGATTTTATCGGAACGCCTTAATATTAAGTTTCATACAGCTTCGAGAAAATTTACCTCAGGTCCCTTATCTTGTCTAAGTGCAAGTTAGTGGATTCAGTTCCCGACGGATCACTCTAATGATCCAGTTTCAAATTTCTAGTCGTCTATATTATATATATTAATATATATATATAATTATTACACATACAAATAACTATTCAATAGTTATGGGATGGGGATGGATCGGGGTATTACAGTAAATGGTTGCTGATAAATTTAAAAAGGTGATCCGTAATCCGTCCGTAGTCCGTAGTAATAAGTAATTCTAGTACTATTACTATTTACTACTACTAGTTAAGACTAGTTACTGGATTGTTATGGGTTAAGCAGATAGTTCCGGGATAATATGATGTAGTACGTAGTACGTCCCTGCATGTCCCATGTTTCAACTATATCATACATTATCATACCATCGATCATCAATCCCCTCAACTATCCCTTATTATCATATCGTCGCCGTCCCCGTCCCGTGTCAGTGTTCCATTACTCTTGAGGTGTCCCAGCACACCCCAGCTTCCAAGGAACTAATGGTGTGAACGGACGCCCACGTACCACTCCCCAAAGATGCGTCGTTGACGCTAGCAGCACCGGGCAGACAGCACCGTAGTGCTCCTGCAACCATCGTCATTACTTTCACAGCCGACTGAGAATCAACATGACATGTGATTCAATTAAATTGATTCAGTTTCAGTCTCTCACTCTCTCTCTCTCTCTACTACGTTTTTTAATTAGATTCATACGGTTGTGCAATCACAATGACACACAAAAACAAACACAATGTCACAAACATAATGTCACAAACAATGTATCATCAAAACTACGACATAACAATGTAATGTTTGACCAAATTCAGTTCCGAAGAAAACACATTTGATGTGATTGGAATCATTTGCATTGTCAGTCTTGGTGATTGTCTCTTACCCACACCCCACCCAGCCGACCTGGACACCAACATCCTGATCTAAGTTGATGGCCACTTCTGACCCTGCAGCAAGCAGGGAACGCATGCGGGTGAGCTTGAGGGCCGCCTTGAGGTTCATGTTAGCAGCGACTGGAAGCAACTCTGGCCATTCCGTGTGCACAGACCTTTTCACCTTGGTTTGGGCTATGATGATAACGATGATGACGATGCTTAGTTGCAATTTTCCTCCAATGCTAAGGATCATGATGAGGATGATGATAATGAGGATGAGGATGAGGCTGAGAATTAGGATGGTGGTGATGATTATGATGATGATGATTCAACAAAACCAATACGAATGTCCGAAGGTTGTGAGGTAATGCAAAAAGGATCCAATGAAAAGTATAGTCAACATAACTCATAGTATTGTTCAAGTGTAGAGATTCGATTCGATTCCTTGTGGTTCAAAACTGGAATTGTGGTTGAAACATATTCCTATCACACAGTTTTTCTTGATGCATCGTGGCACGTTCGTGGCCATGTGCTTGCGCAATTCATCCACCTGAAACGGTGGCTGATTGTGCAAATGCGATGTGGACACTGTCAAACCTGAAGTTTACAAAGAGACATACGAAAACAACATGTAACTTCTTTACTAGTAGACTTGGAATTGGAGTTGGCTTCAGTACGAACAATAAACCAGCCCTATGCATGTGCGGGGTAATCACATGACTTGAGATCGAACCAGTTGTTTCCAGTGAGTGAATTGACTTGAAGGTTGAAGATTGAAGATTGAATTTGAATTTTGAGTTCGAGTCGTTGGTCATAATATCGACTACTATACTACTGCTGAACGATGTGTTTTCGCATATATATATATAGATTGAGAGGGAGAGAGAGAGAGAGTTGTGATCCATACCATACACCCCGTACACACCCCGCCTCTTCCTTAGATGCGGCGAAGAAGGATCCAGCGTCCAGTGCGGAGCTGATGTGCAGTCGGAAGAGTTGGTCCAATCCAACTTCCAACAGCCAATCACATCTCACTATAGCTGAATAAGCTCGGGATCTGCTGATGGGAAACCCATATTCAGTGGGATTGACAGTTGTTGAGTGGCAAAGGTAACCTTTCAACAAGTCTTCCTCATTGAAAACTGTCCATTTGAAGAGACGTGTGCACTCATGGAGGAAGATAACCGGTCTCCACAGTCGTACCAAGCAACAAAGGATGACAAATGCCAACAAGGACTTGCCAAGGAATCCCTTTTGATTTCCCATAGAACTCCTGTCAGGGCCAAGGGCCAGGGAAGCTGAATAATTCTATAGTTCGGGTAAGATGTTTATAGTATGAACTTATACAATTATTAGACATCATCATACGTAGTACAGTCAGTAACATAACATTCAGAGATTCAGGGATGATTAATGTAACAATGCACATAGTCATCATCATCATCATCACCATCATCAGCAGCAGCAGCATCAGCATCATCATCGTCATCATCACCATCATCATCACCATCGCCATCATCATCATTATCTTCCAATTATCTTTTCAAAAGAATCCAGAAGTTCTAGCGACTAGTGGAAATGGAAGAATGAACATTCTGATCTGATCAGATCTATTTGGATTTGAAAAAACAAAAACAATATTGAACACAGTTTGAGCCGTTCACACACCCACCAGTCCAGTCTGTACATGTGCTGCCAGCTACCAGTATGAGAAGAGGTCGCTCGGCGATACTCATCATGCTAACCTAGGATTGGGCAAGACAGGGGTTCTGATGTTCAGAAGGTTCGGTATCATTGGTATTATTCTGTTGTTCAATTGAATAAGTATGAAGTATGTAGTCTTAGTAATTGTAGTTATTACTCATAATTGTCTTATTTATAATTTATTTTATTATGATTTATTATTATATGTAGGATGTATGATGTATTATTATTATGTATTTTTATTTATGATATATGAAGTATGAAGTATGAAATATAGCATATAAAACATTTATATTTATATATATATGAAGTATATTGGGGCAATATGGGGTATATACTAAGAATATGACGTATATGAAGTTGTTGCTGTTGTTGTTGTGGTCGTCATCGCGGTCATTGTTGATTGTTATTGTCAAGTTATTGTTGCTGCGCTGATAGCAGCTGATTCTACTAATGATAATGATACTGTATTTAACTGTTTAGTGTTTTGACAATTGACAATCAACAAATGTACATTACAACTTCTAGTCATTCATAATGGTTATCATCAAAATCAATGATCAATGTAGTAGGGGACAGTCAGTTAACTAGTAATATCAAATAACTTCAACTTCACCCGGTTGACTTCACCCCGTTTAGTTCATAATATTCAACTGAGTGTGAGCTGTGTATCATCATTTTGTAACTTTGAACATCCGTTAGTGATGAAATGAATGTGACAATTTCAATGATCAATGATCAATGATCATCATTAATTGATGTATTGATGAATGATATCCCAGCAGACCCTAGCAAAACCAATTATGACTGGCAGCAACGTCCGGCATGCCCATGCTTCGCGACTGGTTCTCTGGATCGTTGTCGTTGGCTGAAGTTGGATGCAGTGACATGGCGGGTTTCAACAACTGCTCCTGCTCAATCATCTTCACAAGGCTAAGAACCAGCTTCTGGGACAAACATGCTAGTTCATCCTTTGCTTGTTTCGCATCACTCTGTGCTTGAGCCAATTTGGCCCTCTGACTCTCCAGGCTTTCTCCTTTTTTACCAGGTTTGGCCTTTGGAGCCTTCCCTCGTTGAGCCAAAGATGCACACGTAGCCTTCTCAGCATCGATCTTTTCATTGATCTTTTCCAGGGCCCCAGGAACAAGGAACTCCTCCAGGCTTCCGACAATGTAGCGAGGTTTCTCCTCGGCTAAGGTTTGATACGATAAGGGTAACAGTTGTTAGTAACAGTAACATATGATATTATAAATTTATAAATTATATTATATATATATGATTATAAATTATAAATTATATTATATATATATATGATTATATTATTTATTATTTATATAAATATAAATATATTATAACATTATTTAATACTAGTATTGTAGATCTTACAATGCAACTGCAATGCTGCTACTAGACTCTACTACTAAGTACTAAGTACTAAGTACTACTGCTCTAGTACTAATGGTAACAACACTTGTATTAAACCCATATGGAAGAACCATAGTTCTAGAGAGCATTTGTGTTCCAAAAATCATTGGGATAAACATTTGACCTGCTTTGGTTACCTGCTAAGAAGGCAATGTGGATCCTGGATCCTAGATTCAGATTCAGACTCAATTTCTAGATTTTTGATTTCGATTCGGGCCGATGAGATTTATATGATTATGTTTTGAAATATTTGGATTAGAGTAGGTTTGAAATCCCAAATAATCCCAAATCCCAAAGTCTTCAAAGGTCCTCACAAAAATGTAATCAAAGTATGGCTGAATGCGAAACTAAGCATCATGGTGGGTATGAAGTAGTTTTTGACAATCATTGTTGTGGTCACAAGCAAGGAGATACTCTGGCTTCGCTGGTTCCCCAGTCACTATGGCAGGCCCAGTTTGCACAGACCCCAACGCGTTGCCCACGAGCTGACAGGCAATTTCTGCACCCCCAAGTCCAGAATACAAGCTCACCACAGATGCCTTCGACAAATTTCTACGCAGGTTGTCAACAGCGTCATCTCCCCAGTGTTTTCTCACGCGCTGAACATGCCTCTTTGGGAATGAGAACATTTGGATCCTAGAACGGGTTTTTTCTGGCTGCACCATGCACGGGCTCCCTGGTAGTACAGCACAATCATCTTCGAACTCACCTAAAGCTGCAGAGCCACCAGGATGGCCGCTCAAGGAGGAAGACGAATCTGACGATGAGGAGGATGCGGCTGAACCTGTATTTTTTCCAGGGTTTCCTGTAGTCTTTGGTGTTTGAGGCCCAGGGTTCCCTGTAGTCTTTGGTGTCTGAGGCTGAGGGCTTTCATGTTCTTCTCCTGCATCCACATCCATGTTCTCAGCGTCCATGTTCAGCTTCTCACCACCTTCTTTCGGCTCGAAAAACTCACTGACCTTTTTTGATCTTCATCTGGGGTTGACTCGAAGGGATTGGGCTCAGCATCTTTTCCTGACGGTTTCTTTGTCTTTTTTGCCCTGGGTGTTCTGGCTGCCTTTGCATTGGCTACTGCCTTGCTGTTTTTGGCAGCACTCTCACCACCATGGTCGGTTGCTGGCTTCTTTTTGGCACCAGCTTTTGATCTAGGTCTCTTTGCTGTGGGTGTGGCATGTTCAGGTTCCTCTGTTGGTTGCAAATCTTGAGATTCATCTGGTATGCATCCAACTTCAGCAGGTTCCGGCGGATTTCTCCCGGTGGGTTCGGCGACCGGTTTCTCGGATCTGCGAGCGGCAGGACGTTTCCGAGGTGCCATGGCAACTCTGGCCCTGGCTAGACTAGAAAATGATATTACATGTCATACACATTGCAATGGAATGACATGATAACACATGTCACAAATCTGAAGCCTGTGTTGCTAGTTGGTAATTCATGAATATCATGAATGATTGAATGATATTGATATATTCAATGATGATAATTGATACATTGAACTTGAACTTGCATTACATTGCATTGCTGACTGATGCTTAACCTGAGTTGTGAACAGGGTGCCATGTGAACCACAATTCACTGAGAGGATCCAGTATGTCACGCATATTGGAATGCAACTTCTCTAGCGCAACATCCCGAGCAGGCAGTAGATTCTGCACAAGGATCTTGATGCGGTCGGACTTGATATGTCAACTGCACCGCTTTGCCATTAGACATTGGAGAGACTTGCAACTTTCTGCAAGCAAGAGCACGCCCACACACCCTTTGCACCCCTTGATTTGAATCACCACTGTCTGATTCTCTTAAGAACTTCCATTGAAGTTGCTAAAATATGGTACATGAAGCTACTCAACCGAACCAGCTAATTATTTACACACGCAGATGCCATTCTATCCTCCTTCTCCGCAATGGAACTTTTCAAATAGCAGTCACAATCTCGAGAAATTGAATGGAGATGGGAACGTTCGTGCCTTGGAGGAAGTAAGTGGGATGGTCACCCAGTATGTTACGTGGCAAATATTTTTCACAACAAAAAACAACAACACATTTTCTGTTTACTGATCATACTTATACATATCAGAAATCCCCTAACACCCCAAATCCCAAAATCCCAAAATGTAATAGTGTAATATGTAACAACAGTAACACCTCACCCCTAAAATAATTCAAACATCCCCAACTCTGAGGAACTCGGGCAACCATTCGCTGATCACATGCATCCAGCACGAGAGGCAAATCTGCTCATACTTGAGATCCTCCAGTATGCGTAACAAAGCCGGATTCACTGGCATAGTGGCCGACCAATGTTCTGATTCGACGTTCAACAGTAGCTTAAGCTCAAATGGCTCTTTGGAAATCTGGATATGGAATGGACAAATGGACTGGACTGGACTGGAACATGCAGAAAAAAAACAATCAATCAAATGTGATGTCCAACCAAAGGATCCAATGGTTTGGGAAAACATAGAAAACTCTTAGGCTTGGAAGTGAGTAGGCGGGTGTTGAAGTCTTTTCTCATTGCTGATTCCTCGTGTCATGACTGGGCATGGCCAGTGAACATTATGCTATCATGATCATGATCCTATGTGTGTTTTAGAATTTAGATTTCAGAATTTCCCCATGAAACCAGAAGAATAATTTCCCCATGAAACCACGGTAACAAGTTACAAGTAATAGCTTGGTGATGATGACGAATTGAATTAAACATTAACTTGTCACCAGAACTGAACTACATTTACCTTCTACACATTACATCACAGACACAGTCACAGTACACAGTACAGTACCATGGTACCGTCGTACTGTCCGTACTGTTGTACTGTCACTGTCACTGTGTCAGTGTTGTTATGCCGTAACAGAATGAAACTAACCAATAACCATAAGAATTCTAGTTTCATTCCATAACAATCCATAACATTGGGGGTTATCGTAATAATGCACTATGGACCCATGTTTGGAGTTGTTGGGATGCGTATCATATGACCGACTGACATTGACTCACAGGGTTGTACCAGCCACACCACACCCATGGTCATTGATTCACCATTTGTTTTTCCTACTCTGTCGAGTGTCATGCGTTTGCGTTTCCAGCTGTCGTTGGCTGTTCTCACACCGTGCTCCGTCAATGGCACAATGATCAGAGTTCAAGATGCCAAATATATCCAAGTATCAGAATTCACCATCCAATATTGGATGCTATATCACAATGATATTGATTGTGGATCATACATACATAGTGATATATATCCTAGTGATATATATCCTACTATGTCACTGTGCCATGTGTTTGCGTTTCCGGCCAGCGTTGGCAGTGCTGCTCATCTCACATGCACCCGTATTGGTGCTGTTCTGGAAGCTCCGCATAGCTTCTATGACATCGGCCTCCTTTGGCCTGGGCAGTGTGTCAGTATGTTATCCTGATTTAATTTAATTAATTAGTGTGCAGTTAACTAAGTATATTACATTAAAATCTAAACCATCATCATCATCATCATCGTCGTTGTCGTCATCATCATCATCATCACCATCATTTTTACCTTCATATCCATCTTCACCATCATCATCATCATGATCATCATCATCTTCATCTTCATCTTCATCTTCACCATGACCATCACCATCATCATCATCATCATCATCGGCGGCGGCGGCGGCAGCAGCGGCAGCGGCGGCAGAGGCGGCAGAGGCGGCAGCGGCGGCAGCGGCAGCAGCGGCGGCAGTGGCAGCCATCATCCTTCCTTTCATAAAATTCATCATCATCATCATCACCATTATCATCATCATCATCATCATCTGTACCTTCATATCCATCTTCACCATAATCATCATTATCATAATCATCATCATGAATCATCATCACTACCATCATCATCATTATCACTTTCATAAATGATACATAGCAATAACCAAATTATGTTTGCGTTTGGGTGTTCTTCAAAAATACAAATGTTACACAAACTCAGCCCGGAAGTCTTCTGCTGATCTGGATGCTCCGGTGCGCGCGATGAATGTGCAGACCATAAGAATCCCAAAACATCCATCAGGGCGTCCTTCTCAGACCTGTTGGTTCGGGTCCCCTTCCAAGTTGACGATGATGACTTTTTTAAGCCGTCCGAACCTAAGCGAAATTGAACTGTGTGCCCATGGATCTAAATGACCACATAGAGTCAATCTGTTATGTTTGTCTGACAGTTTTGAAATTGAAATTGATTTTGCTCGGGCTATTCATTTATTGTCTCATCTCTTCATGATTCATGATTAATTCATGATTCATGATTCATGATTCATGATTGAATGATTCTGAATGACTGAATGATTGTGACTCCCGATTTGTTTAACAATATTTGAATTTGGATTTGGATTTTGAATCGAATATGAACTGAATCTAGAATATGAAAGGCTTTCCAGCCTTTGACCTAGTTGACCCACTGACAGACCCCTGACCCGACCCCATTCAACTTCAAATTCGGTTCATTCATTCAAGGTGTTCAACAAATAACCATGGAACTCTGTGAATTGACTTGATTCATTGATTCAGTGATTAGATTTGATTTGAACATTGAATTGAACGAACATCAGTGAAATGAAGAACCTTAACCTGAGTCCTGATCATAGTCATGGGAGTGTCAATTAGTCCAAGTCCGAGTCCAATTCCAATTAGTGGTCAAAGCAAACATTGACATAGAAAAAACTATGATAAACTATGTAAAACCGATACCAGCCAGTGCCGTGCCATTGTTTGAAACAATCAATGAAGACAAGATACTAGGGTAAAAACCTTGGTAAAGGCTGGAGGATTCAATACGTTTCAAATAAACTCCACGAATAGATCCTCTTCCAGGAATCAGATCCCTCAAAGCATGGGGGGTAAATGCAGATGCTGTAGATCTTGGAGTAGCGGTTGGTGCCCGTGCAGTGCTTGAACTTGATGCAGCTGGCACGTTTGCGACCTCGATGGAGCTGGATGGGTCGTGAGTTGTTATGAATGGAAAATTTATTGGAATTGACTTGAACAACGTAGTATTTATTGGAATTGTCATGTCTGCCTTGTTGTGTATATATATATCATTGTAATTTAGTATTTACGAGTTGAGTCTAGTAAATTTTCACGACTTTGATTGAGTCTTTGGGTTTGCCATGACGTGTTTGGATTTGGATTCAATTCATTGGATTCTGGATTCTTAGCACCCCCCCCCAAAAAAAAAAAGAAGCAACTCTGAAATCAAAAATCATCACACAATATAATGCTTATATGGTGGGTGGTGGGCCAAGATAGAAAGTATTTAAATTTATGTTACAGTCTCTAACAGTCCGGGTCCGAGTCTGAGTCGTAGTCAGGGTCTTAGTTTAGTTTAGTTTAGTTTTTATGTGTCTAATTTGTTTATGTATCATTCCCATCTCAGCCCATCGAGATCGAGGCACATCCCGTCCCAGCCGCCGGCCGGCGATCTCTCTATCTCTCTCTCTCTCTCTCTGTTTTCCCCTCTACTCTCGTATGATTAAACAAATACAATCGGATCAAATAATTGAGTGAGGCTTGAGGATTGATGATTCAATGATGTCTAAGGTTGGGTTGAATTGGTTTTGTTGATTGTATATGAAATTAAGTTAAACAGTTTAAGCTTGATTGAATGATGATCAGAATGATCATCAATGATCAGATCATTGAATGATAATGATACTGAAAGGAAGAACAAACACATAAGCAATGATTGATCTGATCTGATTCACTGATTGTTGACAATGTTTGATAAGTCAGATCAGTCAGGATCAGGATTTCCACTTAGACTCAAAATTGGCAATCGGTATCATTAAACCAGTTAGTTTTAAAAAAATACATTATAGTATAATAGTATATTAATATATTATAATAACTAGCCAGCTCCAAGTGGGTTAGATGAATATGATATATAAATTTAGGAAATAGGTAATAGATATATTAATAGAGCTTTACAGTATGCAATAGGTACGGTAGGCGACGGTAGGTAGGTAGTAGTATATGGTATATCTAGCATATCATTATCTATCTAAGTATCTAATTATTTATTTTATTCAATGGCCTCCCTTTCTCGGAACCCCCGGTTCTGCAACTTGGAAGCATTGCCACGGGTACCCATGCAGCAATGCCCCAAGTTGCGTAGCCAGGTTTGCCCGAGCAGGCACTTTAGCCCATGTGTCCTGCTCTCATACACCGCCTGCTTTATTACTACAGGTAGTGCGTTGGCCCCAAGGCAAGGTTCCAGCCCCACACCCGGCCAACGGTGTGACCTCTTTGCGAGGTTCCGGTAGGGCGAGTTGAATAAGTTTAAAGTTAAGTGTGGCCCAGTTACAGTCGTTACCGTTACACTTACAGTTACTACAGACTACAGTTTCTACTTACTTAGTTACTAACTTATTAGTTACTACAGTTGACAGTTTATGAGTTAATAATATTTTTTGACAATGACACAAACAAACAAATTGATTGATTTGAGTTATTATTGGTGCACCGCCGTCACTTGAGTTGAAGTTTATTTGGCAAATTTTGATCCATGTTGGGGGTATTTGGGGTTCTATGGAGGTCTCAGGGGGGAGAAAAAAAACCTCCAACCGAAGAAGATGTTGTTGTGGGTTTTTTGAGATGCAATTTGAGGGTCTATGTTGGGCCTATGTGGGGCCAAGTTGGGCCCGGGCCATTGACAGGTCATATTAGGCTGATATTTGGCAAATTTGGTGCGTGTTGAGTTGGGTGGTATTTGGTGGCATTTTAGCTCAAAAAGTGTTGAACCCATAACCATAACCACCACCATTGCCACCATTGGAGCTGGTACAGGATTTAACTAATTCAAGATTGTTTTACCTGGTTCAAACAGACTCCAAGTTTATAGCAGGTGTGCAACAAATTTACATAGTTCACCAAATGTTTGCCAGCTGTTTGAATTTCACTTGGCGTTCATGGAGCCACAAGCTGTGTTTATTCTTCACCAAGTTTTCACCAGGTTTTCTGTGTGTTCACTGAGTTTCTGAATTTCACCAGGTTTTCACCAGGTTTTCACCAGGTTTCTTGATGTTCACTGAGTTTGCAAATTTCACCAGGTTTTCACCAGGTTTTCACCAGGTTTCTGGATGTTCACTGAGTTTCTGAATTTCACCAGGTTTTCACCAGGTTTTCACCAGGTTTCTTGATGTTCACTGAGTTTGTAAATTTCACCAGGTTTTCACCAGGTTTTCACCAGGTTTCTTGATGTTCACTGAGTTTCTGAATTTCACCAGGTTTTCACCAGGTTTCCACCAGGTTTCTTGATGTTCACTGAGTTTGCAAATTTCACCAGGTTTTCACCAGGTTTCTTGATGTTCACTGAGTTTCTGAATTTCACCAGGTTTTCACCAGGTTTTCACCAGGTTTCTTGATGTTCACTAAGTTTCTGAATTTCACCATGTTTTCACCAGGTTTCTGGGTGTTCACTAAGTTTCTGAATTTCACCAGGTTTTCACCAGGTTTTCGCCAGGTTTTCTTGATGTTCACTGAGTTTGCAAATTTCACCAGGTTTTCACCAGGTTTTCTGTGTGTTCACTGAGTTTCTGAATTTCACCAGGTTTTCACCAAGTTTTCAAATTTCACCAGGTTTTCACCAGGTTTTCACCAAGTTTCCAAATTTCACCAGGTTTTCACCAAGTTATTAAATTTCACCAGGTTTTCACCAGGTTTTCACCAGGTTTTCCAAATTTCACCAGGTTTTCCAATTTTCACCAAGTTTTCCAAATTTCACCAGGTTTTCACCAAGTTTTCCAAATTTCACCAGGTTTTCACCAAGTTTACCAAATTTCACCAAGTTTTCACCAAGTTTACCAATTTCACCATTTTGCATCAAATTTCACCATGAAAACGCTTAAATTTCACCAAAAAAAATGTAATAACGCTTCTTTTGGTGAAATTTCAATGTGCAAAACGCTTCTTCACATAATTTCACCAGGTTTTCACCAAGTTTTTCAAATTTCACCAGGTTTTCACCAAGTTTCCAAATTTCACCAGGTTTTCACCAAGTTTCCAAATTTCACCAGGTTTTCACCAAGTTTCTAAATTTCACCACGTTTTCACCAAGTTTCTAAATTTCACCAGGTTTTCACCAGGTTTTCACCAGGTTTCTGGATGTTCACTAAGTTTCTGAATTTCACCAGGTTTTCACCAAGTTTTCACCAGGTTTCTGGATGTTCACTAAGTTTCTGAATTTCACCAGGTTTTCACCAGGTTTTCACCAGGTTTTCACCAGGTTTCTTGATGTTCACTGAGTTTGCAAATTTCACCAGGTTTTCACCAGGTTTTCACCAGGTTTCCGGATGTTCACTAAGTTTCTGAATTTCACCAGGTTTTCACCAGGTTTTCACCAGGTTTTCACCAGGTTTCTGGATGTTCACTAAGTTTCTGAATTTCACCAGGTTTTCACCAAGTTTTTCACCAGGTTTCTTGATGTTCACTGAGTTTGCAAATTTCACCAGGTTTTCACCAGGTTTTCACCAGGTTTCTGGATGTTCACTTAGTTTCTGAATTTCACCAGGTTTT